AGTAGTGTAGGATGTGCATGAGGGTAGAGTGTAAAAGATGGGTGTTGTCAAGGGCATCTAATTAAAAGGAAACAGGATTCAACACGGCGGCTGCCCTACCACACCATGGTGTCTGCTGGAGAGAGAGAAGGAACGCTGAATTTTCTAATCACCAAACCCAGCCCACAAACTTAAATCCCACTGGAAGGCTGCTGCAGCAGGGGTCGCCACAGTCAGTTAAACCCAAAGTTGACAACAGAAGCACATGTGCCTTCATGTTGATACATGATGGAAAAATTTGTCAAAGCTGATCATCTTTACATTTTCACTAAACAATATGAGACCACATGCACTCATGTCTCTTCATCAGTAGATATAAATACTAATTGAACGGCAAGTCAAATCTCATCTCTGGGTTCTGCTTGTTAAACTCTATCTTCATCTATCACAGAGGACACGAGAAATACAGTGTACGTTGCACTGATTCATATCAACTCGTAAAAATGTCCTTTTGATTATCTGATTCTTGTTTAATGATGCTACTCCACAGTTGCTCCACATCAATTCAATTACGTTCAAAATGAAACTTAGCAAAAAATAAATATATAAATAAATGCAGCAGCGGTCGAGGTGAGTTAATCAAAATCTGACTGAAAGTAATCAAATTCTGCCATCAACAGTGAAAATCACCATTAGTCCATTAGTCTCCCCTCTCATCTTTACTGTCTTTTCTGTTTGGAGGCTCTGCCAACTCCACTGAGACGCCATGTTGCCACAAGAGAGAAGGCAGAGTAAAATGAATGAAACACCTCCATGCAACCAAACACATTTTTGAAACTCGTATCATCCCCGGCCCCGAATCGCTCTAAGAAGAAAGTCAAATCAAAAAAGAAAATTGATATGTGATTGCAGTTACTGCTGAAGGATTATCTGAGTAGGCTGACATTCTTAAGAAATTCCCTCTGCATTTGTGTGACTCTTTAGTACCTGGAGATGAAGTTGACCCACAAACAGACAGAAATGACAAGAATTCCCTTTCCCTGTGTTTATTTTTAAGTACAGCAGAACCATTGATGTGGACTACAAAGTGTAAAAGGACAGCTTGGAGGACACTCAGTGCACATATTTTCATGGTATTGTATCTATTCAAATAAACTTTTATTGCCCTCCGCGAAGAATAGAAGTACAGAGAAAAAAGAAAACTGACAAAATCATTCAAAGTAAGGATAAAGTGAGCTTAGCAGGGGTGGGTTTTGAAGACAGAAGGTGAGAACAGGTGCTTTTGTCCCCACAAATGAACCGAAGCATGACAGGAAGAGAGAGGCAGAAAGATTATTGTACCGTAAACGTGATTCTGTCCATCTGTCCATCCTTTGGTTTCATGCTGAGCCTTAAATCTCACAAGTTGGCAGACGCATTATTGCATTCTCTACCACATACAGACACACAGGGGAAAAATGACGCTGCATGTCATTGCAGTGCAAACACATGCTTGACGTCTCTGCATTGTGTGACAGATAGCATTATCCTTTCCGCAAAGCATAAATGTTTTGCAATATTTATTTCTAAATATTTTCTGCCGACCAACAGGTGCAAAAGGCATTTGTCAAAAGGCCTCAAACTTTAAATGCAAGCATGATAAATCCTCTTGAGGATTACACACGCCATGATTACTATAAATCCTGGGAGTGAAGTGCTTCACTCAACTAGAGACTGAAGACCGTCTCCCCGGTTTTGTTGTGGCGGAAGCCAGTGTAATATAGTTAAAAAGACGAGGTGGGCTGGCCCAATACTGGTCCGCCTCCATCATCAACCAGCCCTCCTTCTGACATTGCATGACCCGGCTATATTCTACACTTTACAGAATTTATCCCGACGGGGCCCAATAGGTCGATCGCAGTGCCTCTACTGTTATAGTTACTCTAACAACTATAACAGTAATCAGTAATAACTGACTGATAGTTATTCCACTCCTCACGATCGGTTTTCACACTCAAGGTTTCCATCTCCTTTACTCATCTAATCTCGTCCGTTCGTCTAACTGTTTTAGGTGTTATTAAATGTCAATCACCGCCTACTCAACACTTGCGTCACTCACTAGCAGACGAAGCCGGCACCAAAACATGAATCCTTCAAAGGTGGAACTGAAAAGCTCAGGGGGAAAAATAAGAGATGTCTGAAGGAAGGTGCATCAAAATATATAAAAATCTCAGACTTATTTGGGAAACTGCCGTGACACAACTTATCGTTTCTTTAAGCACCTTCAACACACACACACACACACAATCATACACACAGCCTGCAACACAACTGATACCACTGAGGCTCACACCCCATCGTATCTTCTGCTCTGTCCCGTTTTACAATATAGTTCATGCTACTTCTACCTTCTGATTCGAGTTTCTTTACTGTGGGATCTTTCTCTGCTGGCGTTCATTCCTTAAGGCTCTGCACATATACGTATAACCATCTGATACAGAGTAAAGCGTATTCATCTAGCAAACTACACCTTCCTTGGAGTGTTACAATAGCCAGTATTATTTTATTACTTGTGTCCATCCGGGCAAATTAGTGGATTCAAATGTTATATAAAAAACATATATGTATTATATATTCTTTGTAATCATCCAAAAATAATGTTACGGCGTATGGGTATTTTTCCATGTAGGCCACTGACTGACAATACGTGCGATGCATTGACTGCGCCGGTCTGACAGACTTTTCCCCAATCCGCCCTGGTTCACACTAATGAAGCAGGTGCTGAACATTACATCATTCTCTCTACCGACCATCAGGGGGCGACTCTTGAGAAAAAACTTGTGACACTTGTTTTATTAGCTCAGTAAACATTGTAGAAATATTCAGATCTTAGGTCTCTTTTTTGTTGACCTTCACTTTTCCACATTCAATCGACCTTCATCCATCTTTTTCCTCTTTCACGTCTTTTTCATGGTCATTATCTCCTTCTCATAACCCTGGAACACGTCCTGTTGCAGGAGGGTTCCCAAGCACTCAGGATGCCCGTAATCACGAGGACGTTGTCAAATTATGCACATCAGTGACATGTATTTGCATCTTTACTGTTTATTCTTGTGATTTATAGATGCAATCTGTGTGTTATTACAATTGTTTAGATGTTACATTGACAAATGTAGCAGTTGTGCAAGAAATGGTAGAATAAGCAGTGGTTTTACTGTTCATTTATTGCGGACGACAAGGATGCGCACTTCGATCCTGTGTTCTTCAACATGTACGGCAAAAAGCACAACTCTGCTGTGCCTTTGCACGTAAATATGTTTTGCCAGTAATCATCTACGTCACGTATCAAACATGGATACATCAGCTACGTTGAAAGCGTAATCTCCACGAAATATAAAGTCAAAATAAAATATCCCAGATTTGAGGAATTTCTCTCTATTTTAATTCCAAAAAGGAGTTAAAAGAAACAGGGAGGTCTACGCGGGCCTTAGATGGACTTCCGTAGCAAAAGGTGTGTGTGTGTGTGTGTGTGTGTGTGTGTGTGTGTGTGTGTGTGTGTGTGTGTGTGTGTGTGAGAGCGAGCGACCAAGAGAGAAAGAGAGAGTAGTCCTGGTCATCTTGATTGGAAATTTCTTGATATCGGCCGTGTGTGTGTACCGTGATTAAACTCAAACTACTGCTCATGATTAACTGCCTCATTAAAGCTGAGGCTGAGCCTCTCGGCACCTGTTCCCTGAGCCAGTCCAACCCACGCCGCTCTGCAGCTGAGCCCAACCACACACCACCGCCACAAACCCCCTGCTCCATCTTTCTGGCCTCGCCTTTTCTTCCTGACAACTTTATTTTTGTCTTCTCCGCTGCTTTTGCAGCTTCCTTTGTGACTCACAGTGAGTTCGCTCACTGCAGAGTGACTCTAGACATTCCTGGCATATGAAGAGTGAGGTCTGAACTAATAAATAAGAAAAGTTTTGTTTCTAATAAAACTTTTTCGTTTTGGCTGTTGGCCTTCAATGAGGAGGCGGTGAGTCACCACCAGGATGAGAGTACATGTGTTGGAGTCTGCTGGGAATCGCACCCTTCGTCTCCTCAGAATCCCTTTGATTCTGTTGAAGTTGAATGTCTAACTGCACCACTTGAGTTGTTATATTGTGTTGAAGGACCCTCCGCCCTCATATGAGCTGTCATCTGAATGGAGGTTTACATTGATTGAGGAGTCAGGACTCGTTGTCAAGATGGGCACAGTCTTCAAATTGATTTGCCATTGAAAAGAAATAAAAAAGAATGGGAAAAGAAAGAGTGCCAACAAGTACTGATGCCGTTCAATTTAGAAGCAGCGCTGCAGAGGACTGTTTTGACCTCGTCTTTTTATAATCCTTTCGTCTTATTTGAAAGCAGGGGCACTAGCCAGGATTCAAGCACAATACATGCAGACACAACCGTTTCATGGGAAGAAACATAGATGAACATAGATAGACGACTGAACACATCGTCGTCGTCTATTGTGGCCCATTAGGATTTCCACAGGTTATTGTGATGTGCCCGGAATGTTTTTTAATCTAAACTTGTGCTATTCTCAAGTAGTTCCATTTTATTTTGACTTTATACTTTTAATCAATTATATCAGTAGGGAATGTGCAGAGCCAATGAGTGAAAAATTGTCCTCCGTTCATTATAAATTCGGATAAAATAGACTCTGGTGTGCATCAAAGTCCAGGAAATACATTTGAGTTTCTGTTGCTTGTTAAGTTTATACATATACACATTTATGTAAAGTTCTGTCTGGGGTAAAGCAAGAACAACAAAGGAACGAGGAAATGGCTCATAGAAAAGCAAATCTTTGCTTAGTTACCGCAGAAAGATCATCATCTTTTACTCTGTTAGAATTTACATTTGGTTACATTTGGTAGTGTAATTTCCAGCCGTTGTTAAATAAGAGTCTTTATTTAGTTAATACCTTGGGTGTGCTTCTATAATGTGCTACGGTCTCAGAGCCGGACCCTAACATCAGCTTTTCTTCTCTCTCTCTCTGCGTCCCCCTCTAGGTGAGCTGGTCGCACTGCTTTCACCTCTACGCATCATCTCCCACCGGCCTAATCCTCTACCTTCCCTTTTCCATCCCACTTCTCGTGGGAACCACACACAGCCGGACATGTCTCTCTTGGCCTCCCCCGCCCCCTGCCTCCTCCTCCTCGTCCTCCTCCTCCTCCACCCACTGCCTCCCTGCCAGCCGGAGTCCCAGCGCAGCAACCCCAGCAGCGAGCCTAGCAGCGACCCCGTGAGTCTGGGGGCCACGTCCTCCATGTTCCCCTCCCAATTCCTGCCGTCGGCGTCCTACAGCAACAGCACCGCGCCTGGCAAAAAGGATAAGTGCATCGAAGACACGGTGTGCTTGCCCGGCATCCTTCTCCCCGTCTGGCAGCCCAACCAGCCCAAGCTTGGCGAACAAGTGGCCAGAGCGGTGGTCTACTTCGCCTCGCTCATGTACATGTTCCTGGGAGTGTCCATAGTAGCGGACCGCTTCATGGCGTCCATAGAGGTCATCACGTCCCAGGTGAGAACTGTGTACAGAGCTATGTATGGGAATGTAAATGTTATGCTTCCCGTTAGAGGTAAGTTAATTTTATAGTACGATATGACATTTATAAAAAGATTGAGCTGCAATTTACGTTATTTTACGTCATCCATTCAAAACTTAATTATTTCTTCTTTTCTTTCTTCTAGTCAAGCCCTTAAAATATCTTGTTAATTAAGAAACTTGCTCAGATTCAAAGGTCATTTATTGAGGTCGAAATCCAGATGTGTTCGTTGGAATAGTTTCAGGGCATATTTGATATTCACGTTCCCAGGTTAATTCAGTTTCTCTGTCCTTAAGCACTTGCTCAGGGGATAAAAGTAATGCAAACGTATTTCCCCCATAATACTGTGAAATCATTTTTCCCCTATTGAGAAATGAGGGGGGAACTATGGAAAATGTTAGTATTAAGTATTAGTTAAACTTATTAAATCAAATGGAGGAGACCCTTTGCAATCACTAGTTTCCCTCATCCCAATTTTAAAAAAAGTCTGATGTTACTATCTTTAAAATACACATTTCTAATGATAAAATGCACTGGAGAGTCATCCAGCGTCCCCAGTGAGTGTATAATACGTTCTGTTCCTTATGCAATTGGCGGGACAACATTTGTTGCCGGCCCCTCAGGTTCCTTGAGTTTGGCGAGCAGTTATTTGCTGCAGTCAATATGTTACTATCTTTATGTTTGAAAAACAGCATTATCAATCTTAAATCTTAATCTTGAAAGCTTTGACACAAATGACAAATATAGTTTAAAGACCTAAACTATTCTGAGCGGTTTAGGAAACACGTCATCGATCCCTCGTTATGTGTGCGTATGTGTGTCTAATGTTCTCCCGGTCAACATGGCGCTGACTTACATCCACAGCAATAATTCACGACCACGTTGGCACCATCAGCTCTCAAACCATGCTGCCCCACTAAAAATATACTTATTGTACATGAACGCATTTATCAGGCTGCGCATGCATATTTAATCACTCTTAAGTGCTTATTGTTCCAGGTTAGTGTGTTCGTGTCAGTTCTCTTAATGGAGATTCATTTAGATTCCCCTCCCCTTCCATGTATCCTCAGTAATACTTTAAAAGCTCTGCTCTTCTGATCTTAGAGGCAGAGCAGTGTGTTTATCTTAGTGTGCACGATAGTCATAGAGTGCATCTGTTTAACTGAGCGCAGCAGAAATCAGGTATCAGGTTGCAGTCTGCTCTTGATATCTTTACCCCTTATGGAACATGTGCATTTGAACAGATTCATATTTAATCCATATTGGATAATCCTGACCACCCCCTCCACCACCTGCTACAGGGACAGCGGAGCACGTTCTCCAACAGACTCCTTCAGCTCCGCTGTCACAAGGACCGATACAGGGGATCATTCCTGCCCAGTGCAATAACACTTTACAATAAATCATCCCTGGCTAAATAATGACAATAACAACCCTGTACTGCTGTGATGTTGCTGCTCTTCCTCTTCTCCTTTTACAAATTATTATTATTGTCTCTTTTGGAAGGTTATTCTTTTGTTTCAGTTTTAGTTTATTTAACTTAATTTAATTTAATAATTTAATATTTCTATCTTATTATATTGTATATAATGTGTATCTTTTTATTCTATTTTCTTCCCTGTACATGCTGCTGTGATACCAAAATTTCCCTCTTGAGGGATCAATAAAGTATCAATCTATCTATCTATCTATCTTAACATACAAACGGAATTTTCAGCCGTCCGATGAATAATTTCGCTATTTGCTGCATATGTCAAGACATGTAACAAGATTAATTCCCCCTCGCTTTAATTTACATTATGGAGACATTATGGTCAATTTATGCATTTTTAACCGCTGTTATTAGTAACTCCATTGCAGTTTATGAGTATCATACACACAGGAAGCTGGTAAATCTTTTGAGTCGTTTTCGTATGCTTTCTGGATTTGTGTATTTTGTGCGCAATGGCCCACAAGTCATGGATAATCCGATTCTCAAACTGTGATACATCTGTTGTAGATAGGTACATATTTTCAGCTATTTTTACTTGTGCTTTGTAACATTTGTTAGTTTTAAATATTTAAAAAAAAATGTAAATATTTTAAAAATAAAAACAGCATTTCAATTGAAATCCATGGTTATATTATTTCAGGCTGGGATTGACTATCTTGACTAACTAGAGAGTGTCAACTATGATCCAACCAGAAAAATCAGCACATGGTTGCCAATCCATCCCAACGAAAGTAGCAAGGAGGCCTCATTCCAAATGTCCCTCATGGTCCAGTTGGTATTCAGAGAGATATTCAAACATAGATGTCTCTAAATCCAACAAACTGTTTGTATGTGACCGAATCCCAATGTCGCTACTAAGCCCAAACCCTAACCCTCAAAAACCCAAACATGAACCCTAACCCTCAAAAACCCAAACCCCCACAAAACGGAACCCTAACCCTCAAAAACCCAAACCCGGTGGTCGAGTGTGAGTCTGTGAAGGCTTCAAATTGTGTAACTATGAATGGGACAGCACTTTGCTGCCACGTGTCACGTCACCGAGACAACTTCAGAAAATAAATCTTACAATTGAGGGTGTTCATTTTAAATGTTTTATTCTCTCATTCCCTTGAATGTCTTTTTGGCTCTTTCCTTATAGGATGAGGAGCAATTTTAAGTTAGTTTAATGACTAAATGTTATATTTCATGCATAGAATAATAATTACTGTTTTTCTCTCCATCTTTAACTTTTACTGATTTATGATAACTTAATTTTATCATAACAGTGTTAAACCTCTTTTTGAGGTCACTTTGCAATGACTTGTGGGTAATTCCATTGGGCCAAGTCAGCATCCGATGCTAATTTATGCAAAAGGTTCATAGAGGGGTCTAAATGTCCACCAGCGAGCCCTGAAACATTCAATGATTTGAAATTGGGACATAACTAAACCCTCACAGAGTCAGCGGTAAGAGCCTCAAAGTGCGTGTGTGTGTGTGTGTGAACAGACTGTCTCCTCCTCCTCCTCAGGTGACCTGGGCCCTGTTCCTCGTACGTGGTTCAACTAAGTCGATCAAATGTCCGATTATCCAGCTCAGATTACCGAGATGATTGACATCAGGATATCGCGGTGCTATGGTGATTTAGACAAACCTGCTTCGGGGAACCTAAAAGCCTGATCTACGTCATCTCATCCTGAAAACTATCCGACTAACTCAGTTAACCACGTACGAGGAACAGGGCCCTGGTGTAGGCACCTGCATGGTTTGGATCCAGCCTTCCCCTCTTACTAACCAATCAAAAGACGTGCACGTGTTGACAACACGTGTTGACAACGCCACATTTGTTTCCATTTGACCTACAGGGGCCCGTGCGGTTCATTTCGAAGGGCCGATTTGTAGGACCTTGGCAGCACATGATGGCTGAAATATGTTTGGATAAAATCTCTAACATAAAGGCCCTTCAAACCTCCAGCTGAGCCTGGAAGCAGCGCAACAATGAAATAAAGAGAATAGACTGTGGTGGAATAATTCAATACATATTTTTGGAAAAAATATTTCAAAATGAACTGTACGTTCTGATGATGTGTAGGCCAGCAGAGAAGGCCTTGCTGGTTCTGACAGCCCGCCTCTGATCAAAGACTACCTGTGTGTTTGGGCCCACAGGAGAAGGAGGTCACCATCACCATGCCCAACGGGGAAACCTCGGTGGCAACGGTTCGAATCTGGAACGAAACTGTGTCCAATCTGACCCTCATGGCTCTCGGCTCCAGTGCTCCGGAGATACTGCTGTCGGTTATAGAGGTACACACACACGCACACACACACACACTCTCTTTGTGATCCCTCGCTCCTTCCATCTTACTCATCTTTCTTTCCTTTTTATTTATTCTTTCGTGCTGTTGTACCTGCCCATCTGTAATTGCTCTCCATCTCTCGTCCCCACGTCTCCCAGGTGTGCGGTCACGGCTTCGAGGCCGGTCAGCTGGGCCCGGGAACCATCGTCGGCAGCGCCGCCTTCAACATGTTTGTGATCATCGGGATCTGCGTGTGGACGATCCCCGTGGGCGAGACCCGCAAGATCAAGCACCTCAGGGTGTTCTTCATCACCGCCTTCTGGAGCATCTTCGCCTACATCTGGCTCTTCCTCATCCTGTCGGTCATGTCGCCGGGCATTGTAGAGGTGAAACGGGCTTAGAGAGAGTTTTGCTTTACATATAAATATAAATGTGTTGTTGTGGTTCAATGACACTGAGTACATTTACTGAAGCACTGTGACGAAGTACAAATTCAAGGTGCTTCAATTTGATGTTACACCTTTCTTCTACTCTTACTACATCTCAGAGGCAGATATTTATTTATTTTACTCCGCTCTATTTGTTTGTGAGCTTTAGATACTGTTGTCATCCCCTTATTTTCTGATTCCTTACCTCCTGATGTGTACATGACATGCTGAAACAAACTGAAGGATGCCTTTACGTGTTGAGGAAAGACAGGCTTTTAGTAGAAGCAGAAAACAGGACAGACACACTTCAAACATGTGATGATCTTATAGAACATGATGAGGATGTAGAATAAACTAATATATAAAGGCACATCTACATTAGTTAAATGGAACTTAAACAACACTGACAGGGAACATTTTACTTCACAATCAATATTTTTACTTTTAAAACATTAAGTACTTTTTGCTGATAATACTTACATACCTGTAATGGAGTATTTTCACTGTTGGAACTCGTGCTGAGGTAAAGGATCTGAAACACTTCCACCGCTGGGGAATGTATTTATATATCTCTCTCTGCCTGTGCCATGTTGCACCGGGACCTTCCCTCTTACCAGTTGTACCTGTGCGCTGTGAGCCCAAATGGGGGAATCAGAGACTGACTGTGAATGTGTGTGTGTCTCAGGTGTGGGAGGCTTTGGTCACCCTGCTCTTCTTCCCAGTGTGTGTCCTCCTGGCCTGGATCGCCGACCGCCGCCTGCTCTTCTACAAGTACATGGGCAAGCGCTACCGCGCCGACAAGCGCCACGGCATCGTCGTGGAGACCGAGGGAGACCTTACGCCCACCAAGGGCGACATGGAGATGATCATGGACGGCAAGTTCCGGGGGGGCACCGTGGTGCCCGGCGAAAGCTGCGGGGGCGGAACCCAGGACGGCACGGCGGGCGCCGTCTCCAATAACCTGCCCAACTCCAACAGCGCGATGGTCAACGTGGAGAGCAGCAAGGAGCTGGACGATAGCCGCAAGGAGGTGAGACACGGAGACGCTGGCCGCTTCAAAAAAACACATTTTCGCCCATCTATCGGTAACACGAGGGTTTGACGCCTACGCAGCAGAGTGCCGCCAGACAATCTGGCAAAAATCTAAAGTTTATGATACCAAATTACAGCATAACTTGTTTTCTTTGGAGTGGTAAAAATGATTCAATTTGGCATCCAATTAAAAGGTAACAAACTGAACATTTCTGTAGAGGGGATGTCCATCCAAAGGCGCTCAGCCTTTACGAACCCAAAACCTGAAGATGCGCCTCAACAAATCCCAATGCTTTCACACATTAATGATTTGTGACTTTTGTCGACAAACCGGTCTGAGCTGCATCTTCAGGTCTCTCTGTGGCTTCTCCTGTTGACGTGCCCTCTACGCCCAATGGTCTCACTCACAGCTCTTTTCTCATCCCATAATGAACTCAAAATGCTTCCATCTCAACATTCTACATTACAGGTCATTTAGCTGAAGCTTTTATCCAAAGCAATTTACATTGCATTTTAGCCCATGGTTTTACATTTTGCCTGGGAAGCAATTAGGGGTTAGGTGTCTTGCTCAGGGACACTTCGACATGGGACATGGAGCAGCCGGAGTGGGAACCCTCTCTACTCCATGCGCCAGATCGTGCTCCCTTATAGGTCTCTAATCTCGTTTCACAGGTTTTATGCTGCCAAAAAAGGCAGTTAACAAAGAAAACACAATTTCTACTGTTAGGTCATTATGATGTGCGGAATAACGGATTGTTTGCCTTCAGAAGACAGTTAAATTGTCCGTCTCCCGCTCCGATGAATGGTTCCGTGAACGATTTCCATTTCACAAAGTTATACATGCTGTCTTTCTGCATTTGAGATACCAGTTTGCATTTAAACTCTGTTCCTGTCGACTGTATAATGATCCACATTTAAACCAGTTGAAAGAGATGAGTAGTTTCAGTTGTGAGGAGGAGAAGAGGAAATGAGTGTTTGAGAGGTAACAAGGAGGAGAAGAGGGACGAAAATACCACCAAGAGGGTCAGAGAGGTTGAGGACGGAGGGAGAAACAGTCCCACGAGGGAGGACAGAATGACAGACAAATAGATCATTCATTCGTCATTTTGAAACATTTAGTGAAGCATCACGTTTACACTGAACATCACAGGACGGATTAAGAAACGTCCGCGCATGCCGTCAGCGTGTGTGGTTTAGATATTCTGATCACGAGTGTGTCCTCTCATCTCGTCCGCCAGGTGATTCGCATCCTGAAGGAGCTGAAGCAGAAATATCCGGACAAAGAGCTGGACCAGCTGGTGGAGCTGGCTAACTACTACGCTCTGCTGCACCAACAGAAGAGCAGGGCCTTCTACCGCATACAGGTAGCGCGCGCGCACACACACACACACACACACACATTATTGATAAACAGTCCCGGAGGTGAACAGACCTGCAGAGGGACACTAAATAGTTCAAGGCCTTACATTTCTGAAACTCATTTTTAGACTCTGCTCATCATGGATGAAAATGGTTTATGAAAATAAATGAAAGACAAACACTTTTCCTTATGTAGAGGAAACCTCCTATAATGTAATATATATATAATATCATGTAAGCAGGTCAAATGAGTCACTTTAAATGGATGATTGTAATAACTAATGTGATAGGTGATGTAATGATCTAATGATTCTAAAAATGATTCTTATAGTGTTTTTCTACAGCGTGATGTTAGTACTTTTATTTCAGTTAAGGAGCTCAATACTCATAGTGGTGTCACGTTTAAATCTATTTCTTGATTGAAATGTTTCAAAACAAAAGCCTAAAAGTGAAAGAAATGAGGTTTCTTCTTTGAACTCCTCTTCTTGTCCGTCTCCATCAAGGCGACCCGCATGATGATCGGAGCCGGTAACGTCCTGAAGAGGCACGCGGCCGACAACGCCCGGCGCACAGCCGTGACGGACGAGGAGGCGCCGGAGGTGGAGGACTCGGGAGAGTGCAGCCGCATCTCGTTCCAAAGCGCCCACAGTCAGTGCATGGAGAACTGCGGCGTTCTGACGCTGGCTGTCGTCTGCCAGGGTGGGGCTTCCTTCACACATCTGTAATCTGTCAGATCCATTTATCATTTTATCAAGTAATCTGGACTCAAAGCAACAAGCAATAACAACAGTGTGGTGGCTTATTTTATTCATACTTTCACTTTAGCTCCAAGTAGAGGTCCTGCGTTTAAGATCTTACTGGAGTTATTTACTGTGTTACTTTCATCTATAACATTACACGTAAAAGGCACAGTGCATTCTAAGACGGTTTTCTAAGAATCAAAGCCATACAGTACATTCAGGTCATAATCTGCCCGACGGTGTTAAACTGCAGTCCATAACAAAGGTTTTTTCATCCCGCTGGTCAGGAGGTCTGGGAGAGAACACCTTCTACGTGGACTACAGGACAGAGGACGGCTCGGCCAACGCCGGGTCCGATTACGAGTACAGCGAAGGAACGCTGGTGTTCAAGCCCGGAGAGACCCGCCGGGAGATTAAGGTGAGGTGGAGAGGAGGGGAGACATTGGCACACTGGGCTCTGAAACCAGCAAACTGAACGCCGGACCGCTGGGCCGCTGGGCCGCTGGGCCGCTGGGCCGCTGGGCCGCTGGGCGGGGCTTGGTAAAGGCTCAATGATTTCAACATGGCGGCCTGGTAACAAACTCGTTTGCCAGCCAAATATTACTGAAAACAGGCGATGCAGTAACTTGATTCATATTCAGAGCTGACTAGATTTTCCGCGAGAGTCCTCTCGTCTGGTTGGCTTCTCTTCTGACAGTTAATAAATACTAGTAACAATTTTTGTCTACAAATTGACAGTCCAATCTACCAAAAGCAGTCACTTGAGTACATCTAGCAAAGTAAATGTAACTTGTACAATGACAAAAAAAGGCCGTTATTAAAAGATGAACTCAAGTTTTTTGGAGCTTGAGAACATTTTAATTATCCCTGTTGAGAGATTTGACGAAGTCGACTTTCATGTCATCCCGAAATGCTCCGAGCTAAAAGAACAAAAAAAACTCAGGGCCTCAAAATACAGAAGACGGACGGATTCACACAAAGTATCGAGGAGCTGAGGTGGTTTCACTTCAAACGTGCTGCTGTGCGCATCCAAGATGTGAAAATATCAGAGCGAGGGCTCCCAGCAGGAGAGAGCACACTGCTGTTACTAATCAGAGTACTTCCAAGCCGTGCTGTACCACGTAGTATTTACTGTTTAATCCAAGATCCCTCGCAGGACTTTTGTGTTACAGGATCTTCTCAATATTATAAAAAATTATTGAAGAAATTATACTTCTCCAGCCCGACTTTTTTATCTATAGATGAGTTTGATCATTTGATTTTTTTTTATCACATTTTTGTATTTATTAATATAATTTCATCACATTCTGTTCAGATCATTCCACCTTTTAATTTGGGTGTATTTGTTTCACGGCTCATACTTCTACGGTTGGAAAAAAACAAATGCTACAGCAGTTCCCTATTAGCTATCAGTTGGAAATAAAACAGATTCTTCCTGAGGTGGAGTAGGAGGGTAATGATGGGCCTCCTTTGCACACTATTATTACTATTATCAAGCACATATACTCGGATCGTCTTCTCAGACTTCATGTTGGACGACATCAACACGTCACCCAGCAATCATGACTGCTTACCGGTATATGAACCAAATCCAAGAAAATAGACACAAGGCGGGAAAACTTTAAGATCCAAAACTGAAAGAAAAATCTGCTGCTTTGAATGATTCATCACTATGTTTTATGTTTGTTTTATTATTACCATTGTGTTTTGAGTCCTATCTGAGAAGAAGGTACAGAATTGAACAACCAGTCCCAGTGAGCTGCTCCTAAGTGTGCCGTCTGATATCGCAGGCCAGTCTCTCTGCTTCTGCCATCTGAACTGAAGACGCTGTGGGATTGAAAAGCATGTTGGGGGATTGCACGAGACAAAGACGCAGTGGGCCGGGAACTCTCAGCTCACATTCAAAGTTGGATGTAAGATCAAAAGAGAGTGATGCGAGAGACTCATAAAAGAAGCACAAAGACGGGTTGTACAAAAACACACGGCACGAACTGCCTCGTCTGCCGGGAGCGATTGGACGAGGAGCCGCTCCGAGAGGCCGGTGTCGTCAGTGTCGTCCCGGCTCGCCGGGGCGGACGTGAAACGCAGGGAAATCAACTCCACCCGAACGTCTCCCTCTGTTCTGCTGGGCAACCACTCTCTACTGAGGAAACAAAAAAGTGGTCAAAAAAGGCTTTGTAGCAAGCACTCTTACTCATATGGAATGATGCCACATTTCTAACGAGATGTGTTAATTATAAGAATTTCAATTCATTTTTGAAATGTGAAAATAAATAAAAATATCTAACCACATGTTCGCACTGGTTTGGTCCAAAGAGTCCGAAGCTCTGAAATATTCAGAGAGGCATAAAAAAAGACACTAATCATCGAACTATGTTAAAATGTAATGGAAGCAGTCGATTAAGTGGCTGCTAATCATCTACTTAGTAAACTACTGGTGTTGCAACAGTACAGTGAATGCAGAAATACATACACCACAAGTGTAAATGTCAACAAAGAAGGTTTATTTGCTCACGAAATATGCATTTTATAGCATGAGTGCTGAAATGTCGATGTGAAAGGTCGTCGGAGACGCAAGTCTACAGAGAAAAAACAAGCACAGTTTAGGATTCTACGACATTGTTTTGTTCTGCTAGATAATCTTCACAAATAAGCACCACTTTTAGGATTTTAGAGGCAATCACCAGAATTAGAAAGTTACGTTTGTTTATATACAAATAAAATGTAGGAATAAACAAACTACGCAACTATTTTGCGTACCCCGCCCCGCTGGCTAGGCTTATTTTTCCTCGTAGAACAAAATGTCTATATATCTTACAACAGACCGTATAAATCAAGTATCTTAACTGATCAATGGAGGCTCTTTCATTTATTAGCTTCAGGAACCACTCTGCTCCACCCATTGTCCCTCAGGAAAAACTTAAGGAGAGGTGATATTAGACTGACAGTTCTCAGCAGATTCAAAACACAAAGAAGCCAAAGGATTGTTAGCGTTGCTCTGTTACTGCCAGTTGTGCAAATAGATTAAAGATTAAAATGAATTAATTAATCCCCTGTGAGGAAATTCATTTGCTGCCAAAAGCAACTGATGCACACAAGAATTGACACTTCCACAGGGCACGACAGAGGGAAACACACATCAGACATAAACAGACCAAGTTGATCACATGAGAAGGTGATAAGTCAATGTGGTTTCTGCTCCCCCCAAAGTCCCCCCATCTGTATCCATCCTCTCTTCAAACATTCATCAGGAAGTTGTATTATCTTGCACCGCTTTTAGGCCTTCTTCCCCTCGGCATGTTGCATCCTGGCCGATACCGACCAGAATGTGTTTGTATCCGATCATGCAGGGGCAATAACAATCTTATGTATCAGAGATGCAGCCTGAGCCTCTTTATGAGTCTTCTAGCAGCTCTGCCTCTTCTCTGCATCCAGCACAAGCATAGATACCACGATCGATGCCGATCCTTCAAATTAAACCCTTGCTAACATAATCACCACACATGGGATGTTGAAATATTCTCTCTGGTCGTTCTCCAGGTCGGTATCATCGACGACGACATATTCGAAGAGGACGAGCACTTCTTTGTGCGCCTGCTGAATCTGCGCGTTGGCGACGCCGAGGGGATGTTCGAGAGCGACGAAGCGGACGCCGGCCCCAAAGGTCGCCTGGTCGAGCCCCTGGTCGCCACGGTGACCATCCTGGACGACGACCACGCCGGCATCTTCACGTTCAGGGAGCGCATGGTGCGGGTGAGCGAGAGCGTGGGCACCATGGAGGTGACGGTGGTACGCAACTCGGGCGCGCGCGGCACCGTCATCCTGCCGTACCACAGCGAGTCGGGCACCGCCAAGTCCGGGGAGGACTACGAGGAGGCCCGCGGAGAGCTGGAGTTCACCAACGACCAGACCACGTGAGTCACACTGGAATTATGGAATATATCGATTGATATGGTCCATTCTCCAAATAATAGATGAAATGGCTTTGCGTAATGTGACCTTCGGGACCACTCTGAGCTCGCTCTGGCCCCTCCCAGCGGCCATAATGAGTGCTGACATCCACACGTCGAATTACGACCAGATGGAAAAGAAAGTGGAACATCGAGCATCCAAAGAGGTGTTGATAGAGCTGAAAGCAGAGTGGATGTTGGACTTGTGATCATCAAGTGGACACAAAAAGTCCTCCACTTGATGCTTACATTGCTCTGTGACCCTGTGTGTGTGTGAAGAGGTCAACGCTGACCACGTTACACGTCCACGTTACAAGGGGATAGGGTGGCAGTATGTGCTTTTCAGGGTGTTGTGGCATTCTACTTCACCACAAGTAAAAAGCTAACGTTGAATCTATCACTACAATACTCCTGCATGGACCCGAGGCCACGCCGATGCTACGAAGGACATTAGAGACACTCGTTTGGCAACTGCATTTTTGTAAGACGCACAAAATCTTTAAAAATCTACAGTTGGAAACATTTTAAGCTCGCTTTAACCACAGACATTATTTCTAACCAGCAGCCCATTAAAATAAATCCACTTTCAACACAGTGAATCTAGTGTGAATGTCTTACTCTCTTCCTCTGCTCCCACTACTGACTTTGATCTGCATCTCTCTCTCTCTCTCTCTCTCTCTCTCTCTCTCTCTCTCTCTCTCTCCTCTTCTTTATATCTCTGTCTCTCTCTCTCTCTCTCTCTGTCTGCATCCGGCTTCCTTCTGCTGTTATTCACACAGCAGCTGGTCCCGATCAGACAACAGGGGGGAGTAAACCATGTGGGCGGCTCTATCCCGTATGTGTGTGTGTGTGTGTGTGTGTACATTACCTATTTATGTAAATGCTTTAAATTATCAAGTGTGTGCAGTGTGTGTGAGAGAGCATGGTTGTTCCTGCATACGTCGTACTTCTACTACTGCCACATACCACTAATTTGTCGTTAATCGTGTTGTTTCTGTGCTTGTGTGTGTGTGTGTGTGTGTGTGTGTGTGTGTGTGTGTGTGTGTGTGTGTGTGTGTGTGTGTGTGTGTGTGTGTGTGTGTGTGTGTGTGTGTTTGTGTGTGTGCAGTCAGACCTTCCAGGTCAGGATAATTGATGACGAAGAATACGAAAAACATGAAAACTTCTTCATTGTCTTGGAGGAACCCCGCTGGCTTAAGAGAGGAATCTCAGGTGTGTGCGTGATGGTTTTTCTTGACCTAATGAGAGAAAGATTGATAAGAGAATCAACGAGAGGTAAACCTGAAGTGCTCTGAGGGAATCACCTGGACACACAGCACGCATGAGATAAATATATTTACACTTTTTCATTGCAAAAACAGAGATAAAAAAACGGTCATACAGTAACTACAAGACTTAAGATTTTACCAGTGATAATAAGTCTGTAGAGCGACAGAGAGAGACAAGCGGAGGGATGTTTATTCACATTTTAATAGATGTTCCTAAAAGTCAAACACATGGAGAAGGCGTCGGCACTGTGTGTTATTAAGTCAGAGATTATCACGGCGCCAGCCGCTGTCAGATGGAGGGATGAGAGCGCAGGCTTTTTGTTAATGGAAAACCCTCCAAACCGAGAGTTTGTGCTGGTGTTTTCATCCGAGCGCAGAGTGGAGTTTGATGTGTTTTTAGATGTTGCTGTCAGGCTGAACTTGTGCTATTACTCACTGATCTTTATTTATTCTCCCCTCCCTCCCCCTCTGTACTCTGCACAGCTCTGCTGCTCAGCCAAGGTGAGCTCATGTAATTATTCCTCCGAGGGGGTTATTTTCATTATCGTCCATCATGCACATTATGTTTTTGACGTGTGTTCAATGGAATGTCAGAAAATAATGACAAATGTCCATTGCCATTCCCTAAAGTCTAAGATGGAGCCTTGTTAACGGAAAATGCCCTAACTGAGAAGCTTAAACCAAGAGTTAAACAGTCAAGCTTATTAAATACTTTTACCTTCTGGTGAAACATAAATTTGACATTTTCCTTAATAAAAAATGATTTGTATTCAATAGTGATCCTATTAATATCATCATTGTACAAGACAAGGAGTCTTTTAGCTACATCCAAAGTCACACAGAATCATGGTATGATCGATGGCCATTAGCAATGGTTTTTCCCTGTGGGGCGGCGTACAGCGGGCCGACTCACATCTCTTAGCCTTGCTTCGGGGGGGAGCGATGCCTATTTGTTTGTTTAGTTTTTGGTTTGGATCTCAGCAGAACTGAGCTCACTGATTCTGAGGGTTGCTCAGTTAAAAAAAGAAACGCTTTATGAGTCGCTCGCTGGTGCAAATAGACGGCGGCGTTTTGACAGAGCAAAATGGAGCGGCTCATAAACCCGCCCAGGCTGTGCTTTGTCAAGCATGTCATATTATACTTTAATGTGATATTGCTTTTCATGGCTATTTTGAAACATTGGGAGAGATGGCAGTATAACAAAAGCTGATGTGTGTTCTTTCGAATAACTGGACCCACTTGGCCGACCCCTTCGGTACAGAAGTTTATTTAAACAGGTAGATGAAGATCAGCTGACAACCAGGAGGGAGAAAAAAGCAAAACACAGACAGACCCAACAATGTGGTTGTATGGAAAGTCTGCATGGATTTAATAGAAGAGAACAGAAGAAATGATGGAAGAAAACATTGAGCCTGAGGATGTGTTTATTTATCTGAAACATGCTATGTCGTAAATAAAATAATAAATAAATATATAGCTGATATAACAACGAGTCCATTGAAAGACGATAAATGTTCATATTGAATTATCGTCTCGCTCTAATTTCTAATTTCAAATAGAATAGAAATCTAAATTAAAAGCCATCCTGCAAACTGACGGCCCACTGGTTGAGATGAGCGTGGGACCAATCAAAATATACAGATGGGGCCATATGCCACTTTACTCCTGCTGTCTTCTCATAATTACGAGATTCGGGGGGGAGGGCTATAATCTCTCACACTCAAACACACCATCTCCGTACCTCCTGCTCTTTATTTCCCACAGAGCGTCTGTGAGAAGTGTTTCTGAAGCTCTTTGTGGAAACACCAGACTGTTACATCAACTCTTTCAGGGGATTGAAATGTGTCTTCTCTTCACCAGTTATTTCTAGCAGGTGGATCAATGACGCAAACTGGGCCTTGTGTCCGCGTTAACACCCCCCCACCCTCCTTTGCAAGTTGTTGCGCTTTGTCTCCGTATGGAAGCCTAGGAACAGAGTGGATCGGTGCATTCGAGAGGCTTTGCGTAAACTCGCAGTCACTTCACCTCTCCTGGTTTTCAAACCAGCTCATTTACAGCCAGATTAAATGACAACATTATACGGTGTAGTATAAAAACACGTTTCTTACGTTTTTTTAAAGCTGTTTCTGGGGAACTTTCACATTGTGTCGATTTCAGACCAAAAAGACATAAATGAAAAGCTCCGACTTTCCGATCGTCTTGTGTTGCTATCAACGCGTCCAGTAAGCTAATCACTGTCTGTGTATATAACTCTAAATAAACCGCTGAATCACAATCGACTGGTGACAGCGATTGGGAGACGTCACTGATGCTCCTCGTCTCTCCCACAGAGGGGGCGGAGGGGCAGATGAGCTCCGAGGAGGAGGAGGCCCGGAGGATAGCCGAGATGGGGAAACCCATCCTGGGGGAGCACAGCCGCCTGGAAGTGGTCATCGAGGAGTCGTACGAGTTCAAGGTGCCGCATTTATTTATTCGTGTTCCTCTTTGTGTCTTGTGTTGAAGATAAACGTATGAAGGACTCGTTGATGGTGGCAGTGGTGGCTGCGTGATCCAAAGCATTAGAATGAAGCCGAAAAAGTATAAATATTTATCGAAATAAAATTGATCCAACTACTCCTAAAATGCATGAGGTGTTTTTGTCATTTCGACATTAACGCGATGCAGATAACAAAGTCTGCCTACTAAAGCTTTACACAATCATTTGCGTATTTCCCCAATCAGAAGTTTATTACTTCTTGTTTTATTGGAGTTAAACATAAAAAAAGAAAAGACGCCTCAAGGAAGATCTTATGGTTGTGAAGCCTGCAGCACTAAACATCCGATATATTTAAAGCTTCAAGCGTAGTATTTACACTCGTGTCCCGCAGCGTAGTTTGTGCTTAGAGGCACTGATTGAGTGGCCATAAAGGACTGAGCTGTGCTTCTCTGGCCGTGTTATATAATCCACCAGTGCACTTCCTCACACACTAGCGAACCCGGGTCTTAACCATCGCAGCGAGCCGGCCTAGTACAGGTTTGAATTATTCAAAGTGCAGCACAAGTTGCCCTCGATGCGGCAGATAGCTTGAAGCGTGCAGAAATCGATGCATGTCGGGTCCGTCGGCCTCCCGGCCTCCCACCGAGCACCTCGTGCTCCTCAGTGTCCCAAGAAGCAAAGACGAAGGCAGCGGACCTCGAGCAGTGCGACTATTTAAAACATGCACTGGGCTCAGCACATTAAGCAAATAAAAGCAGGCGGTAAAACGAGCGTAGCAATAAGTCTCAATGCACTAAACACACTAATTCAAATCCATTTGTTTCAAACGTTAAACGACAGATTCTTAATTAAGGTGAGTTCTCTTGCGTCTTGCTTTCTGGGAACTAAATTGCAGTTTTACCAGCAGCACTCAGGGAAGTATGTTATTGTTTTTAGCTTTACAGTCTTTCTAAATGGCAGCACTGCAAGTGATTTTGTCATCAGCGCTCATGCACAGTGTGGAACTGAAGTCGTAGGTGTTTCTAGATTTAAAAAAAATACATTAGAAAAACATACTCTGTGTGTGTGTGTGTGTGTGTGTGTGTGTGTGTGTGTGTGTGTGTGTGTGTGTGTGTGTGTGTGTGTGTGTGTGTGTGTTTTATTAGGACCTAATAAGCCATCCTGTGTTCTTTCCCCAAATAACATACAAATGAGTTCTACAAACGCATTAAACACGCTTCTAACTTTCAACCAGTTAAAAAAAGAGCAGCAAAGATTTTTTGCAAACTAATTAAAGCAGGGGAGACATAAAAGGAGGCGCAAACCACACAAACCAAGGAGATGAATGAGAGCCTGCCATCCTATCGTAGTTCCAAAATGTATCATTCTCATCTTCTATTGAATTAGAGAGTCAATAGACCCCCTGCGAACATATATTACAATTGCCTTTGTCTGTTATGATTTGCTGATAGTTATTAGCTTGACATGTATCTTGCTCTCTCTTCGTCAGAGTCATTTCGTATGGCAAAGAAAGTTTTTTTCTTTTTACACTGGAGAAAGATCTCTTTGTAAACGGGAGGCGAGTCTTTAGGATCAAAAGGAGGGACTCTCATGTATCAATTCCACAGACAATCAGCTATTGATGAGGATAAGACTCGGCAAGGTTCAACCTTTCTGGGGTTCTGGTGTACCGGAATCCAGGCCAAGGTCTGCTCCTCCTGTACCAGGTCATTGTGGACGATTATAAAGTTGGGACGCCAGAACACAGTTGGAAATCATAGATGATGTTATCGTGGAAGAAACAGGCGTGTCTAGGATTCAAAAAGGGGGGGCTTAGCCCCAAGGGAAGGGGCATGTTAGCGCGCATAGCGGAGAAAGAAAAGTGATTTTACCCCGAAGTATATGATGACACAAGACAGAATTTCAGACTCATAGGCAAATACAAATATCAAGTAACAGTCGTTAACAACTAAGGTCCTAGTGCCCGGGCCTTAGATTGTGAAGTACGATGATATGGTATTGGATTGGAATTTGAAACACATACACACCAGAATGCGCGTAAATATGTAGCAGTTATAAAGAACTTATCCATGTGAGAAACAATAGTTTAATTTAATGGCATCCCCAAAATAAAAATTTGCGGGGCTGAAGAAAATCTTAGGGAGCTTTTAGGGGGATTTCAGGCCCCAGCGTTGCCCCTGATAGTAGCAAATAGAAAGTTACAGTTTTGTTGGTGACAGCAAGACTAACTGTCTTTCCTGCATGAGGACAGCCCCTCCTCCTGCTCTGCGCCCAGCACAGCTAACAAGCTGAGTGACCACTGACAATGACCGCAATTATTTTGCCAATGACGTGTGTTTTGTTGCCCTGATTGGCAGAGCACCGTGGACAAGCTCATTAAGAAGACCAACCTGGCGCTGGTGATCGGCACGCACTCCTGGAGGGAGCAGTTTGTGGAGGCGGTCACTGTCAGTGCAGGTGAGCTCCCTCTGTGTATGTGTGTGTGTGTGTGCATAAGTAGATGTATTAAAACAGCTGTCGACCGATTGTATGGATTGTTTTTACCCAGTTCCCACTGCTATTTCAAGACCACGCCAACACACCTCAGCAACACGTTAGAGGCATCCTGCGGACAGTAGCAGACCATGCTTGTATGTTTTGTTACTTCTGTTCCTCTGCAGTATGAACATAGAATGAGCCACACCCCTTTCCTTGCTTATTTTGGCTCATGCCCAGTGTAGCATTACAGTGAAAGCACGTCACAAGCCTTTTATTTTGTTTCTGGGACCCTGAAATTAAGTTATGTGGTTTGGATTGCTGCCGCCTACCTGATGACTGCACGAGTATTTAACCACATCTGTCTCTTAGTGTTAAAAAGCCCTCTGAGGCACATTTAGATTTTGAAGTTTTAGTTGATTGCAGCCAATGCCGTCAAATCCTAAATACTGCACTTTTTAAAGTACAAACCCACGGCACCTGTGGTTTATTTGAGGTCTTTTTTTTAGTAAATTGTATGCTACTTATTAAACAAATTCAACTTCAATTATACTGCACACAATACCTATAGAGTTCCTCCACTTCTGGCCTTGATGGTGGAGCTGCAGGACTTTTGCATTTACACTTTTACCTAAATAAGATTTTGAATGCAGCAGTTGTACTTCTACTGGAGTATTTTCACAGTTTACATTTAAAGAGAAAAGCGTACAAAGTGTTGCACTGTCCTTGGAGTTAATAAAGCTGATAAGTGCAGATATGAGGTACCGGCCTTCGGGTTGAAGGGGTGGGATTAGGGAAAAATGGATTAAGTTCAAATTCTCTAACAGATGTGTAATGAAAGGCCACCATCTAGTGGAAGTGAGAGTCCAGTGCAGACATTAATTACTCAACTTTCAAAGGTTTTGGACTTTAAAGTAGAATAGAAGTAGTAGAATCCAGCATTGTCAAGTTTATTGACACACATTTGTTGACGAGTGTCCCCCATATGGAGGACAGAACCGAGCCAGAATATCACTATTGTGTACTCATCACGAGCAAATATATGAATGCACACAGCGGCTGATTCAGTTAAATTGGATTAGGAAGTAGTGGCCAGCTGTTTAAATTCCCTAATGCTAAGCAAAAGGAGCATCAATGCTTCCCTACTTATCTCCTTTAGCAAAGGAACCACTGGACCAACCTTCACGAAAGGAAAGGAGATAAGTCCCTCCCACAATTCCGTGTGGCGGCAATATTTAAATAGTGACGTATCATTTGGCTGTTCGCAAGAACTAACAATCATGACGGAGAAACGCAGATCATGTAAGTAACCTTTGGCATAATTCAGTGGTATTGCAGCCTTGTTTATAAAGTAGTGCTTTGAACCTGGTTGTTTTATGTCATCTGCATCACTCAGCACTGTAACAACACATGGACGAAGGCGTCTACGATGCTTCTTTGATTCTCTAAACACCACTGTTTTCTTTTCCTAAATCCTCATGAAATCTCCTGACCGTCTTTCCTTGACCCCATGATATTTTCCACACAGGTCATGGAATAGTGGTCAGGAATAGACGTTAGGAGGGAATTTTTTGACAATTCGAATCCAGCCAGCGTCGTGCTTTGGGAACAACGTGAGGTTTTTTGTGTGAAATATTGCTATAGTATGCCATTTCCGTAGCAGAGCCCAAAAAACAAGCTTGTCACTAACCCCAATCACCTCCACGATGGGCGCTGAACATTTCTCCTCCCCCCGCCACAACCCCTCATTCAGGTGACGGCGACGACGACGATGACCGTCGCGAGGAACACCTGCCGTCCTGCTACGACTACGTCATGCATTTCGTCACCGTCTTCTGGAAGGTCCTGTTCGCCTGCGTCCCGCCCACCGAGTACTGGAACGGCTGGGCCTGCTTCTTGGTCTCCATCAGCGCCATCGGCCTCCTCACCGCCGTCATCGGGGACCTGGCGTCGCACTTCGGCTGCACCATCGGGCTGAAGGACAGCGTGACCGCCGTGGTGTTTGTGGCGCTGGGAACCTCCATTCCAGGTGAGGGAATACGTTGAGTGACAATCTGTGGATGGTCATATGCTTTGAGAACCAGAACATTAACCTCTTCTCCTCCCCTCCCGTCTTTGAATATTTGAATAAATACTATTTGGTACGACGCTTCAGTTATATCCAATTTATGCAATTCCAGGACTGCTCAGGGACCCCAGCATGCAGAGATAACCCATGCTAGACGCATTATCCTAAAGTGTCTGTAAAAGGGAGGCTCTCAGGAACCCATAGAGCCCATTTTCACATATCTTGTGGGGAGATGTCAAGGGCGCACGTTGACAAAGGGTCATGCCCGTTTGCCCTGACCAGGTTCAGCCTAACGCCCCATTCGCTGCTGAGCTAGCACCGCAGTGGTTAGTACCGATGGATCGATCAGGTCGTAGAGTTCCACGTAATGCCACATCGTCACTCGACTGTAGCCTCTGCAAAACAACAGTAATGCTGGTTGAGGACAGCGTACGACATTAATGAACAAGATAAAAGGACGCAGAAACGGGATTAGATTTACATGTGAAAGTGGTCATCTCGCAGCGCCCATCAGCAAACCGAGGCAGATCCAAGTGTCTCGTTTCTCAAAAGCTTTTCATTGGCGTCAAGGTGGGAACGTATGGCGTTTGGATTTTGGCTCCCCGCACAAAACCATAACCAAAACCACGTCCAGGTTTTGGACCATTTACATCTCCTTATAGTGTGTTACAGTTGGAGGTGTAAGCGATCCATTTCCTGTTGCTATGAAAGAAACGTACCGTATTTTCCGCACTATAAGGCGCACTTAAAAGTTTTACATTTTCTCAAAAAACGACAGTGCCTTATAATCCGGAGCACCTTATATATGGATCAATTGGTTAATCGGTTGATCCATACTGGTTGTACACGGCGCTCAAGGCGCTCTGCCAAACATGACAAAGCTCGGTCTACGACGGCGAGATGCTGAGCGGCGCTCAAGCGCGTGAGATATGGAGCTTGTTTCAGGGCGCGTCGGAGAAACAAAGCTGTCGTTCTCGCCGAGCACTTCATGAGATTAAAGAGCGAGAGACGGCGCCCTTTTCTCTACAGTAGCTGAACCATCTTAACGGGGAAAGTAAGTTATTCTAAAAGCAGCCGAAGATTTAAAGGTGTGGATGCGAAGGGGGCGCGGGAGCGGACGCACCTCGCAGCACAGATCGGACCCTGAAAGCACCGTCTCCACCTCCCCACATCCCCCCCATCCACCCGCCCCTACGTCAAACGTTTGACTGCAGGATCTGATGTGCTTTATAATCCCATATATATGAAAAATGGTCTAAAATAGGTAATTCGTTGAAGGTGCGCCTTATAATCCGGTGCGCTTCATAGTGCGGAAAATACGGTATATAACCCCCCCCCCACCTACCTCTTTCGCTCTTTTTCAGACACGTTTGCCAGCAAAGTAGCCGCCATGCAGGACCAGCACGCCGACGCGTCCATCGGCAACGTCACCGGCAGCAACGCCGTCAACGTGTTCCTGGGCATCGGCGTGGCGTGGTCGGTGGCCGCCATCTACTGGTGGGCCTTGGGGAAGGAGTTCAAGGTGGACCCGGGCTCGCTGGCCTTCTCCGTCACGCTCTTCACCATTTTCGCTTTCATCTGCATGGGCGTGCTGATGTTCAGGCGCCGGCCGTCCATCGGCGGCGAGCTCGGCGGCCCGAGGAGGGCGCGCCTGGTCACCAGCCTGCTGTTCCTGGGCCTGTGGTTCCTCTACATCCTCTTCTCCAGCCTGGAAGCCTACTGCCACATCACTGGCTTTTAAAGAAAAACGGGAGAAGTTTACGCAACAACATTGCACAGCAACACACACATATACTTCAACACATGAAACACGCAGTCATAAAGGGATTACTGCTCTTTGACGCGGGGACACTCAGATACTACATGTTCATACACACACTATACGTCAAAACACAAGCTCTATGACAACGGCGCGAGAGGAAGTGTTAGTGAGGGTTACTGGGGCAAAGGTGACAGAGGCATGAAGCAAAGGGATCGCTTGTGAAGTTAAGATTTTAGAGGTCGCACATGGGAGCTGCCGGCAGTAAGCGGCGCACGCCGGAATAACTAAATGCATCTATCCGAGTCGCGGTGGAAGGAGACCGAGGCGCTCCTCTGTTTCGCCGTCTTTACCCGTGAGTGTTCAAGTCTCTCCCGTGGGAGGCGGAGCGCTGTGTGGACAACAAAAAAGAAATGACAAAAAATGGAGTGGAATGTTTACAACAACATTGAGCTTGTTTACTACAGGAGGTTCTCATAAGGTGGTGCTCGTCTAGTACACCGTTTAGATGAAGGCGGTTCTCCACACACGCTGTAAATAATTTAAAAACCAGTGTACTTGTTTGTATATAGAGAGTTTAGTGTACTGTCATGTACAGAAAACCCACTTAAAAAGAAAAGGGGAGTCGGTTTTTTTTTTTAAATGCACACAGAGGCTGGAAAGCCCCATCAATTAACAATGTGCAGACGGCATGGGAGGATTTTAGTGCCAACATACTAGTATATTTGCTCAGCTGACCAAACAAATCATTTCAATAAACTGGTGAAATGTACATTTCTGAAGAGCCATATCTCTCCAGCATCCTCTCAGCTGTGTCACAGGATTTCATGGAAACCATGGCACCGTTCTGACATTGGCATTTGCGTGTATAACCGACTACAGCCAAGACTACACCACACTGACGCTTCAAAGTGGCCCCATTCGATGCCTTGAGGAGAAACTCTGAATTAAATATGAATCTAGTATTCAAGCTTTCAGCTGTACAAAGCTGCACTTTAGTGTGACGTAAAACGTGCTGTGTTTTATCTCTAGTCGACAAACTGTTAGGTGGGCGAAAAAACTATGAGCCGTCTGAATTATTCAGCAGACTGATTTACATTGTCCCCTGTTTACATGGAGAGTGCGCACACTGTTTAACTAATCAACAAACTAAGGTCTATCTACCGTTCTCCAGACTTTGTTTACAGTCTGTGTTTACAGTCAACAAAGGGTCATTGAAGTCATAGTAGCAGCGCACAGACGGCGATGGGGAAACACTGCCCTCCAGGGCCTGTAGTGTCCCAGTATTGCACGGCCCAACAAAACAAGTCCACATGCTTCTGATGGCCGCTAAATAGAAGTGAAAAATCAACTTGCATACCCGCTGTGAAACGCCTACATTTCAGGGTACTTCAGCTTGTTAACATAAACCTGAGACGTCAGTGGGTGAATTAAATGTTTTAAATAAAAACAGTCGCAAAACAGCGTTGAGAACCGGCATCCTTCTGCAGGAGAAAGATTCATTCGCATCGCAGTCAATGTTCTATACCAGTCACCTTACATTTCTATCGTTTTCACCCACAAACAAACAGGCGCTGTATAATATTATTGGAAATAGTCTATTTGCTTTACCCATCACTAACTATACTGTAAAACTTTCTAAAGCAGACTTTGTATATTTTACTTGCAGATACAGCCAAGGCAGATTTTTTTGTATACGGTTTAGAGTCGTATCAATCTAGACACCGGGAAATGTAGATTACATTAGATTAGATTTTGATACATTTGAGCGATGAAGTTTTCCTCTGAACCGCTGAAATGATGTAGTGAAACTCTCTACACTCTATTGCGTTTCTCTTTGTCACTCATGCTAATTATGTAGATATGTGTATTCACGAGAAGAGGTATGAGTATGTAGGAGGAAGCTGTGCCCAAGTTGAGGGCGGTGTCGATGTGCAACACGGAAAACAGTTACGTGTTCTAGTTCGCTTTTTAGGACTCTCAGAGGTCAGTTTACACCCTTTTTTTCTGCGCCCGTGTCCGCTGTCAATCCGCCAATGCCCATTTCTTCGTTCGTTTTTTTGTTCGGTTCTTTGTTCGGTTCTCTCTGAGGATCATTTTATTTTTTTGTTGAGTGTATTAGCATGTTTACATGAGCAACCAGTGTAGAAGAATAACTCTCTGTAGATGTTAATGTTGGCCGCGGAGTAGGTGAGGTTGTAACAGTGGCCTAACTGTAGTCTACTCACTGAACCACCCGATGGGACCAAGAGTACACACATCTCACACACACACACACACACGCGCAAAACTGTTGTGTTGACTGGGTGATGATGTCAGAGTGTGTACCTGGCATCGTCCCAGCAGGTGTGGCTCCGCCCCCGAAAACAGCACACTGTCTGGACTGTTTTCCATGAACTGTCCGGCTTCGGCCCCTTGCTGTTCTGTAGCTAGATGTGATGCCTCCCCATCTAGGATCTCCTCCTCCCCCAAGTGTGCGTTAGTGTTTGCCTCCCCCATCTGTGTCCTTCTGCAAGATGCATGTTGAATCCCCCCAGCCCTCCGTGTACGTGTGTTAGTAGCATGGTCTACTGTGATGGACGCCTGCTGTAGGCATTCAGTTTACCCGCGGGGTTAATGCCCCACAGTGTGAATCCCAAACACCAGAGGCTCTGTGAGATGGAAAAGAGCAGGTGGCTCCATCCAGATATGTTGGCTAATGGAGTCAGTGTCAGCTGCTCTTTAGATACGAAACCTCTGCTCTGTTGGGTCTTGCCATGTTTGCAACCGGTAAAAATTCCGGCTCATCTGTTTTTGTTTTTGGGTGTAAAATATTTCTATGTCTGTGTTAGTGTCCCCTTCTTCTTCTTCTCCTTCTTCTCCTCCTCCTTCTTGTTCTTTTTCCTACTCCTTGTCCTACTTCTCCTGCTCTGTTGTCTTCTTCTTCTCCGCCTTGTCCTTCTTCCTTGCCTCCTTTCGTCTTCCCCCGCGCTGATGTCTTCTTCTTCTTGTCCTTCTTCTTCTTCTTCTTCTTCTTCTTCTTCTTCTTCTTCTTCTTCTTCTTCTTCTTCTCCTTTTCTGTCTCCCATTCACTCCCTCCCAGGTCTTGCTCTTCAATGTGTCCCCCTGTGCAGTTTTTTCTTGTGATGATGATAATGTCTCTCTCTCTCTGCCTGAACCTTTGTAGGGAAATAACGACTAAGTTACTACAATGTCATGTGATAGACCTCAACATATATTCAATACTGTAATAAATGTATGAACTTGACGATGAAATTTAAGTTTTTTTTAATGAAATGCTGAAAAAACTTGTTTTTTAGAACATGGCATGAGGTGTAATGTGTTACCGAAAGGAAATTGAGGTCTTTAGTTAAATGAAATTTACCTTATTTGAATATAGTTTATTTATTTTCGAGGCGTAATGTGTCTGAGTCATTATTTTTGCACTGAATGAGACAAGGGCCCTCTTTAGACGCAGATTCAAAACATTTTAGAGAAAGCACTAAAAATAAAAATGTACATCAAGCAAAGTAAATTTAGCATTGGAAATGGGATGAGCAGAACTCCCAGAAGAATGATCAGGATATCAACCTTTGACTCTCAACCTTTTCTACACGTAATGTTATCTTTCATAGTCACCACATAACCTCCCAATCATAACAATACTAAGAATTTGGCCATGTTTTTAGAGCTGAAATGTACCATTCATCAACCTGTGAATGATATTTGAACAAAGTGTTTTATGACAACCTTCATCTAGCTTTCTAGCTCAGAGTGAGAATGGATTGAATGTCATATATTTGAAGACAGATGGGAAGTGTACAATAATTAAAAAAGATTCCCCTGTTGTTTATTATGATGTGTATACGGGGAAATTTAGAAAGTAGTGTCAGGATCACAGTAGCTACAAACAGAGAAATAGTCAAATAAACACCTAAATGTGTATTTGGATGTTTTCGTTTCACCAAAACCATCTTCCAATAGAGTAAAGTAGAACCAATAGAGTAGAACCCCACCTTTAAAAAACTACTGCAGCCCCTTAACCTTTGTTCTATGAGCTCTTGAGTTCCACAGGAGATATTGGTTTACCGTTTCAAAATAAAGTGACCAGACTGATACAATCTGATCTGATTTGGAAACAGTCATTCGTAAGAAGTTTTCAGACTAAGAAACAACACAATCACGTTCTTTGATAGTATATTATTAAGATATTGGATGCATTGTATAGTTGTTAATAATAGATCTAATAATAGTGTATTTACATGTTTACTACTCTAGTGGTCACTGTTTACTTTGGTGTTTATTTTAATACTAATAATCAGTCATTCTGTTCTTCTTCATTATTCTTACTGAATAATGTTTTGGGGGTTTACAATGGTGGGATATAACTAAATCCTGTAATTAAAAAGAAATCCAAAATACTCGTAGCTTCAGCCAGTTTGGTTACTGTATTTTGAAAATATATACCGGTGGTGATTTTTTTAAGTGCGCAGATGCGGATGTGACGCCATTACATTCGCGGGGCTGTCTTCGCCTGTGTTCCGTTTCCAGTCGTTAACCCGGCCAACCTGTGGGACAGGCATGTGTAAAACACGCTAATGTCCACGAGAGTGGCAATTTTGAGAAAGAAAGAATCGTAAATCAGTTAAAACCACCTCGGGTTTCTGTTCGAGGCGGCTGCATTTCCTCCCTTCCTGGAGCTGACTCGGTAATCACCGGAACGACGAGAGAAGGTAACGTTAGCTAACGTTAACGCGTGTAGTCGCCATTGTTTTTGAGATGGCGGAGAGTGAGGCCTTCGGCAAATTGACAATGTAAAACCACTTAAATGCATGTTCACGTGCATGCAGTATATTGGGTATTTAATTCGACTACTTCTACGAGAAAATATTATTTCCTATATTAAGGAATTACCGTTAATTCGGTGAACGGCTGGTGAGATAGAAGTGGCCCCTGCGGACTGTGGGTAAAGCAAGCCAACACGGCAATGACTAATCTACGCACATCAGTGCACATTTAGTCTTAATTGTAATTGGATACCGTGTTGCATTCGTGCTTAGTTAATTTAAGTTTTCTCATCGGCCCCAATGAACAGTGGCCAGTTAATAAATAATTGCCCTCTATCTACCAGTTAACGGTAGATAGAGGGCTAATGCAGGGCATTGTACTTAACGATAACAGACCGTACAGCGCCTGATCAGCCATCTTTATAGACACAGTGGACACCGCTGATCTAATGCTTTATTTGAAAGCGGTCCAGGAGGCTCGTGCGTGGCGCGATAACAATCGTGCGTGTGACGCGGTTGTACCTGCTGAGCTCACGTGACCACTTCAGATGTTTTCTAGCCCCTCAACAGCAGCTGCAGTGGTGGGAGGAGTGTTTACATCCTTTATTACATGTTGTAAATGCATCATTAATTATGAAAATACCCCACTGAAAGCCAAACTCCTCTTTCCAGACCGTACTGAAGTAAAAATATTATTAGCTAATGCTTTTTTAAATAAGTATAGACTGCAGTTACATTTATATTGCTGCTGCACTAGTGCCTTATTAGCATTTAAAGAACTTGTCTCCTGGTGGCTAATTTAATCCAACCTTACAGCAGTGCATCAACATGTAAAAGATAGTGTCTCAGTCTGTTGTTGTCCCGTGAGAAACACTTATTTGTAAATAAATTTGTCAATAACAAGGGGGGGGTAGCAATGGATTTGGACCAAATGAGCTGTATCTGAATTGCACAAATATTGCATATATATATTATATATATTAGTTTTTAAAGATGAAGGTGGCCCATGGGGCACAGATTATTGAATTGAAATATGATTGAATTTGTTAACATGTCACATGCAAATCTTTTTTCTGTTCTAATACCAAAGGATTTCTAATTTGTTTGATATATTGACAGAACAGGTTAATTTTCAAAATGGAGACTAAATGGGTAAATTATAACTTGTGCACCTTTTCCAAAACAGGCAAGGAGCAATGTCGCACCATTCATCCTCCCGTAGCTCTTCACGGGCCACCGACTGTAAAGTCTACGTCGGAGACTTGGGCAACGGGGCCGCCAAGGGGGAGCTGGAGCGAGCGTTCAGTTATTACGGCCCACTGAGGACCGTCTGGGTGGCCAGGAACCCGCCTGGGTTTGCGTTTGTGGAGTTTGAGGACCCCAGAGATGCAGAAGATGCAGTGAAAGGCATGGATGGAAAGTAAGTAGACCTCCTGAAAGATCAGTAGTCCTATTGATTTGTTCTTCAATCAAATTGAATAACTCAAAAGATTTTAACAATTTTTGTATTTATTCTTTAAGTGACCCAACTGCTGTATAATTTACAAAAGTGTGTAGCTCTTGAAGAGACCATTTGTATGTTTCAAGTGTGCTTGTATGAAGTACTTAGCCATTGTCAGTGTGTTACCTTCACTAGAGTGTGGTTTTCAAGGTAAAAAATGTACCAATGTCAAAGTGGGCAATTTATAATACAGTATTCTCACTGCTTTGCCTCGATATAAGACGGATGGGGAACTGAAGCCGTTTAAGCTTTCTTCCCAGCCATCACTCTACCAAGTCACACAATAACAACTACAAGCTGACCGATCGAGGCAGCGCTAGGGCCAGGTTCCTCGTACCTGGTTCAACTAAGTCGATCAAATGTCCTATTAACCAGCCCAAATGAACCCGATGGTTGAAGGCAGGCTATCTTGGTTCCTCATAAGCATCAGCTTATGAACTCCAATGTGCTTAAACAATCATTAATTCGAACCTGACTTCAGTAATTGGGATAACCGCGCATGCAACGCTGTTGGTAGTAGGCTTCGTGGAATGCATCATCCAATGAGATCTTGCTAGCGAATTATCAACTTTCAGAATAAGTACAGTATGTCAATGATACAAATTAATACTGAGGATATATGTACTGTGTGTAGATAACTATATTGGACTAGGAGTTGAGTGTATGCGAATTTCATTATCAGAAATTCAGTCATTTGATACACGGAACATCCAGAAGTTTCTAAAGCTCCAAATAAATTCTAGGCTGTCCCGTATGCATCATCGACGCTCTAGAAAAATGTACATAGACTGTGAATGCTCGGCTGCAGCGCGTGGTGTTCACCCTGTGCGGCTTAAGACGGTCTTGTAAATAAAAGATTCCTTGTCGGCAGAATTGATGGCGCTCGTATAACAAGTTATCACGTGATAACGGATCTTGGCAATCTCTACAAACTCCCTATAAAATGCTAAACTAACTAGTATCCATCAACGGGATCCCTCAACTTAAGTCAGCCTGCTGTGGAGCAGGTTCAAGTTGATGGATATGTTGCTATGGTGATTTTACCAAACTTGTTTTGTGGAACCAAAAGGCCTGACTAATCTGATCATGAAAATGATCTGGCTAACTTAGTTAGCCAAGTCTAAGGAACGGGGCCCAGGGAGTTCTGTTGGCTGATTTAAAATCTTCACTGCTGTACTGGGTCTCCTGTCTGTTTTTTGGAATTGGTTTGGTTAACCATCGCTTTTCATAACGGACAAAAAGGAACACAAATACTGCAGGACACTAGAAGATGACGTTCTAACATTTTTGAGGGTTTCTGTCCCTGCAGCCTCCCATACTGACACTTCCTCCTCCTCAGGCTCCTCTGTGGATCACGTGTTCGAGTGGAGTTGTCTACTGGCCTCTCCAGGAAGGGTCGTGGACGCCCCAGCCGGCGGCAGTTCGACCCCACCGACCGGTGTTACCAGTGTGGGGACCGCGGCCACTATGCTTACGACTGCTACCGCTTTAGCAAGCGAGGAGGCCGTCGCAGCAGGTGAGGGGATACGGTGCGCTTTGCACGTGGCGGAAGCGATGCAAGTTGAAAACGTAGTGTTGCGCTGATGCAAATGTGTTTTGCCTTCTTATCCCATCAAACGACAGAGGAGGATAATGGGTGTTTGTATGTTTCCGCTACAGGTCTCGCTCTCGCTCCCGCTCCCGGTCTCGGTCTAGGTCCAGGTCCAGGTCCCGCGGACGCCGTTATCATTCTCGCTCTCGCAGCCGCAGCCAAAGCCGGTAAGTCTGCACCGAAATGTAGAGGCTCTGAGGATTTTGGGCTGAAATGTTTCAAACCAAAGGCAGGTGTGCTACAGGGGACACAACCAGTATATCATTTGTAACATGTTATTATTTTGGTCTATTAATGGGAGTCAGGTCAACATAACGTCTTTCCTTTTTTTTTCTCAGGAGCCGTCGTCGATCTCCATCCTATTCCAGACGCAGAAGCAGGTAAGAATGCAAGTAGATGATCTGAAAGTAACTGATACGGTGGTACAGTGCTTTTCGATTTGCTCGCGACGTGCTGTATGTATCAGTGTTGTTCATTTGGTTCTGCAGGACTGATAATTGGAACTTTCCCTCGGGGATGAATTCAGCGCAGTGCACCTGTGATTATTTTTGATTTTCACCCTCACTTGGGTACCTAAATGAGCTGTCATTAAATCCACTTTGCCTCCTGCAACAATAGGTCTGGCTCCCCGGCCCGCTCCAAGTCCAGGACTCCAGTGAGAAGGTAGGTTTTGTGCGCCGTCGTGGTATCTGCTGGTACTGTGGTATCAACGATGCTGTGGTCTAAGCTTCCGCACTGCAGGCTGCAGAGAGTTTAACCCCAAAGCGGAAAAAAACAGAAGCAAATTGTTTCACTGTGAAGAAATAAGAAATAACACTGTACCAAAGAATTTTGACTTATTGACCCCAATCGAAAGGATAGTGACCAAATGTTTTCTGAAGAGGAATGTAGTTTCCAGAGCTCTACTATAAGATCTCCTTATACTGCAACACTCTTAAGACCTTCCCTGCACAATGTGGGATCAACCCATAACGGACTACACGTTGATTTTGGGGGGTCTTGGGAGCACGTCTGCAAGCTCGAGCAATACAGACACCACCCTTCACCGTTTAGGTTTGCAAATATGTTCATCTCTGTGCAGGCATAATTCCATGTTCCTCATCCAATAGTGAAGCACGTAAACGTTTTCTTCTTCTCCTCCAGTCGCTCTAGGTCTCGGTCTCGGTCCGCCTCTGCGCCCAGAAGGCGTTCCGCATCCCGCTCTCGATCACGATCCCCGGCGGCCAATCACAAGAAGAGCAGGTAAACCCTGTTCTGCACATCTCTTGTTGACTGAGTTAACCATTTTTAGAGCTTAGTCCTGCCAGCTGTTGTGGATCTTTACGAATACATTTTAGAAGCTCTAGTGAGGTGTAGATCATCCACCCTAGACTTCTTACAGATCAGAGTTCAGACCACAGCTGTGTTCCCATTCCAGGAGAGGGTCACTTAAGTTGTTAACCGAAGTAGGTGCCCCATCCTAGGCAGCTAATGAGTTTCGAATAGACCCTTCTTCCACCCGAGAGCGCCATGCTGCCACCAGTCAACTGCCCCTCGACGGCGAGACGGACAAGCAGCGAGAGCCCTTCGACGCCGAGAGATCTGCGTCTCCTGCCTCTGCCGCTGGACAGCAGCAGAGTGGAGGAGGGGTGGAGGAGAGTGACCCCAACCCTCTGTCGGGTGTAGAGAAGTAATGAGTAGATGAAAGATTAGACCTCTGTCGTGTGCTTCCTTCTCCACCTCGAAGCGACTCTACGCCATTTACCACGGCGGGTCTCTTTTATCGGTCTTAATCGATTTGGGAAACGGAGCATGCGACGGACACCCAGTTTATGAACTGTTGAGCATGTTAGCAGCTACAATCCAGTGAGATGCACCATTATCCTCTGTACCTTTTTCCTTTTTGATCTCACCCACAATGGATGTAGCTTTTTTTCTACAGGAAAAAGATCTCACAGCCGACAAAGCAAGAGGGACAATTGTATTCATCGGTTTGACGAGTGTTTAATAAAAACTGTCTTAAGTAGGGCTGGGCGATAATTCAGCAAGACCATTGATTTTTTTATTGCAATAATATTGTTTAAATTGATAATAACAAGCACATACTGGATGAAATAATTTGATTAAACGTTGATCTTTGTATAGTTGGACATTTTATTATCCAATTATTTTAACTTTTTACTGTAATGAAAATATACTCCGTTCTTTAGATTCATATTTTATTTTCACACAGTATAGAAAGTTTTTTTCATAAAATTTCAACATTTTCTACTCCTTTCTTACCAGCATACTTTATCTGTAATAAACAAACTTCATCTGCATAGACTTTCGGCCATATCGCCCAGCCCTCGTCAGAGTTAGTATTGTAAATGCTTTTTTTTTTGCCTTTTTCTTAAATTCAAATTCCCTCTCCTGAATTTTGGCTAAATGAAGTGAACTATCCAGAGAGTCATTAGTTGACAGAAAAGTTAAGCATCTTTGCAGCACAGTTTTGTTTATTTTTCATATTTTCTTTAAAGCGTGTGGTGGGAGCTGAGCACTGCACAGACACCACAGCTGACACCAGGCCCAGGGTCTGCCAGCTGGCGGTGTGCACGTCCTGCGGGAGGGTGACTAAGCGCTGACCTGAGATCAGCCTTCGCCTGCAGCCGGTGTTAGACAGCGAGAAAGAGGTCGACCTACCGACCGAACCCTCCCACACAGTGAATGGGCGACCCCGTCTGTTCGACCGACGCTCAGACGCACACAGTAGCTCTACTCGGGTCACCAGCCAGCCGTCAGACGTACCAGAGGGCCGACCCACACAGATCAGAACCGACCACCTCCGTTTAAAATCCATTACCTACCTACCAGACCCCCTACCTACCAGAGTTCTTCGGCCTCTGTCTTAGCTTCTGAAAGTGAGAGAGAGCTGACGAGAGATCAGTCTTCAAGAGCCTTCGCAGCGCAGTGTCTCTCCAAGTTGTAGTCATCCGTCCTACAGTCCTTTCATCCTTCGCTTCTCTGTACTTGTTGTTTCTGCCACTGTCTCCAAAGGTAACCAAAAATCAAACGCCCTGACAAGCTCATGTTCATAGTGAAAGATAATGCACAGGGTTGATGTATTTCTGGGAGTGTGTGTGTGTGTGTGTGTGTGCGTGTGTGTGTGTGTGCGCGTGTGTGTGTGAGAGAGATATTTTGATTGCTATCTCTGAGGAGGCTTTGTCAGATGTATTCTTTTGCTATACATGTTTGCTACATCATTACCATTCTAGGCCGTTTTACCATCTCAGTACAGTGGAAACTGCTTATGTTGGATCAGAACACTCGCTATGCAGAGGCTGTCTGCATCATTTGCAAATAACCAAGAAGTCCTTTTACATTTGACAGTTTGTTTTCCTCAGGCTGCGTTCTGCAGTCTGCACAAGTATAGAAACCGTTGTGGTTGCTAATAAGGCTCTATGGCTAAAGTTGATGCCTAACTTAAAAATAAATGAATAAATATTGACTGTCAATTAGGTGGTGAAGAAAAAACAATTAAACAATCACCCATTTGTGAACCAAATCAAGGTGGATGGATCTGATTACCGTTTAAGAAGTGTCCACTGTACTTTCTTGTATCACTTAAACTTTATGATAATAATGGTGGCTTTTAAATAGAGTGGTGTAAACACAGAAGGAATAAGTTGTAACCATCTCCTCAGAGCTGTAACTACGCTAACCATCTGTTATAGTCGCAGGAGAAAATACCTGTTTCAGTTATCTGAATGGCCCTCAGGGATTCTGTATTGTATTTAGTCTTTTGCCGCAGGGCTTTTACTTTGAAGATTAGTTGCTGTTAGACCGATTTTTAGATCACCGGTTCTTCACATGAACCTTTTTGTTTAGAGACACCAAAGGAGCTTGATCCAGTCAGGAACTTTCTTAAAAGGTGTACGCTGTGTTAAGATGTTTAGTGTAATGTTTGTGTGTGTGTGTGTTCCATCCTCCCCTGCGGCAAACTAACCCCTCTCCCTTTCTGTTTCAGTCGCTCCCGTTCAGCAAGTCAACACCGAAGTCCGACGCCAGCAGACACCTGAGCGAAGAAGACTAGTTAGTTTAACAGACAGACCCCCCCCTGTCCCCCCGGTCTGCTTTTACAGCCCTACAGCAAGGTTTTCTTCTTTTATACTTGTCCGTCTAGTCAGATTTTATTTTCTGTAGTTACATTTTTTTCCCCCAAGACTAGACCTTGTGCAGCCTCAGATTGTTGAAGATTTAGTCAGTACAGCAGACAAAGTAATTTCTGTTGTGTTTTTCTGCCTCTGCATGTCTCATCTTTCTTTGCAATGCTCACCACCGTGGCCGTTAATTTTTGGCAGCGGTTAGAGCGGCTTGGACAGCAAACTTCCGGTGAAAAGAAGGGACCAGTTCGTGCGGTTCCCCCATTGAGAATCTGCTTCTTTTTTTCTCCCGCGCTCCAATTGAATTGAGTTCCGATGCTGTTAAAAGTCGCTGCTGGCCCGCATGCCTTTACATTAAATGTCACATTCCTACCGTTTGTTGTTTCTGTGTTGCACTGCCCCTTCAGGAACCTGTTCACATTGTGCTGAATAGATTTCTCCCATGTGTTGATCTCCCATTTGTTCCAGTGTATTTTTAATTTTAAGATATTACACAGTAACAGTGCTGAAGTTGGATTTCTGTAAGGACTGCTTTAACAGTCATGTTCCTGGCTTGTATGTTAAGACAGTGGCAGTTTTATTTTTCAATAAACCTCTTCAACATACCTTACTCTTTTTTTTTTTTTTCTTCTTTTTTTTTTGTTTCCCTCAAGTTTTATTTGCCTTTATTTTTTTAAGAAAGTAGTTTAGTTGCATGTTTTTATAGAGGTGTACTTAATATACATATTTTAATCTTCATGTAAAAAGCATCAGGTGTGCTAATGACATTAATAACTCAATACATGTTCTTGGTGGCAGTTTTAGTCCATAAAAGTGTCCTTCATTTGATTTCAACTCAAAACAAATTGAATTAAAATTTAATGCATCAAACTAAATAAATCCTACACGCTGTACACAATCATCTTTGCATATATATAATTTAATAGTATCACGTATCAGTTGACTTTTAAAAGTACGTTTTGTTTCGTATTTTATTTTGGTCGTACTATATCCAATTTATGGTTCTACCAATCTAATACTGAACATTTTCACCTAATAGTCTGGTCCTAAGTTTAAAGCGTGTTAACGCTCACCTCGCTTTCATTGGCTGTCACTCGTGTCAATAGATCGATCGACGGCTGCTCGAGCCAATCACCGCTCACGGTGCCTCCGTCCTGGGCGTGAATACACGAGCCTCGTTTTTCATGACTTTTCCGTCCATTTCAGTTCAGCGTCACTACCACCATCCTTTTTAACTGGGACAACATGGCTACTGCAGCGAGCCGTTACTACAGCGAGGACGGCAGGGCAACGAAACGACAGAAAACCGACGGAATGGCGACGGTGAGTCGTGGGTGGCAGTGGAAGATTAGCACGGGTCACCCGACGGGCACGCTCGGCTCGGTTGATGCGTTCGTTGTTGAACGTTAATTCATTCAGTTGCGCGTTTGGCGAGAAACAGTCACGACGCTTTACAGGTCGTTTTGTTGTGTAGACATTTGTCGTGTTTTATCAAGTAATCACTCCTCAGGGCCTCGCAAAAAATACACCCCTAACGGCAAACATTATCCGCATACAACCCGTGCCGTGCTGTCTGCCGCGGGGTCTGCCGAGGGCAGTTGAACCGACCGGGCCTCGCCCGAGCGCGGCTTTGTTCTACTGCTCGGTAACGGTTAGCAACATGCTAGCCGTGAGCTAACCGTTCCACATCGTGATAAAGGGACTGGCCAGGGCCCGAGCAGCCTGGTTCACGCAGGCTAACCCTTTCCTGTTACCGGAACGTTACTTGCAGGGTTTAATAAAAACAGTCTTCTCTTTTCAGTAGTTAGAGAGAATAGTATTTAATGAACCATTTAAAACGACGCATTCCGATTAGCAGACCCTTCCCCCCGCTGCTACCTGAGGTTAATTCCCCTGCTATGAGGTAACGTTCGCTAAAGGCAGGATAAATAATACACTGACGGTGCCCCCTCGTTTATTCCAACTTAAACGTTGTCTGTGCAAAGGATCCTGTAAACACCACCTATCTACAATTAACATTTTTATAAGTATTCTCATCGCAATGTGATTGAGCCAAATTGTCCCTGCCAGGGTTTTTCTATTTGTATTAATGCTGCATAAGGGTGAATGTTAGTATACACATGTTAATATTCATATACACAATCCAGAATAATTATCCACATAGTGATGAAGTATGATTTGTATTTCACTACTGTGCACTGGGACACATGCTGGTAGCAGTGTTTGAGGGAACGTACGACAAGAATAAGAACAGGCGTGTTAATTCTCCTCTTCTTCAAACCAGGGGTACGAAGACCCACACAAGACCCTTCCATCTGTGGTGGTGCACGTTCGGGGGCTGGTAGATGGTGTCACAGAGGCTGACCTGGTGGAGGCCTTGCAAGAATTTGGAGCAATCAGGTAGCAAACATTAACTCTCAACACTGTTGTGTAGAGTATCTCTTCGCTGATGCACTTTTATAACTTGTATTCCTTTATTTTTAAACTAACCCGTAGCCCTAATTGTTTGCTCTTATGCACCAACCGCAAAGTCAAATTCCTTGTATGTCTGACATATTTTGGTTATAAATATTTCCTGATCCTGAAAACATTTGTGGGGAGAATGTGTTTGAAAGAACTTAGCACAGCACAAATCAAGTTTGCTTTAGTTGTGACAACTTTTAATCTATTAACTTCAAGATATGATGTAATACTTGAACCCATTTGGGTTCACAGCATTGGCCTCGTCATCTAACCGCGTTGTTTTTTTATAGCTATGTGGTGGTGATGCCCAAGAAGCGCCAGGCTCTGGTGGAGTACGAAGACATGAACGGATCGTCCACCGCTGTGACCTATGCGGCAGACAACCAAGTATATATCGCCGGCCACCCGGCCTTCATCAACTACTCCACAAGCCAAAAGATCTCCAGGCCGGGAGACTCCGATGACTCAAGAAGTGTCAATAATGTTCTGCTGCTCACTATCATGAACCCCATCTACCCCATCACCACGGTAAATGCACATGCTTGAACTGAGATCGTTGAGTGTCATCGTGTTTTGTGACGATGTTTTTAATGGTGGCTCCACTGAGAGAGCTGCCTCGTGTGTCCCAGCCTGAGCAACTTCAATGGTTGGTGTTGAAATGTGTGAATAATTTCTTTCCTTCTGATCCCTGGCAGAGCGTTTGAGATGCTAAAACGATTATTAGCATGACTACAATCGTGTCTTTCAACTGTTTATTGTCACTATTTATTTATTTGTATTTGCTCTAGCGGTTTAATTTTTTTGTTTTTGTTTGTTTTTAATGTTTTGGAATAACGCCACCATATATATATATTAGAAGCCAGCAATATTATGTTCAATCTTGTATAAAAATACCTCCGGCACCATGCCGGAGAGTTAAAGGTCAGTGCTTCATAATTGTCAGAGGTCACACTCCTTTCATACAGCTGGTGACCTGCAACGGTGCCCCTCAAAGAGCTAGAGCTTTTCTTTAGCCGGGTAAACCATTTCTTTATGCGGATATGTTTCCCACATTTACAGAGGATCTATGGGGCTTGACTTTATTATAAAGTTTTTATTTTCCACTTGAAGCTTCCTATAGGTTTCTGACCACTTGTTTTGCTGGTTTGCATGTTAAATCAGAGATCAGATAGACATTCTACAATGTTCTGCTCACCTTTTTGGTTTTAACATTTACCCCTGTGTTTTTGTATATAGTTTTTAAAAGATTAAACATTTTTAACTGTTTTCACAGGACGTCCTCTACACCATCTGCAACAACTGCGGACCTGTCCAGAGAATTGTCATCTTCAGGAAGAACGGCGTCCAGGCGATGGTTGAATATCCTTTTCCTTGGTCTGAAAGCTGTGTTATATTGCTGTCGAATGGACCACAATTCTGTGTTTAGGTTCATTCTTTTGTGGATTTTTGTATCATCATCATCAGTCGCGTCTTAAAGATGTCCTAGTACCTCCCCTATTGTATCCTTAACTCATGTCATTACATTCGACTCTGTGCAAAGCGCCCAGCGGGCCAAGGCATCACTTAACGGAGCGGACATCTACTCTGGCTGCTGCACACTGAAGATCGAGTACGCCAAGGTACAGCTGAGAGGCCATAGCGCTGTACCAAAAAAACCCACATGTACAATGTAACACAACCCAATTCCCTTGCTGGGAATGTTGCCTTTCTGGGTCAATCTAATGCCTAGATTAACCTAGCGTTTACAAATGTGTAATAATTCCATTTTACTGCTTCCGAACACAAGTCTCATAGAATCCTTGCATTACTGTACAGATAGCCATAATGGCACTTTTAGTTTGTCTGCATTGTATTCATATAAGTGATGTCTCCTCAGCCCACTCGTCTGAATGTGTTCAAGAATGATCAGGACACCTGGGACTACACAAACCCCAACCTCGGCGGCCCAGGTAAAGGCATCAAACACCCCCTGAGCATTTGCTTTGTAGCGCGTGAGCCTAATATTAAAGTGCCCTTGCTGCTTCTGTGGGAAGTTTCACCAACATTCTTCATTGATAATGCTACTAAATATATTTCAATTATGTCCAATATGCTAATTTAGTGTTTTTCTTGTGTGGCATTATGACTGAAGAGTTGCTCTTGGTCTTACTTTAACACTTCTTAATAAAACACTACAGTCAGGCACGATGGATATCATTTTGAGATTACTCCACCCAATCGAGTTGTAGAACCTCGTGGTCATTTAGCCATGAGACCCTGAATTCCAGCTACACATATACGTGTTCAGAGTTTCACAATGTGGCCGGACAGCAGGAACAAATAAGCATACAGAAAGCTGACATGAGTTTGTCAGTGTCAGACATCACGTCCAGAGCCGGTTTGCTCTTTTATTAACAGCCCAAATAAAAATAAAAAAAAGGATGTACTATTTGTATTTTATCCAGTTGTAAAAGGAGAGAAGTGTCAAACATTCTGTCTCTGCAAAGGACTGAATAATGTGATTGCTGTTTGATTTAACTCAGGCTACGGTGCAGCAGAGGCTGCATTTATTTACAAGTTGCGCTCTGAGGCAGAAAATGGTGTCGTCGTCTGATCCCTGGGATGATTTTGTCTTAATCATCAAAAACCTCCTATCTGCATATTTCAGTCACAAAGACGCAACCCTGTTGTGTGCATAGTATTCTTTTCAGCAGCATTTGCTCTTCCTGCCATCCTGACCAAAAATGTAAAATTGGATAAGTTTGCACGGTTATGTTTTTATTTTTAGAGGTAACATGTATTTCAACTTTGACTTTAAAGTCACTGGAGACGGGTTTCCTGTTCTTTTCCACTGTTATCCAACTTCTATCATTTAAAAAAAAAAAACTCCTTCCATTTGAGTTGTTTTTAAACTTGACCAACAACATACCAAAGTCTAGCATGTATGGCCAGACACCCACTCAAAAAGCGAGTTTGATGGTTTAAAGGGGCTCTGACAAAACAGCCGTCAGCCAAACTCGTGGCCGTATTTTGTGTGCGAGGTGAGAACAGAGGCAAGGACCCGCGGCGGTAAACCCAACATCTGCAACGTCACGTTACTCTGATCTCCTCCTGATAAATCGGTGATATCGGCAACTCCAAAAACACGCGGAGGAGGGAGAGGCTGATACATGCTGACAACATCACCACTCCGCAACCACCATCTCAAGTATCCACTTCTACAGTGAGGACACAGCTCCTATCATACAGAGGGACAAATGTCACCCGAGACACGAGGGGACAAACTACAAGACACCACCCATTCAACACGCCGTAGGACTGATATACCACTCATTCCTCGTCTTCGCATTCCAGCACAACATCCATGAAGACCCATTCTAGACGGTGGTGGTGGTTTGGGTACTGAGCTACACTTGGGCCCGTCCCCCTGTTTTTTCTTTTTCCTCGTACCCATTTTGAGACACAAGCGAATGACACATTGAAAGCAGGCCAAAGCTTGCATCTACAATCCGCCCCACCCTCACGGTCTGCACCAAACGGAGACTGATACCAGAGAAGACACAGCGTCCACCCAAACAGAGGGTAGAGACTGACATCTCAGTACAGCTGCATACTGATACTAACCAGCCCCTCCTGCTCTGTTTTGGGATGTGTTGATGACACTCGCTGGAGCTCCGCACCAACTGATCCAATAGACAACTCACACGCCGAATCAAGCTGTAGCTAGCGTCATGGAGTCCACACGAGACGACTGATGAAGACAAGACACTGCTGACAACACCATCAAGCACACTCAGGCCCATTTTTTCCTTTTATGTGTTTCTTCCTAAGTAAAATTCATCTTTTCTATCTCTGATTTTCTTCCTGTATGCATCCCTGTTTAGCTGTCCTTTTTCCTTCCCTCTTTTTTTTTATTTTTGGAGTTCAGTTCTTTCTTTATTCTAAAGTCTAGAACCTGTGTAACGCCTTCCATGTGATACAGGTTTGGCAATTTTCGGCTAAGAGGAGCCAGCTTCCCAACTGAACTGTGCTCTATGGCAGCCTCAAGGCGTCCCAGTGGGTGCTAAGCGGACTATTCCCCAAAAAACGGAACAAAAAGGACGTGAACACCAGCCAATCGGCGGACCGACCAGCCCTCCCACCAATGGGCTTTTCAGCTTGATAAAACCAGGGAGTCGATCCTGAGGTGGCGAGTTGTCCGTCCACACCCCCCCTCCCCTCCCAAAGAGGAAAAGGATAAGAGTGTGGGATGGATGGAATGAATTGAGTGGAACTGCTACAGCAAATATCTTCCTCCCCACTGTTTGTAAGCATGCAGTAAGTAAATCGAGAACTTCCCCGGGGAACATAACTGCACAGCACCCAACATCGCCACACCAGACTGACATGACTCCATTCCCCCCTCATACAGGCTTAATTTTTCTTTCTGGAAGAGGGTGTTGGTTGGGGGTTCTGTCGGAGCCTGAGTTTTTCTAACCTGCTGTGTCTGTTCACTAAGGATACCCATCAATACATGGAACAACCTTTCTTTGGTAGTTGAATCATGCTTTTAATCCGGGGAAGTGGGTGTGAACTTGATATGATTTTGTGTAGGATGTGCTTGGGGCGTGTTCGTCATAAAAAGAGGAGAGCTTTACACCCACGTGCTGTGGGTGTCCAAAGCTTACAGATCGCTTTTTGATTCTTAGGGCCCTGTTGGTCGTCCGCTGAGGGACCAAGCCATCCACATGTTGAATACATTTATTTACCTTTTTAATCTTGAAATGCACGCCTTTGTCATGAGTGGTTTTACTGCACTCCTGACATCCTAACTGGGGGAATTTGCCCGGGGGAAGAAATATGAAATGTACTTTTGGGATTCTGATGTGTATGTGACCATGTGTACCCGTACAGATGGAGATGGAGATGGCAATGGGAGCAATCCAGGTGTGTGTGAGCGTACAAATTTACAAGCAACAGTGCTCATTTTTCTAACAGCTGTTAAGCTGGAGCATGTGAGGAATGCTGCAGTGATTTTGAAGAGGGTTCACTGCTATGGGTTGGCCCGCCATTACATTCTATTGACTTTGGCTCACCGGTGGGGCATACAGGGACGTTCATTCACGAAAACACATGCTATAAAAACAGCACAGAAGCTCAGGTTACACTAATGGATATTACTTCACGATATCTTTACATTGACAGTAGTTTACTTCTATATTGCTGTTTGGATTTAGCACCTTTTTAGTAAAGCTACCCCTGACAAATGTACTGTACATCTGTAACTGCTCAGGCATCTCATTGTCATGTAGATATTTTCATCCACCATATTGATCTGTCACATTTTGTCTTCCACCTTAACCCTCGCCTCTTATTGCTAATCCCACAGAGGATGTAAATGCTAACCCCAACAAGCGTCAGAGACAGCCTGCCCTGCTGGGCGACCACCCTCCAGAGTACGGTAAGGCTCTTCAGAAGAACAACCAAACTCTACTTTTGTCTTTTAAAAGTTTTTACATTTGTACTCCCAATTTCAACTGGGTCTAAACCTATTAAGATACTGGGACCAAATCTTTTCCTCCCAAGTAGTGCCACGGTTATTGTAAAATGGTCCTCTGGAGTAACTTCTCCTTGTTTCATCGGCCTCTTCACCTTTATCCCCATTTGCTTGCCTTCTTCGTCAGGAGGTGGTTACCACGGCTACGACGAGAGCTACGGCTCCCCGCCCTACGAGGGTCGCCGCATGGGTCCACCAATGAGAGGGCGCGGAGGCAGAAGCTACGGTCCGAGCTACGGGCCCCCTCCTCCTCCTCCCGGGGAGTACGGCGGCCACGCCGAGTCTCCAGTCGTCATGCTGTACGGCTTGGAGCCCGTCAAGATGAACGCCGACCGAGTCTTCAATATCTTCTGCCTTTATGGCAATGTAGAGCGGGTCAGTGTCCTCCTTACTGTGAATAAAGGAGATGTCGTCACTGACACACTCCTCAGTTATTAACGCAATGTTTTAAGCGGGCAAACGTCTAATGAAATGTAGACAAGATGACAACCTACAATCACATGATGTGAAATAATTAGGGCTGTCAATAGATTAAAAAAAAATAATCTCACATTTTAAAATTCATAATTAATCCTGATTTTTTTCTTCTAAAGACTAAATCTTAATAAATTAACATGTAATCACTTTAGAAAGCGTTTTATACACCTTGGAGGCAGAATCCCACCAGGTGGAACATGTTGGCATACTGCTGTGTTTTGAAGGGCCAACAATCTCACATTTAGCCAGAACGTTTTCAAACCACGGTCTTTTAGGGACACAGTGGAGGTCCTCTGCAGACTGTGGTTAATGTTGGGATGGAAGGAGCCTAGCAGTGCGCTAAGTACTTTACCATGTGGAGGATTTCCTCAGCCAACGGACACCTAAAGTAAACCAAAGTTGTGTTAGAATATTTTATTGCATTAATCTTGGCCACAATCATCCCCAGAAATAATGAAAACCGACCCTTTTTATAAACAAGTAGAGTAGTTGCACATAAATTGAGCTTTGCTGCTTGACTGTGACAACTCTACTCCCTATAACTACACACCCTTGTACCCAACGCTATCATCGTAACTCAACTGTTTCGTCTCTCCATAATTATCTTTACTATCTCTTTCAAGGGCCCAAGTCAAACCTGTATTCTGTCACTTTATCGCAGGTGAAGTTCATGAAGAGTAAGCCTGGAGCAGCCATGGTGGAGATGGGAGACTGCTATGCAGTGGACCGCGCCATCACTCACCTCAACAACAACTTTCTCTTCGGACAGAGACTGAATGTGTGGTGAGTTCATCCCGTGCGGTCTGAAGAACGAGGCCACGCTCTAAAGTACCATGCTTCGGGCAGATTAAACGGTATTAATTGGTCTCATTTAAGAAATGCAAAACTCTGCTAAATATGATGCATTCCTTTTGTTGGGGCGTCAGATGTCGCGGTCTCTACGGATGTGTCTCCTCACTAAATGAAAATATTTCATTTGTTAAGTCTAAGCCTCCTCCCTTCTCTACAGCGTGTCCAAGCAGCAAGCTATCGTGCCTGGTCAGTGCTATGAGCTGGATGACGGCTCGAGCAGCTTCAAGGACTTCCACGGCTCCCGCAACAACCGATTCACCTCGCCAGAACAGGCGGCCAAAAACCGCATCCAGCACCCGAGCAACGTGTTGCACTTCTTCAACGCCCAGCCAGACGTGACGCCCGAGATTTTCAATCAGGTCTGTAGAAGGAGGAAATCAATATGGATGTGAATTCCTGCTGAAAGCATCAACAAGTTTTAGCTGTGCTAACAAAGCAGTCCCTGATGATAAATGTTGTGTTCTTTGCAGATTTGTGAAGAGATCGGTGTCAAGAGCCCCATCAATGTTAAAATGTTCACAGGAAAGAGTAAGCTGCATTGATTCTGCTTATTGGGATAGATTATTCAGTTTAGAAATAAACACTTAAAAAAACAGGCCCATAATGCGTCCCTTACAGTCTACTGCCTGTATCTGGAATGTGTGGTGTAATTCTCACTCCTAACCACCAGGTGGCGCAGCCCCCAGCGACCGCAGTGCCTCAGGTCTGCTAGAGTGGGAGTCGATCAATGATGCCATGGAGGCCCTGGCTCTGATGAACCACTACCAGATGAAAAATGCAGGTACGGGTAAGACACCGAAACTGTTTACATAAACCCTCAAAATGATTTCCTCACATTTATAAATGAATTCGCAAATGTATGTATACTATGTATTTATTTAGATGTTGATGTTTTGAAAGTATTGATTTAAGAACTAGTCTCGGGCCAGAGATTCAGAGATATAAAAACAGATTAAATAGAATCTTACAGAAGAAAAATAATTCATAATAACTCTCGTGTGATATTTGTTGTGGCCTAATTTTCTCTCTCTCTCTCTCTAGCCGGTCCTTACCCGTACACCCTCAAGCTGTGCTTCTCCACCGTGCAGCACGCCAACTGAGCCAGTAAGAAGGAGATTGGCCCACCATTCCTGGTTCACATGTACTTAGACCACGACTGCTTTTTAACACGCCTGGAGAAATTGGATTTTTTTTTTTCAAGTATGACTTTGAAATGATTTCACAATGTAAATTGATTGCTTAAGTGTAAACTCTTCATATTCGGTATATTAAGCAGATCCAGCAGCCATGACAAAGTTTTGATATTTATGCCCCAGATGTGTTTCTAGAGTATCAGTACATGTGTCTTCAATACTAAGTTTTACTTTTTTTTTTTTTTTTTGTATTATGCTTCTACAGTAACCTGACATGTGCGTGTGTTTGAGCGATTTGGTTTTATGGTCGGCGCTCCAGGAGCAGCAGACATGGTTTTGTAAAAGTTTGTCTTTGGAATTTTTATTATTATAGCTCACTTTTCTTTCTTTATTTTAAATGCCTATTCAATTGTGCGTTACTGTGTCAGATATGCAGATAGAGAATTGTTTTGTTCTAAGAAAATAAAAATAAAACATCTACTTATATTGTGTTTATTCTGCCATGCTCCTGAATGTGTTTGTGTACATCATATGATTGATGCGGATGGATCTACAAAAGGATGCATTCTGAATTGCTGAGTTCAGTGTTTTCACTCGCTGCGTATGAGTAGTATGAACTTTTCTGTCAATTTGGTATAAATCTTTGCTCCCAACATCAGATAAGCTACTACTGACAACTGGCTGAAACAAGTATGTGCCACATAATCTCAAACTATTAATCAAGATGGGGCTTGAGCTGTGCAAATATCAACAGCCGTCTTTTGGACATCATTTAGCAATATAATGCAAAAACAAATACATATGTATCCTTAAAATAAACCGTCTCATCACTGGAGAGGATTAGTTGGTTTGCAATAGACTCATTAGATGTAACTGGAGTTGTAGAACCTTTCAGGGAGTTTTGTTGCAACCACAATCATTTTAAACGTCCTCTGGCAAACGTAAAGGATGTAGACTTTGTTTGATTGCCCTATTTGTATTTTTACACTGTTTCGTGTTACTGTCTGACATGCTTGCCCATGCTGCAGAGTGATATAAGGAGTCTCTAGGCTCTTTTAAAAGTCTGCTGATACTTCTGTCTGTTTAGGGCCAGCAGCAGGGGGAGCAGGTCCTTGCTGAGGTGGGTTTCATCTTTTAACGTTTTTTCAAAAATGTTCAGTAATTTTGCATTGCTTTCAGACAAAATGCATTCACATTTTTCAAAATCCACAAGCATTTTTTATCATCCATACTCCGCAAACTATATATTTGCAGGATATTTTTACATACAATTGCAGTAAATATTTTTACATTACATTGAAATATAGATTCAATTATTTTTTAAGCTAATTGCAATTTCAGCTCAAAGCCAAACCATGTGTCCTGCTTTGGTCTCGTTACCAAGATTCAGTCAAAGGGGAAAACTTGGAACTGATATATTGAGTTATTGACTATGTTGACATTTATGGTCTCACTTTGAGAGAGGCCGGTTTAAGGGTGCAACCACATCTGCACTGCTCAACAGTTGCGTCAATAGTACAATGTTCCCTGCAAAACAGCTGAGATGATACATATCACAGTACAATACAATGTGTCTAAATTTTGAAACTGAAAGGTTGCCTCAGAGAGGAAGGAGAGGCAGAATCTGTGGGAGAATGCCACTGTTGACATGGTAATTGCCAACAATGCAATACAATTCGGGATTGAGTGCTGACCCACAATAGAACTTTTGGAAATCTGACTATGGTCAACACAACGACAACTGCCAGAGTGCTAGAGAAACATAAAATAAGGATGAAGCAATTATACACTGTCATCTTTGAGAGAAACGAGTGAAAGAACTCCGGTATCAGGGTGTCCAAGTAAGATGTCTGTTCAGTAATGGAGTAATGGAGATGGAAGCCGGCTGAACTCCACATTCTTTTATCTTTGTGGATGAAGCTGCATTCAACTTGGCAAAAACACAACACAGGGGAAGAAATGTGATTGGACAGAGAGGAGCGAACATCGTGATTTGTGCAGCACTGTGCAATGATGGTTTGCTGTTCACAAACCACTATTTTGCCCTACAATACAGAGAGGCCTATTTCTTTTCTGAATGTCTTGCACAATCAACTTGTCCAGCAGAGAGAAGGCGAGGGGCATCAAACTGCCTTACCTTCGTTGTTGTGTGGAATAATGTGGCATTCCACCACTCTGCTGCAGCACATCCCAGGATGTCAGTATTATTCCTGCCTCCATACTTGCCCTTCTTCAACCCCATAGAGGAGTTTTTCTCTGCATGGAGGTGGAAGGTTTATGACCATCATCCACGTAACCTACCATATTCACGGAAAAAAAAAATCTTGATTTTTTGCTGTATACATTCAAAATAAATACATGTGTGAGTGGCATGTATGTTTTCTGAATGACAATTTGTTGCCAGTTGTTAGACATGTAGGAAGTGTTACATTACGTGTTACATTACAGTGTTGCATTACCAAGATTAATTTGGACCAAACAGTTGATCTGCCCTCTAGTTGCTAACAACTACAACCAAATTAATCTTGGTAATGCAAACTGTATGAAGATTGTGAAAATGTGGTTTCAGTACAATGCTTGTTAGCAATTGAAAACCAGCCTGTAATATCTTTTGACTGTGTGCAGGAACCCCTCACCAGTGCTCTGCTGTTCCCAGCAGGGAGGCTTCCTGTTGCTTTTCAGAATAATTTAGCCCCATTTTCCTTGAGAAATACAACCGTTCGTGAGCCTTCTTCCCCAGGATGGGATGTTATAATTATGACGCACTATCCCATAATTATATCAGTATATACAATATAATACAAACATCCAGTTATAAAACAAGGTATGAAAAAAACATGGTTAACTTAATTAGAAAAGCTCCCCACTCCAAATTAGAATACTGTCTGGATGTTATAATGAACCTTGCTTTTGCATACACTGTTCTTTGTTCGTCCCAACGAACCTACAAAAAAAACGTCTTCGATACTCAACTGAAACTCGTCTCCTTAGCGACCCGTTGCTGACTCGGTTGCCATGGTGCTTTGCCGCAATATCCCGGATGTAGTACCCCCCCCCAACCCTCCCCTCCCTTGGTTCAGCCAACATGGCGTCGGGAAAGTGATACTTCAGTTTGCCCAAAGTTAGCCCGCGTCTGCTCTTCGAAACAGAGGGAAGTTTCGTTCCATGTCGGGTTGGCAGCGGAAAAAAAGTTTTCCTGTGAGTTTTAAGGTGAGTAAGCGCATTTGGTTGTAATAATGGTAACGTTAGTTTACTGTGCGCTAGCTTGTGGCGCGTCGTTCAGCTGCTAATAGTGGCTAACGTTAGCAGCCGTCAAGTCTGGGTTTTCAAGGGACCACAGTAACCTCCTACGGCGTCGTCTCTCTGTGTTGTTTGGAGAATATCTGAAAGAGTTGCAGGTGTAACGCTGATAGTTTTCACGGTACAGACAAGTTACAAGATGATGAGTCGCTAGTAAAAGTTGTAAAACAAGTAAAATCCGCCGCTGTGGGCGAATAAGCAAGCTAATTTCACGGTACTGTGTTCATATGCTAAGACTCCATAAGCTCGCTGCTCGGCTTAATGGCAAATCCAAGAGAAAAGCCGTTTCTGGTAACACTGGTCTCCTATCTGTCCATCGTGAAACACCGCTCCAGCTTCAGTTACTCTCCGGTTTCCAAGTATCCTTCACTAAAACAGTTTTTTGACGGTTTCACAAGCTCACCAAGAGTTGATTGTGACTGGTTCTCACGGGACAGCGAAGGGTCAAGCAATATTATTATTATTATACAATATGATCTGTTGCTGTGGATTAAACTACGCAGCTATAGAAGTACAATGCAACATACACACTAATACTGTAATATTAATCCAAAAACATGTCTAAAGGTAAAACAAACGGGCAATTTTACTGCACATCGTTTTACTTCTGGCTGAATAATGCCTTACATTCAGTTGAAATTGTGTTTTTTTCAGTGAGATTATAACTAGTACTTTTACCAAACTCAGGATCTTCCACTACTGATAATTCCAATACAATGCCCATTTTAAGGTCACATTTGTGACCTTAACAGGTCACAAATGTGGTAAACTTCCTGTTCACCGTATATGTTTCTCTTCAGACGGGAGGAGGAAAGCGGATATTGTCTGTCTGAGACGTGATTACGTTGCTCTCTTCCCTCCATGACCCCACTTTTTTTATTGCACAAGTAATTTATCCTCGCTTTTTGGTCTTCAATGTTGTCCCCCTAACCTTTCCCTCCGCTAGCACGCATGTGCACGGGTGTTATTCATATACATGTCTGCGTGAGTGAGTGGGAACGAGGTTTTGCGTGCACAGCAGTTAGTCAGAAAGGTTGTGCGATTTACTGCTGGGCACAGCACACATTCTTGGGATGCCAGAGCTACATGTAGGGGTCACTTTTCTCTCTCACGTATACACAGCCTTACCCCAACCGCGAGAATGCTTATCAAAATCATCCCCCAACTCTGAAACATGCTCTGCAAGTTATTCAGCGAGGATAACCATGTCAGGAAGGAACTGGGTGTCCGCTTAAAAAAATGAGGGGGAAGTAGATCAGCGTATCATCTGTTCCAGTTTGATAATTGAGGTATTTGTAACGTGTCGTTTTGTCTAGATTATTTTTTGACTAAAAAGTGATTGGTTGCCAATTGTGATGAAAAAACCCTCCCAAAAAGTTGTTGTTGTTGAATTGCCATAATTGGGATAATCAACGAATGACTTGACCAAAAGCTCTATTCTCGTAACTATTCAGCTAGCTCCCAAAAGTCTCATTAGACCCTCAACCAATTTTTGGTTGTTATGGGCTAAGACTGCAACCGTTATCTTTAACGTGTCTAGTTTGAGTCCAGATGGGGACATTTGTTTCATCTCTTGGTCCCTTATTTTCATCTCTCCGGGCGCTATGTAATAATGGTAAAAAGTACATAATAAAAAAGATCATGTTCGTCAACGGGGATAAAAGTTTGATAACCTTACTAGACTCATTTCCCCTGACACATCTGATACAGCTTGAAAAACAAGCAACAGTAACTGTATGTAATGGACTCGACAATATTGAACTCAAAGTGGGCCTGTCCCTTTATATTACAAACTTCAAAAACTGTGTACCATATTTGACAGCCAAAGTCGCTAGTATCAAAATTTGATAGTGAAATTGATGTTATTTTACGATATTTCCCTTCAGGTTGCAGATTTGAGTTCAGGTTCACTGGAAGCAGGTTCTCTGTTTTTGCTTCTTCTTGCTGCTCAGCTCTCTTCCAAGGACCAAACAGGTGGATAGTCTGGCTGCTCGAGGCTGTGAGTGATCTTAATAGCATCAGACATGTTACCCTGCGCGTTTGACAGACCCTGTGGTACGTGTATTATCTAGTGTTCAAAATGTGAGTGTCATTTTCTTGTTCCATCCTCCCTGTGTGCATTTCTTGCTGGTTGGGCGATCGTTGTGGTGGATGAGCAAGCATTGGAAACATTAAGTCTCCGCTTTCTCCCGGTTTCAGCTTTCACAGAAAAATAAGTGGGGTTGAGAGAAGTGTAGGCGAGGGATGTGGAAGAGGGAGAGCAATGGTTCTGTTTTTCCATTCGGGCAGGTAGGTCCGAATGTTTGTGGAGAGTCCAGCGGAGGAGAGGGCATGGGTGGGAGGTGGCGAGGGGCCGAGCCGACGCTAAGTCAAATCCAGCTACCAGCTTCCAGCCAAATAAACCAGATCCTGAGAAAAAACACGGAAAATATCGGGGGAGAAAGCACTTTTCATCTGGATGAACCTGCATTCTCCGTTTCTCTCTGTTCAGTGCTTTAGGTCATTGGGGATGTTGGTTCCTCAATTTATATTATTGTACCCTTTAGCTCATCAAGCCATACATAAAAGTCCTATTTGTTTCAGCAGAAATCTAAGGAAAAACTTTTAAAAAAACACTCATAAAGGGGTCAAAACTGAAACTGAGCTGACTGGCAACGGATAATAAAAAAAAAATCTCTGTGGTTCTTCCCTGTAGCGGGCTTATTGCCCTTGGGGAAAGAAAATCCTCTGTGGAATGAGTGCAGCAGCCAACATCAACACAGCCCTCTAGGTGCTCGGTAACGGAGGCGAGAACACCGTGTGAACAAAAGAAACGCTCATAACAATAACCCACTTTCAGAATTGGTTTCAACCACCCGGCCTGCATTGTGTGCAGCATGTAGACAGTTAATAGGTATTGTGAAAAAGAACTCCCACTCTTGTTCAACCATCCTTTAGTTTCTGTCTCATCATGCCTTTTGATTGTGACCACAATCTCACCAGTGATGTGGTTTTTCAGCTATGCACAGTTGCATTGATTGCTTTAGAATAAACAAATCAGTGGAATAGACTCTCACATGATGTAAAGACCTATCACAGCACACTGTCGATACGTTTTTTTAATGTAAACTGATATCTTACAAAAAGTCGCTTTAAACTTTACTGTTGGGATTACATTTCAGAGATTAATTGATGATTCAGTAAAATTATAGATTGAGGGTTTAAAAGTAATTTCCTTCCTCACCTGCCACTGTACAACATCCCGGACTTAAAGCGATGGCTGTTTTTGTACCAGATGTGCTTGTAGACCTTCTTTATAGTCCTTTGGCTGAAAAGTGCTTCAACACTACTGGGAACATTCACACCCTGATGAGGGCGTTCCAAGTAAGGTGCCCCCCACCCATCTACTTAACCCGGAGGCACTCACACAATGCATGCACGTCTACGGGAGAGACTTACGGTGTCTCGCCCAAGGACACATGGAGCTGGAGTAGCGGAGCTGGGGATCGGATCGCCGAGCCTCCGATTGAGGGACGACCCCGCTCCACCACTGGGCCCCAATTACTATATAAAAGCAAACACTGACTCTGTGGTTGCAGACAACAGAAATATAGAATATATCATGTCCTCTTAATCCCAGACTATTCGTTAGGCAGGAACTCATTTCACCGCCTCGTCAGATCAATCTGTAATCAACACTGTCGCTTCCACAGCTGGTAATGCGTGTTTCTCTTTTACTTTGCACACAGCAACAGTGTGAGGAGTTTTGTTCTTGTGCGTTTACAGTGTTTTAATCTTGCTGCATCTTTCAAAAATGAAATCAACTTTGGGCCTGCAGAGTTTCACACAACCCACAATACAAAGAGAGATCTGGACGGTGGCCCTGTTTAACCTCTGCGGTGCTGTTTTTGCACTCCGAACTCTGGAATAATCTGAGTGATCGAGGCAAGACTGTTTTTTCCCCCCTCAGGGTCCCCGCTGTAGAACAAGTGTTGTTAGACGTCCGATTAATCAGACTATGTTAAGAAATGTTGGATCAGGAAGTTGCTAATTTCCATAGTTAAGTCCAAGATAGAATTTCTGATAGAACAACTAACGGCGACTGGAATGTTATCTTTCATTTTCGTCATGAACCCATCGAAACTTTAGATACTCAATGTCCTTGTATTCCACTCGCACACCGCTGTGGTAGAAGGAGAATCTCAATCTTTTCTCTTCCCACATATTTTCACAGTTAATGCATTTCACCAGCATCTAGCTGGTAATAGCTTTACCTTTCAATGATATTCCCCAATCCTATGCTGTATTTGGCGGAAAGTAAATCTCCCCAAACAGCTGATGCGCCGATGGGCGGCCTCACTAACGAGTGGGAAGGTGGAGTTGACGTGGCAGCTCGCTTCACAGCAACACCACCTCATTGCAGATTCCTGATTGTGTCCGTTTCTAACGGCATGCCATCCCCGTGTGATGGTGGTGAAGCCCCTAACCATGTGCTTTGCGTACAGCGACACTACCATGTTTGTGGGTCAACAAGTCATGACGAGAGTAGTGCGTCAAAGGAGGGGAAGTTAAGAACCTTTACCTAGTACATATATGAGATTCTTGAACCTAACTTGAATATCTCCATTTTATGTCAGAGGCCAATAAGAGTACTTTTTTTTGTTGCATTTGTCTGACAGCCCTCTCTTTAAATGTTTACTATGTAGTTGTGTGTGTGGTCCTGAACTCTCTGGAGTAGACGTGACTCTTCTGAACACGATGTGTCTGTCGGTAAGTGAGGCGCGAGCAGAGGTCCGTCCCGTGGGATCTACGTTGCGCTCTCTTTATCGTTGACCTTTCCACATTCCACAACCTGCTACTGGAAGTCCGTCGCCATTGGCTGCAACACTGCATGCTTTGTTTGAACCGGGCCTTGGGATTGGCCGCTTTGTGTGTTGTCTGACTCTGATAGGCTGGGCGGACCTGTTCCTGCTGTATTTTTACTCTCAAAGGAATGTCAACAGGCCTTTTCCTCATTGAAGCTGACACTTGGAGTCTGTTAGATAGGAGATTATAGATAATAAGACAAATGGACTCTGTTTCGGCTGGCTTTAATAAAGAGCTCTCACTATATACTGTTTAAAGGTACGTTTTGCTCTTAACTTGGTACCTTTTGATGAAGAGGAAAGTATGGAGAGTAGTATTTACTTTAGAACAGCTCACATATTTGTTCAGTTTATCGTTGCTTTGCATTAGGCTAAAATATCCTCTGATCTTTGTATCGTTGTATATTACAAGACCTTCATGTGGTTTCCTTGTCAGACGCACAACAACAATCACATTGGAGTTGTTCTTAATGACATCAGACTCGGGTTCCTTACAACAAAACGTTTAAATAGAGGGTTAAAAATAGGGAATATACATATAATATAATGTGTACTTGTGGTGGACAGCACTACTAGATTGTGTTTTATTTAGGAAGACAGGGGCATTATAACACTTAAAAGAATTGTTCGGTTTTCAGTTTCATACGTCTCACGCTCATGACACTAATTCTCTTCGAAGTAACCTTTTATTTTATTTGAATGTATGTTGAAACTTTTCCATCATTTGAGCTGTTTGCAACAGTCGCACAAAGGTTTGTTGTGTTGAAGATGTGTTTTGACATTTAGCCATGACTCACTATCCCTGTGTCCTCTAATGTCTTTGGTGACGGATCTGTTCAGATTAGCGGGCAGACACGGCATTTCACAGCAGCCCTCCTAATAGTGCTATAAATAGTCATCATTTGAGCCATATAGTGTCAGTACCTGCTGTGACTCATTGTCGTGTGAAACTATCCCGTCATCCCGGTCCTAAATGACTTCCTGGAGACAAGTAGCAAACGTCTTTCACACCCAATGTGCGTAATTGCTCAATCATTCAATGCAAGTATCGACTTAATATTTGCATTTGGGACGTTTATTGTTTGTTTGTTTTAATATTGAAGCGTTAAAATTCTACAGTTTTATTGGATTACTAGATTCAGTTTGACACCCCTTGAAGCCCTCTACAGCTGAAACATTTGGTTGATCAACGAAAAGTTCACTTTTTTGATTATTAAAAATTTGCTAGCTGAAAGCCCTTTGGTTTAGGACTTACATTGTTATTTAAAGTACTTGTACTGTGCTTCCCTTTCCCCTTATCCATGCTACTGTATACATCTGATACACATCTCAGAGGTAGATGTTGTACTTTTTTAGTCCGCTGCATTTTACAGTAAAATATAATAGAGTGGAAGAAGTAATTAACTTAATTTGTACGCATTGATGTGTACATTACTTTAACGTTGAAGCTGGTAAAGTAGCGCGTGGATTTCCAATCAAGCCCAAAAAGTATTTTTTTTAACCAATCACATTTTGCACGATTGTTGGTTTGGTTATTGTCTTCTTCTGAATCGGCAAAATAACTTTAGCTATCAGATCAATCTAGTTTACATTTCATTGACATATATTACAGTAAAACACTGCCGGACCATTTCACCACGTATTGGCTTTCCTTATCTCTCAGTACTGAAAGTACACTGTTTATACAAAGGCTACTCTTACTGAAGTGCGGCTCCTCATCCAGGACTTCCACTTGTACTGCGAGTGGTGGTGAATACTTCTTCCACCACTGCGGCACAAAGTCACAGTGTCCCTCCGTGGAAGCCACGTGCGTTGCGTGTGTCGGTGCGAAAGGAGGAGCTTAGGACCGGTCCCGGTGTCGCTATTGACAGGACGTGACGTCACTATCAGTCCCGTCCCTCCGGTGACGTCATGATACCGGGCCGCGCTCTGCTGGAACCGGAGGAATGCGACACACTGTGGTTGCTGCCCAAAAGGCACGGCGCTTTTCGGAGCAACACAATTACACACTTCTGTTGCGTATAAGGACAACCTGGTCCGCCTGTCTCCGTGTCCGGACCAGAGTTTCATTTCTTCGCGGAAACAACTTTGTTGCTGCGGAGACCGCTGCGTTTCCGACATGAGATCAGGCGGATAGTGCGTCCTCCCAACGGTAAACACCGACGTGCACACGTTGTACCGCTGGATTACCCGTTTGATCTACCGGGGCGACTTCCTGTAACGATGCGGTTCGACTGGCTCACAACAACGAAACCGCCGCGTTGACCGTGAGTCGGGGGGTTAAGGACGGTTCTGCGGGGGCTGAAGAATGATCGGTGTCTCGGTGTCAGTGTCCCTCCTTTGGTCAACTGTTGCTCATATGTGAGGCTGCCAGCTCCCCCCCCTCTCCTCTCCTCTCCCCCATGCACAGGTGTAGAGGGGGAGGACACAATTTATCACTGTGTTCAGACTCTGTAGGGATGTTGTGTATTTGTGCTCTCCTTTGCAGCAGTTTGTCTGAGACAGGGACCTATACATTATTACATAGCGTTAAGTATTTTATGGGATCTGCTTTTATGTTGGAAGAATTGGGGATGAGGCATATTTGATACGTATGATTCATAAAGCTGCTTTTTTTGATCTGAAATACAATCAAAACCATCGTTCATTTGAATTCTTCCTCCTTCCTGTTAGTGATGTGCAAAGGTATTTTAATTAATTAATAATTACTATTTTTATTATTATTAATAATTATTTATTTATTTTAACAAAGAAAATATCTGAATTACGCCCTTTAAATAGCACTTAAGGTTTGCCAACTTATCCTTAAATTTCCGTAAGATTAGCTGGGTGATGCGGCTTCATGTCACGCGAACTGAAATAAGTGCAACCACCTGTTCTGTTTGTTGTTGACTTTAATATCAACTACACATTCTCTGTTCAGATCTTAACAGTGTAAATTGCTCAGTCCTGCATTCAAAATCCATCTCTAGCAAAAGTACTTTTCATCAGTGAAGAGTATCAACAAAGCAAAAATGAGTCATATCATAATTCTGACTACATTACCACAATACTAATGCATCAGTAACTCGTTAAACTGTACTCATGACTATAAACAAATATTGAATATTGTGGGAAGCTGTAGTTCAACTACATTTTCACCTCATTTAGTCCACTCCAATAGAGAAGAATAACGTAGCATAACATGGAAATACTAAGTAAATGCTCACGCTGGTCACAGGAGCACTGTCGTGTAACACTTACGTACTTCCAAACACTGTTGTGAGAACGCTAAAGGTTTTCAGAGCACCGAGGTGTTAAAGAGAGAGGGAGTCACAACAGGCCATTAACTCACCGATGAGCACCCCTGCTCCAATCTGTCTCAGAAATCTATTCTCTGGTGCCATTAAGATTTATTTGGTGTGTTTATGTTGGCCGAGTGTTGTCAGTGTTTTCATAGGAAGGTAGTTATGCACGGTGTGCATCCATTCAGCCACAGACAGAAAATCATTAGGGCGGAGGGAGGAAATGTGTGATGCACGCTCTCTATTGAGCCGTTCTCATTGTGCTGCTTTACCCAGAATATATGACTGGTTGGACTTGATGGAATGAGAGGGCTATTATTGCACCCCTTCGTGATGAGCGGTCAATTACAGGCTAAAGGTTTTAATGAGCATGTGAAAAAGAAAGATAAATCCCCAAGATTACAGACTATGTTCAGTTTTTTTGTCCTGATCGCAGCGTACATGATGACACACCTACCGTGCTCTTTTTATATTTATGTTACTTGAATGTTTTGAACTAGTGAGAGAACAAACATTTCGCTCATCTTGACATTGTACTCCAAATTACCATAGAAAGTCTGATTTCTCTATTTATATTAGTTCAACAAGGGAATCCAATAATCTTAGTTTTTAGAAATGATTCCCATTTTCATGGTTTCACCAATATTAATGTTTTAATTTTCTTTTTTCCCCAATATAAGTTGAATAGAGAAGAAATCCCTTTTTGTGTTTATTGCATTTATTCATTTTTCTATGTTGGGCATCCTCAAACCTACTTTTGACAGGCAGGCTTCCCACTATTTCTCACACCGTACATGTTGCTTTGATTGGTCTAGAGTTGCTCTCTAGAATCAAAAAGCAAAATCCCAAATCCTGTTTCGATGCAAATTTCCCGCCCAAATGAATGCCACTCGGGCCTGTTTCATCTCCGGCTGTAGGGTTGCAGCTCCGCGGTGGTGTTGTGAATGCGGCTGTGGTTTTGTGCGGACGGACCACCCATGTGCAGCACTCGGATCAGGCCAGAGGACAGCAGCCTCATCCAGGGCTTATCAGCCTGGCTCTGTCCCCTCAGACCGGACAGGCTCTCTCACTGTTCAGCCAAGCACGAGGGAGGTAGGGAGAGGAAAAGTGTGAGGGTTGAAAAGGAGAGGAGAAAAGAAAGAGGGGTCGAGGGGAGTGGCAGGGTGATGGGAGAGTGATGGATAAGGGGTGGGAGGGAGGCTATTGCTACAGCGACTGCTGTGTTCAGGGAGGGGCTGCTTGTTTTGCTCACTGAGAGGAGGGGTCATTTTAGAGCTGCCGGGTGACTCTTTCTGCATGTGAGCATTCATGCTACTCTGCTACTGTTTTTGCCCCAAAGCCAACAGCATCTGTACGTAGTGAAGTCACTTTTATATTGAGCTCTCTGTGGACTTTGATTGGCGCAGAGTAATATTAAATAATCCCAGCAATTTATTGCTTTATTGTCTCTGTTTTGAAGTCCATGTTGTTTTGCGTCAAAGTAGTTGGAACATGGTGTCTGCATGTCTTGATAGATCAGTTTTAAAATGAATTCCACTTGGGTATAAAGTTGACAATATTGTTGAGTTTTGTTCAGTTCGCAAATTAATTTTTTACTTTGACTTGTTGCGTTTTCGCACCTTGTTATTGGGGGTATAATCCGTGAGGTTTTTTCTTGAAGTGTAATCAACCCAGAGAAAACACATTGGGTTTGGGTCAACTTTTCAAAACGGCGATTGATTCATTGTTTGTGTTTGATGATTCATGTTTAATTCATTATGTCCATATCTATGAAGAAGAACGACCGACTCTACGGTCCGAGAGCTCTCCCTCGCCTGCGTGCGTGAAGCTCACCTGTTCCCCCTCTATCAGTACAAAAAGTCGTGACAAAAATCATTGTCATTTTCAGTAGTGTGCACGTTGGTACGGGTTGTATAACTTGTCCCTTTTATTACATCCGTGTAACATTTTGTGGTTCAAAGGCCGTTTTACAAACTGTAAATAAGGAAGCATAAATGCATAACAGACTTTGAATTCTGTTTTTCGGCATTGACTGTCAGATGTAAACATTTCTAAACTCTAAAAATCATTCTCCTATTGTACATAAAAAGAACATTCCAAAGCTGATGATCAGTGATTTCAGGATATTCTCTAACTATTAATTACATTTCAGGGTGAAATCCGGTTAATTAAAAACTGTCCATGAGAAAGTAGCCTAGAGAAGTAAAGCCCAGTATAAACACAGGCTTCACTGCTCTCATATCAATGGTTAAACCAATAACCATTGAACCAAAAACAATGTTTTTGTGGTTAGTTTATGTTGTGTTCCAGATGTATTTATAAAATATTTCGCGTTTTGATGATCAATGATCCAGATTTATTTTGTTTAGGTTCTACGGGTGCCATCCCCGCCTTTATGCGCATTCATCGCCACAGAATTGCACACTCAACTTACGCTGTCACTTAAAGCCTTGACAGCAGCAGTTTTAAAATCCTGTTTTTACCCACAACCGCTCGAGCCAAGAATCCCCCATATTCGCAGATGTGGTCAAACAGCCACGATCCATCTACTTTGAAAATGCTGGCACTACGTGGAAGTGAAGATCTGGTATGATGTATTTGAAAAAGGCCTTTGTGGTTATAAAAACATGCTCAAATTGAGCATTGTTCACAATTCTGCTAAATGATTTAATTGCTACACTCACTAAAACAAAAACATTGTGGATTCACATTGATCTCATTAAAAAGTATTAAATAGTAATTCATAAGCAGACTATTAATTGGACGTGCGGAGGATAAAAGCCGTGTTGTTTCACTGACATGCTGGCCTTACAACATGCACCAACACTCATTCAATATGTCTCTACAGATAAATGTCCTTATTAGCAGAGTGCCCCCGTCTCTGTGGGCCGCTGTCTTGTTGGACTAGGCCTCAGCTTCAGTTGTTCCTGGGCGGGTCCCGCTCCGCTTCAAACTCTCCTGCTGTGAACCGGCTCTGTTGACGCTGCAGACGGTGACTCATGGCCTCTAAACTCATGACCCGCCCAGATCGCCCTCTCATTTGCTTCCCCTCCCCCCTCTGTCTGGTCAGCAGGGCCTGGCTCTGCTTGTTGCACACTAGCCAGCCACTGTTTGATCTCTGGGAGTGTCTCTTCTTTGATACCCAGAGGCAAAGCAGCATGTTTGAGAGGAAGACTATTTACACACAAGCCTTCAAACTGGTGAGCAGTGCTTTACAGGATACTCGGTAAGCGCAGGAATCCTCCCCCACAGTTATTTTTATTCCAGCCGAACGCAATAGCAGCACAATTTAATATTCTTACCCATCTGATTACTTTTTTGAAATGCACTTGTCCCGTTGATTGAGTCACTGCAGAACAAGGCATTGACTCATCTGTCATCTGAGGGTTTGATTGTTTATTTTTGCTGAAGAACGTAACCGCCGTAAAGCAATGAGAAAATAACAGCACCTCCTCGCTTCCACCTCTCAGCCTCTCGCTCTCTGTCTTTGTCTGTCTGTGTGCCTCTGTCTGCCTCCGTCTCTTTCTCTCTCCTTAAATAAGCAACTACTTGTTTTATGAATAAAGTGGTGCGCAAGTTAAATAGGTGTATACAGAATTTAAGTTATTTTACTTAACACTGGCAGAATGTTGACATTCAAGGGCAGGGAAAAGTTATCAGAGGCATCTTCTTGCTTTCACATTCTTATGTCCAAAATAAGCCACAGAGTGAACGTGACACAGCACAGAGTGGCAGTCAGCGGTGTAACGCAACAGTGTAATGTAACAATATGATGCGTTCAGGCGGTAACGGGATCGGGGCATCGCTAGTAGTTTTATATGGAAGCTTTTTTCCCTGCCTATCTGTGACTGACCCGCGTTGCCGTGGAAAACAGGCGTTTTGTGATCCTTTGACCCCTGTAGGCACAGTGCGGCTAATCTGACGTCCTAGCTTGTAGTGTTCTAATTGGGAAAAGCTAGAGCAGGAGGGTTTGTGCTGACGTTAGTAATCCAGCAGTGAGCCCAACGACCTTCAGCTAAAGGTCACAGCGGGTTTAATGCCTGTACGCTGCTAATTTGCTCAATGTGCCAAAAAAATACACTTGGATGATCATTTATTTGGTGAACTGCAGTTTTTGCAGAGCTTTACAAACAGGGACTTGATTTTCTTTCCTCCTTATGTTTTGTTCTACACTAGTTTCTGCTTTTACTCTGTGTCAATCATTGGTTTGCCTTTTATTGAAAAAAGTTTGCAGTCATCTTTAAATCTCTCTACAGTTTCTCTCAGGCGTTCCTGCTAACCCTGCGTCTCCTCCCTGCAGGTCTGATGCCGCAGCCGCCATCATGTTCACCAAAAAGAAGAAGTCTCGCATCCAGATTTCCGCTCCATCCAACTTTGAGCATCGCGTGCACACAGACTTTGACGAGCAGGAGCAGAAGTTTGTTGGGCTGCCGCGGCAATGGCAGTCTCTCATCGAAGACACGGCCAAAAGGCCCAAACCCTTCATCGACGCAACCGTCATCACTACTGTAGAGCCGCGCAAGGTGGGCCGAGCAAGCTGTATGCCGCCAATGCCATAATGTCACCAAGTGTGTTTATTGGTTGGATTTTAACCAGGCCGTATGGTATTAGGGCCGTCAAGGTTAACGTGTTAATTCATTAGGGTTAATGTGGCTGGGATTTATGATATAAAATAGTTAACACAGCGCAAGGTTGTTTACTTTTTGCGCGTTGACCCATGACCCCATGAATCACAGCGTGCTGCAGTCAGTTATATCGGAGAGACCGAGGCGGTAGTTGATGCAGAAAGCTTTTAGATTTGGAAGTAAAACAAACGCGCCATGCAGCGGAGAACTGTGCAGAGGAATCCCTCCACGTGTCAATCAGGCAGGGGATGAGTGGCAAACAGACCACTTTAGGCACTGCTGGGCTAAGCTAGCTGCTAGGCTACTTCCATCTCAACATCCAACCTGTGGGACAGTCTGCAGAGAACCACCACTGTGTCCCTAAAATGGTTAAAAATAAAAAATTGTTGCCACTTCAAACACAGCTGGCCAATGAATACACATAAAATACACTTTTTTTAAAGTGATTACTAAGTTTTATAAGATTTACTTAAAATCTTATTATTTCAAAATGAATTTGTTTTTTTTTTTTAATCTATAAACCGCCCTTGTTTAAAGGTTTTCTCCGACATGGTCACTGCAGTGCTATGGTTGTCAAAAGCCATTTTTAACAACCGCTGCGTTCACTTACTTATTTTCCACACAGAAAATTGAGGGAATTGATAAAGAATGGGACCAATACTCTGATTCTATGATGGCATTGGTATCGATAAAATCCTCAGTCCTTTCATCTCACCCTTCACATTTTTCCCTCCAGACAATTGTGCGTGGCAGCAAGATGGGCGTGGGCGGCTCACTGACCTGGCTGCTGGACGAATTTGACACCATGTCTGTGACTCGCTCAAACTCCCTGCGACGGGGTAGCCCCCCCATCCAGCCCCGCAAAGACTCCATCTCCTCAGGAGGAGGAGGGCAGGAAAACGGAGACCCTCACCATAGACACTACTCGCACCCGGACCGGTGGGTACTTCAACTTCAGCACCTCGTCGTCGTCGTCATCATCCTTAAAGCATAGAGATGCTGTCCATGCACGGCAAGTATCTGCACTGACCTTTGTGCCGCTCTTCTTTCAGGGACCAACACGGGCCGGAACACCACCAGAGCTCAGCTGACCCACGCCAGGGTCCGCGTGCACCGCACCCTCAGTGGGATGAGGCGGTGCAGGGTCGGCCCCAGCAGCAGCCCCGGGGCCAGGAGCCCAGCCGGGCCCACAGGGGCCGGCCCGGCTCCGGCCCTGCTCCTCCACCACCCCATAGAGACAGAGAGCACCGGGAGCGGGGTCAGGTAGGCACAGACGATGAACCTGTTAATGCTGTTCACACAACTTTCTTGCAGTTATTATCTTATCTGAGCTTGATTAATTGGACTGCAGCAGGATCCCACCCTGTAGTTGTGGGCTTGTTTGCTACATTTCTTTGCACATTGTTGTCTTTCAAACAATAAATCTCTCATCCAAACCTTGCCTGTGTACTGGAGCAGCTGGCTCACAGGGATCAACCCGGTGACCTCCGGCCAAAGTCCAGCTACACGGTACGGGACGGCAGCCCGCAGTCTCCCAGGGACAAGAGGCCTCTCTCTGGGCCCAACATCCGCACCCCGAACCTGCCGATGAGTGAGGGCGTGATGAAGACCACCCAGCAGAGCACACGGCCGTTCAACACCTACCCGAGGGCGGACAGCGAGGGCGGACGGAGCCCCACAGGACAGGTGGGGGCAGAAGCATGAACAGAGAGACAGATGGGCAGGAGGAGAAAACTCTGATGACCCAGAGACAAACAGGCAGTGCTAATTGAGCCACAGGCTAGATCTTATCACCCTGCTCTTTGTTCTCCGGGTCACAACCAGTTAGATCTCTTTAAGGCTGCTGGTGGTCCTTATGTGATAATGTCTAGCAGGTCAAGTACAGGACGCAGAATGATATAATGAAAGGGAAATTATTGAAAAAATATTGAGCCCAGTCTGAATAGAATACACTTTTGATGACCTCCATGTTGAAAAAAATCAAAGCTGTTCCCACACCATTTAAACTGCTGTAACTTGTTTTGTAATATATACAATTGAAGGTCGTTTGTAACATCGGTAAGCAGCAATATTTTATGGCATTGTTTGATTTTCATATTAATATGGTGGAGTATTTTGATTCGATTTTCCTAAAATAGAATGACGTCTTATATGACAGAGGTTGAAATCCATATTATTATCAATGTTGTCAAGGATTCAACTTGTTACGGCTTCAATCTTGAAAAGTTAAGTTTTCTTTTTTTTATTAAACGTTCTGTATCTTCCAGCCGGTCCGACACCAGGACTCGTCCCCCCAAAACGGCCCCTCCGGCGGCTCCTCCCAAGGCTCCTCCAGCTCCAAGCCCCCCGTAAGCCACCCGCACCCTCATCACGCTTCCCACCCAAGCCTGGCCCCCGAGTCCAGCCAGCACCCTCACACCCAGCAGCCCAGCGTTCCGGCCCCGCGGCCCCCTGCGCCCTCTGGGCCCCCGGTGCCGGGCGCTCCGCCCCAGGGCCGCTCTCCGCAGAGGGAACCGCAGAGGGTTTCCCACGAGCAGTTCAGAGCGGCACTGCAGATGGTGGTGGAGCCCGGCGATCCGCGAACCTACCTGGACCACTACATTAAGATCGGGGAGGGATCAACGGGGATCGTGTGCATCGCCACAGTGAAGACCACCGGGAAGCTGGTGGCCGTGAAGAAGATGGACTTGAGGAAGCAGCAGCGCAGAGAACTGCTCTTCAATGAGGTCAGAGGTCATGCTCCTACTGAGATAGGCCGGGTGTTGTAACCTTTTTAAATAAACCAGTAACACATAGTTGACTCTCCACTGAAATAATGTCAATGTTTCAATTCAAATATATTTTTATTGCTGAGGTCATGGTTCATGTCAAGCCATGTTTTTTTCCTTCCCTTTTTACAGAAATGTAAATGGGGCCGTGAAGAGACTTGTCGTTTGGCGATATATTGCCCCAGATGTAATTGTGATGAATATTAGCACCATTTTGAGACCATTTTATGCCACTAATATGATGTAATGATGATATATTAGCATAATAATGGAAGTTCACCCTTTTTTATAGTCAATGAAATTGACTCACCGCCTCTTTTGCATTTAACATTTGTAGCATGGGAATAGAGTAATTTAAAACAATCAATCCAGTCGACATGCAGGCATCTTCATGTAAATGCACTCTTCTCTCATTGGGTTCAAACCACAACAGTTTTTTTCTGTTCCCGTCAACATTTTTGTTAATCAACAATATTGAGGTTGTGTGAGTTTATTGATTCAGTTAGTCAATACCGTAAGAAGTTTTTATTATAAGCCGATAACGTAATGATCGTGACAGACCAACGCATGAATAGATCCCACGCTTTAGCGACTTCCATGTCACAAAGACAGTAGAGCATCAAAAACAACAAGTTGCTAATCGGTCCTTCACACATAAGACTGATCCGCCGCGTCATCGCTCTCCGATGTTTTCAAAGGACGTTGACTGATTGCAGCGTCGACCCCGACGGAGACCCGACAGTCTCTCCGCCTGCAATGCCACTCTTTTGGGGCCCAATGTGATTTTTATACCTGTGTCGGTTTCCATGGTGACTGTAGGTGGTGATCATGCGGGACTATCACCATGAGAACGTGGTGGAGATGTACAACAGCTACCTGGTGGGAGACGAGCTCTGGGTGGTCATGGAGTTCCTGGAGGGCGGAGCGCTCACCGACATCGTGACACACACCAGGTGAGAAGCTCTTTGTTTTGTCGGGCTTCGCAATCAACTGTGGGTGTGTGACCTTTTATTTCATGTAATCAACGTGTAATACATTTATTGTTAATGTAGATATTGTTATTTTTATTACTACAGTCCCTCCATTAATCTTTATTTTTATTTTTTTATTGTTCCTCATTAAATTACGATCCCACAAAAACTCTGTTTCTCCATGAGAGGGCAGTGTTGCTCCGTGTGTTGATCACAGTAACTTAGTTGTGGGAGTATTCAGATATTTTCTATCTATATATAGAATATTTTTAAGTAACACAAATACAATTACTAGTCGTGAATTCAAATTCTTACTTGCGTATAAAATATACTTAAACTACCAACAGTAAAAAAAAAAAGGTGGTCAATATGCAGAATGGCTCATTCTGAATGATAAACAAACAAATAAATAAGGTAAGTAAGTAAAGATAAATACAAATACGTTGCCACTACAGCCTCTGTGCACTGTTGCTGTAGTTTGTTCACCTTAGTGATGGCTGCTGCAACAAAGCTGTTTTTATAGGGCTTTGTTCTTCCCCGTGACGCTATATACCTCCATCCAAAAGGCGGTTGTTCACTGTACGAAAGGTGGGTGTGGTCCTTTTAAGATGGAGCTGGTTACCCGTTGTAACTTTCTGGTGTACAGTGACTCTGGGCTAAGCTGCGACAATCAGCCCTCTACACCATCTAACAATTTGATGCAGAGTTTTTCAAAGATAAGTTTCACAACCATGATACCAGACAAAAGGAAAAGGTTAATTTAAAAGAGGCACGAAAAAAACAGGTCACCATGTTTTTGTTCATGTGGAAGGACAATCTCCTCAAACATAAACGCTGGTGCCCCTTTTGCACACGACTGCAGTTTGCTTCAGAATTCTGTTTTGGGTCAATAATAAAATAAGTAATTCATAGATTGTACACATTCCACTGTCTGACCCCTAATGGATATGACTTCATGTGTGTAGGCACATCTTTGGTTTTAGAAATGTTTAGTTGGAGACTCCTCACACCACTTCGTTTGGCTGGTGTTACTACGATGTATTTCCATGTGTAAATATGTCTGTGTGTGCCGCTCTTCCTGCAGGATGAATGAGGAGCAGATCGCCGCGGTGTGTTTGTCTGTCCTGAAGGCTCTGTCCGTCCTCCACACACAGGGTGTGATCCACAGAGACATCAAGAGCGACTCCATCCTCCTCACCCACGATGGCCGAGTACGTACCGCACACTGGTTTCATTTCTCTTTGCTTCTACGGTTGGCTGGGGTTTAGGTTTATTTTTTATATGTGTAATGTGTTTTTCCTGTGCCAATGTGAGGGTTTTGGGACAGGCGATGTTGCGTGTGTACAGACTGTGGGACTAATCTGGTCCTTACAAAATACAACTGCAGCACCTTTTGATACAACGAATTAAATTGAATATAGTATATTACTGCATGGTGGGAATTGTTTTCTTCATAAGCACATCAAAGAAACCTGTCCTAAGTTCATTTTATGGGGGAGAAGCCCTTTATGAGAGGCCTTAAGACTCCACAAAGCTGTCAGGAAGCTTCCCTTTTTAACATGACAAGTTTTGTGAGCTCAGCTGCATAGGAGTCAACTTTCAACTTTTTTAAATTAGAAGCAATGGTGCATCTGCTTTTTCACGTTGAGCAACAGCACTGCGGCCAGTGCAGCACTAAAGCCTCGTCTGCAGACCGCTTGACCACAAGCAACTTGTTTCTCAGAAACTAAACACGGCAGCTGCTGACAGAAGGTCACCCAGGATTACCGTAATAAAACTAAAGTAAAAAAGAACTAAAAGCCTTTCTGGTAACCACTCGTGAAGCACTAAGGCCGGTGTTGAATCACTTCCTGCTTGTTGACAAGCAAGTTTCTGCGGAAAATGAAACCAAATCAGCTAGACGAGGGCAAAGAGGAACCAGGCTTTTTGTGTATTGTCAGTGCCCGCACACACACACACACACACACACACACCCACAAACACACCACACGCGTCTGTACTTGAGTGTGTCAATCGTGGATGCTGAAGCCAGCGACTCTCTGTCTCCAATGCTGCTGAATCGGCACGGATGTGCAGTTCCTCTTGGACAATTTCAACCACGTTTCTACTATTTCAACAAGGACGATAAAATGAGGGATGAGTCTTCGCCCTGAATGTCTTTAAAATGCTCACATCCTATTTGATAAAAGATTCAATGAATTTAGGGGAAGGAATTAGTCGTTCTGTGTCACCGCATCCCTCCGCCTTGAGTCGTATCGTATTAACGAGTTAACGCGGGAGGGGAATGCTTAAGATGAGCTGACGCGTGAACCACAGCGTGTGTTTCTGGTTCGATGTCGCTGTGAGGCTCCCTGGGGTCTGCAGTGACTGCGAGGTGCTGCTTCATCGTTGTGGTGGTCTCTGATGCACTTGGTGGTGCTCATTCTCCTGGTTCCTCAGAGGCCTCCTCAGATAAAAAAAAGGACAATACAGGACTCACTAAATTGTGAAATACTCACTTGCATTTATGATATGCAAGATTAAGTAGTAAAAAGAAATAATTATCTATCATAATTTGGGTGACTGTTTTTTTTGTTTTTTTTCTTTCTCTTTTTTTTTTACTTCTGCAATTTTCAGGTGTCAGCATCAATTTAATAAACCTGCAAAGAGATCTTTGTCTTTAGTTACTAATGGAATAAAATAATAATAATGTAACTAACATTGTAACTTTATTTTAAATCCGAAGCAGCTTTCAGTGTTTCTTTACGTCTTTGTGTGTTCATATATGGCTTGTACGTGCCTTTCGTTGTAAGTGGACTTTCAGATCTAAAGTTGATCTAAAGTGTTGTTCCTCTGGGTGAAGTTCGGACCGACAGCTGAAGCAGAGTCATCGGAACCTGCTGGGCTTTGCGTCAGCGCAGGTCGTGTTTGCTGTAAATAGGGTTCTCTATTCTGCTTAACTGCAATGTCGCAGTTCGGATTGACGTTGATGTTGAACGTCCTCCGAAGTTTACTCTGTGCTGTACAGATTTTCAAGCCCTTTTGTGATCCTGTAATATTTGACTGTTTGGAAACCTGACTTCTTAGTACCAGCATTCTCACTGTTTGCCAGCTTTTAAATGGATAAATAAAGTAGATGCAGAGAACTGTTCCTCTCCAACCTCACTCACACAAACGGGAAGTTAGAAGCTCTCGGTCGCTGTTGCCTCGTTTTGTACTTTCTAAGGAAGTTGACATTCATTCCCTTTCTATCATCTCTTTCTCTCCAGGTGAAGCTGTCAGACTTTGGCTTCTGCGCACAGGTGTCTAAGGAAGTGCAAAGAAGGAAGTCTCTGGTGGGGACACCTTACTGGATGGCACCAGAGCTTATATCCAGGCTGCCCTATGGACCAGAGGTAGTGCTCTCACCTCCCTTTAGAATCCCACTGCTACGAATGTATATAATGCAGATTTACATCGTCCCTTGATGTCTCAAACTGACTTGAGTGTTTCTCTGCCATACATTCATTTAAATGTTAGAAGTCGTCCTACATTTGTTTATCATTAAATTCTGCAAATAAATAAATATAAACTAAAGTACATTTTTTCTGCCCATTGTCTGTGTCTCTGTCCAGGTGGACATCTGGTCTCTGGGCATCATGGTCATAGAGATGGTGGACGGGGAGCCGCCGTACTTCAACGAGCCGCCGCTCAAAGCCATGAAGATGATCCGAGACAACCTTCCCCCCAAACTCAAGAACCTGCACAAGGTGCAAACACTAAAGCTCATCATGACATCACCCATTGTAGCTAAGCAACAAAAGCTGAACTTATAATACGACTCCTTTGCTTCTATTAGAACATTGATTACAACCTCAGGACTTCTTTTTATTGCACCACTTACTGAGGTGTCTGGTTTTGTGTTAACTTCCTCTTTATGTTCTTTTTTGAGCAACAATGACGGAAGTTATCTCAGCCATGGCACAGAGCCCTGCCACCACCCTGGCTACCACTTCAGTTAAATTCATAAAACTAAGATGGCAAAATAAAGCGCCCGCTCAGCCGACCAGAAGTGTTGTGGCGGAGATGAATAAGTTTGCTCTCAAGCCAGTGAAAGTGAAGGTTTGGGTTTATATGTCATAAGATGCCGTTTGCAGAACCCCCGAAAAAAAGCTTTCATTGTTGGTATATTAGTCTATTTGTTTGTGTTGGCTTTCAGCAATGCTTTAAATTCTACCTAAATAACTGATTGCACACTTTATTTGGTCCACCTGTTCAATTGCTTGTAACACAAACTGCTAATCAGCCAATGAGATGGCTGCAACTTAACGCATTGAGGCATGTAGACGCGGTCAAAACAACTTTGAAGCTGAAGTTCAAACGGAGCATCCGAATGGGGAAGAAAGGGGACTTGAGTGACTTTGAATGTGGCGTGGTTGTTGTCAGACGAGTACGTCACAAACTGCTGATCTGAGATTTTCACACTCAACCATCTCGAGACTCGATTTCAGATTTGCATCATTCAGATGGTAGGATCAGAATTTGGAGTAAACAACATGAAAGCATGGAGCCATCCTTTTTTCTTGTCATACTTTGGGCCCCTTTGTACCAAATGAGCATTGTTTAAATGCAGCAGGCGACTGAGTATTGTTGCAGACCACGTCACTCCCTTTATGACCACAGTGTACTAACCTGGATGACCCCCCCCCTCTCCCCGCTTCTCCTTTCCTCCAGGTCTCCCCTCTGCTGAAAGGCTTTCTGGACAGAATGTTGGTGCGAGATCCATCTCAGAGGGCCTCTGCCAACGAGCTCCTCAAACACCCCTTCCTGACGAAGGCGGGGCCGCCGTCCTGCATCGTCCCTCTGATGAGGCAGAACCGGATGAGATGAGACAATGAGACCTCCGGACCCCAGAGGGGTCCGCACTCGCAGGTTCAGATAGAATGGAATACTCGTGCACACAGAGAGACAGCCCTCAGAGGTCACGTGACGGGAGGTCCTGTGCTGTGAGCTGCAACGAGTAGACTGCGTGTGCAGGAGTATTCTTTTTCTTACATGAATCACTGAACTGTGGGAAGTGTATTCCCTTAATAAGAGGCAATAAGGCTGTGTGTGTGTGTGTTTCTTGAGACGTGCTGCCATTTCCAGTCGTGTGTCAGTCATACATGCGTGTGCGAGCAGAAGAGCCACGACTTGCCCGTCGAGTGACTTAAACGTTTTGGTTTTAAAAGAACACTATTTCGTATTTTTCCATTTGGACCATTCCTGGATTTTGGGTGTCAAGTTGGTTTTGCACACCAATGGGAATGCTTCGAAGGAGACGTGAGCCCGTTGGCTGAATTTTTTAAAGACTGGATTGTCGTATTTTTTTATATCTCACTGTTCTGGCTCTCTGGGAGCCAGAGCTTGTCACTACAAAGGCCCCCAGACTTGGACACCACCCTCGTCACGCCCACAACCTACTACTGAGGGAGAGACACTTTGGACTCGCTGAGTCACACAGACTTTTATTTTGTAGCCATGTCAATTCTAGCCTCCTGTTGTGAACAAGCAAACGTACACTAATTCAAAAGGTAAACACTGGAGGTGTGTTGTTGTTTTTTACAGATGAATTTTACTCTAATTTCCTTGTTTTCATGTGTAAGTACAATGAACATAGAGAGATATATCAGTTTTTCTATCTCAAGTTTGTGATTGTTTTGTTGTTATTATGATTTGTTTCCTGGTTTGTTTTAGATGCATGTGAATCGTAAAGCACTGTCGACTAGAACAGGAAACCAACACTAGGCCTTTCATTTAGTCGTTGTGTAGCCCAGACATGTCGAGTCGGTGGTCGCTGCGTGACTCGGTAACACGAAAGGACAACGACAAACCCTCGTCCCGCTCAATACATGACGAAGTCTGTCCCCCTTTTTGCCGCTGTTTTAACAAGAGAAGGCTTACTATTCCAACCGATGGAGGGAGCTCGCGTTAGAAAGCAACCGGTTCTTCTCCCGTAGCTTTTAGGCAATGAGTGAGCTGTTGGTTGACTTCATTCTGTATTCCTCGTGCTTCCATGTAACGTCGCAGCTCCCCTTCAACTGTGGCTGCTGTTTCCAGTCATGTCTGTTCTCATCCATATTTGTTTTCTAAGTCAATCCATCTGGCTGAGCTTCTGAATCCACCTCATGCTGCAGGTGTGTTATTTATGGACCATAGCTTGTGTGTCTGGGTGCGCGTGTGTGTGCGTTAATAATCTGAGGCTGAATGACAATCAGAAGTAGTCGTGCTGGTTCCCGTCGGCGTGCTCGTCTTCACTGTCAGAATCTGCGTGAATTGATTCATCTCCTTTTATCGTTGGCTGTACAACCAATAGACTCCTTAACGAACGGGAGCTGCTGTGCTCAGTGGTTAGAGGCCAGTAGAGCAATCAGGCCGGTGAGGGAGAAGAAAACACATCAGAGGTTTTAAGAAGTGGGAAAAAAGAAGGTTGTGTGTCAAAGGGGACATTTCCCCCACAGGAAAAGGTGTCATTGACGTGAGTAAAAAGCTTTAATGCTTTCAGAACAGTAGTGTGAACTCACATTGGCCTTCATCAGCCTCGAACATCCAGCATCATCTGAGGATCTGTCTGCCACATAACCAAAACAACCATTACACATCACTAAACATCATTTTGCCACTGTTTTGTGTGTCATAATATTCTTGCCCAGCTGGTTGTTTTTTTTACTCTAACAACATGAATCTGGTAATATTGGTTCTCAAACTTTCTTCTCGAAATACTTAAACCGTTCTCTTGATAAATTCCTGACGGCATCCTCTAAATACGACCCCAGATAATCTGTTGCCCTCCCAGTGGGCCGAGTGCTGTGTTAATGCCGCCGCCAGCAGCTTTCAATGAAAAAATCCCCCGAGCCGTTTCATGGTGGGCTACATTTTGTGTGTGTGTGTGTGTGTGAGAATGTGAGCTCATGTCCACACACACACACACAGGTTCTTGCCTTAACTTTTACTAGCACTGCTCAACGGATGTGTCCGACTCGACACTACGACTGTTAGAGAAAGGAGACTTCTTGCACGGCAGGAGAAACTCTTGATGTAGTTTGTGTCTCATGTCGGGGTGGGGGGTGGTGGGGGGCGGCAGTTGAGATTCCTTTTGAGGACACTTTGTTGATGCTGAGGACTTTCCAGGTCGAGGTCGCCACTCCGCTCACCTCGGCGCACCAGGACTTCCACAAGTCGATTTGTGGATGAGCAGCTCCTCGTGCTGCCTCGCTCTGCAGCATCCAGGCAAACCAATGTGGTTACCATAGAGACCACGTCATCTCTGAAGCTCGTCGAATACCCTGCGACCGAAAACCGATTTGGATTCTCTCCACTTTTTGATTGAAATTTGATTTTTGTTGCTGTTCAACGTGTTGTAAAACATGGGATTGCAACAACTGCTCCTCCATCTTCTTGTTCATTTCACTGGTGTTAAAAAAAAAATAGAATTCACTTTGCAAATGTTACTTTTTACTTTCTTTTTTTCACAAATACAGATTTTGTCAAAGTCATCCAGGGTGTGTGTGTGTGTGTTTTCCTTAGTAGCAGACGGACGTTCCTCTTCTTCACTCGGACCTGAAGAAGTAACAACGCGTTAAACGGGCCGAGGCTCAACCCCAAAACAAATGTCAAAAGAGGCTGTTATTTACTGACTAAAAGGCAGATTGTTGGGTGAAAGGAAGACTGCTGTGCGGGTGTGTATTTATGGTGCAAATGAAACCTTTCAGAGACTTTCTGTCTTTGGTTGGCTGCCATCCAGATCGCATGCTTTTTTTAGTGTTTTCACTTATTGCAGGATGCACTGACACGGCCCCGGGACGTACAGAAGGATTTTTCCGGCCTACTGAATCTAGTTGTAGATCTATTGCATCTTTTTGCAGAGAACTGTCCGCACCAACCATTTAAAGCTCCACGGTGTCAGATGACGCCTCAACTGAGTAATTACAGGTGTGAAGGGATCCCCCTCGTGAGCTGCAGATTGAGCATCAGTTTTTTTCTTTCTCTCTGCTGTCTCAGAGCAGCAGGCAGCTGCGGATGCTTTCAGCCTTTTTAGCACTTCCGTCCATGCAGTGGAAGTTACTGAACTGCAGCGTTTACTGTTAATCGAGGGCTTGAAGGGTGTGTGCCCCACCCAACAATGACTCCTATTACAGACCACGGGACGGCTGTGTTACTGCATGCGTGTGATCTTGCAATCACAAAAAGTTTTGCGTTTCTTTGGTGGATTACAGTTTAAGGTGTCATCCTGGGTTAGTGTACATTGATGCAAGTTATTCAGCTTTTTTCTTTTCTTTTTTAAACATCATGAAGGTGCAACAAACTACACGGAGGACATTGTATATTCGCTGTTGAAAATGTAACACTAATAAATAATAACTTCAGTACTTGTATCAAGATATCTGCTATGCTGAGTAACCATTACTTTTGTCTGGACTAAAATATCTCAACCACCATAAAATATATTGATATGACATTATGTGCAAACGTTAATGTTCTCCAGAGGATGTTGCATATTAACAGTTCCCTTTTTCTGGGAAGTATCTCTATCTACGTGAAGGATTGTCACAATACTCTGTACAAACCACCTCTACCTCCGGCCAATGAGTTCTGATGATCTTGTTGGACACTTGTGGATAATGATTCAAACATAGTAAGTCTAGTGTCGTCACTGGTCCAACTTTTTTGTTTGGTCACGAAGTAAATAGAATGGCATTCTCTTCAGCCTCAGCTCTACTTTGTTTTAACTGCTTATAAGTCAGTGTTTGCAACAAGTACTTTTATCATCATCAAAAGTGTAAAAATTACAAGTACTTGATTTGAAGAATGGCACAAAGCATAATGTATATTATTGATATGTAACTTACTTTCATGTTGCAGCAGGTAAAGAGTAATGAATTAGTTTATTGGCAGCTTTTAATATTTATTGACTCAAGTTCTGATTTTGAAAAGTAACTAAGTCTGAGAAAAATACAATATTAACCACTGAGATGTAAAATAGAAAGTAAAACTACCTCTCAGAATTCAGTCCAGTTCAGTCGAGAACATTTAGTTTAACAAAAAGGCTGACTGGTACATTGTGTTCTCCTTATACATATATGTTGTACTAAATGTATTTGTATGGTTTAAGTGTGCGCGAGAGGAAGTACGTGGTTAAACCAGTTCTCAAACTGATTCGGTCGAATTTTAATTGAAATAACGACATTTTGTGACTTAACTGTTAAAGAGAAAAAGTAACTGGACATAACTGATAACAGCAATGTGATGTTTTACAGTGCGTGTTCTCTCCATAGTTTGCTTCCCAGCAGCACACTGCTCCTTAATTCCTACTGATGGGTCAAATAATTTCCCCATGTGGGATTAATAAAGGATTATATATACAATTTTAATTTAAAAAAAGATTTTAAAAAATAGATCCACATTTCCCCCAGCCCCTCGCGCCCCCTGTAAGACCTCCGCGCCCCACAGTTTGAGAACCGCTGGGTTAAACCAACGTGTGTGTGCGCGCGTGCGTGTCTCTCTCGGTTGTGAGCTAAAAAGAGCGCTTCCAGAACGTGACGGAGCCGCCCGGGTGGGCGGTGTTTGGCGGCTCGCGGCGACCAATCGGAAGCCCCCAGGGCGTTCGGTGTGAAGCACAGCTGATCGATGAGTCAGGCAGAGAGCAGCCCGAAACGTCCCACTTGTAGCTGCGCAGGAGCGGGGCGGCAGGACGTTGGCGGGCGGACGGACGGACGGACGCAGTGTTCCATTAGATCCATCGACCCGTCGATGCGTCGCGCTCCTCGGATCCGAAAGCGTCAATTTACCGGCGGATCCCCGCAGGCTGCACAGCGGCTTCAGGGCTCGATCTCTCCCGCTGCCGCCTCCTGATCCGCGGCTCCCAGGTAAGATCTTTTTTTAAACTGCTCGATATTTAGTGCCTTCACAGGGAGGATGTTTTGCATCGATCCGAACCGATCAGAACCGCATGTCCTCTTTGTGTGATCTGTTTTTACGTCTGCTTTATAGAATATCTGGTTTTATTGGCTGTGTTGCTGGATGTCACCAGCGGTTTACAGTACGCTTTTATTTACAGTGGCTGGGATTCTATTCAGTAGTTAAAGATAACAATCAATTCAACTATAGAAATGTAATCATTTGTATTTATATCCAATAATCCCACGGGAGGATGTAGTGAACTCCTGAAGCTTCCACGACAACAAAGGGGCTCGTACAGAGTGACCTGTGACCTCTGATGGGCTCCCAGGTGTCTCTGGAGGTTTTGTGTATTCCAGGTGTCATTCAGGTGCTTTGTGGAAGGGGGGGGGTCACTGTTGGGGGGAGCTTAGACGAGACTTCACGGTGTCTCTTTCTCAGAGCAGGTTTCAGGGGTGTTTTAGGCTTTTCACTGCATGTTCCACCTGCAGCTGAAGCATTTAGGATCCGGAACATTTATTGCCAAAATATGTTCGACATACAAAGAACTTGACATGGCGGTTGTTGCATAACATTGGACAGTAAGACAATGGACAACAAGACAAATAATAAATGTTTAATTAAAAATGTTTTAATTAAAAATAAAGTTAAAATAAAAAGTTAGTCATTCTAAGGATCTCCTAATCTATCAAAAAAGTTCCAGAAATCCCCAAAGGAACATGTTTACTCATCTTTCATTCATGGTTATAAGACATTACTTTTGAATTAGCTGCTAGGTTAACCAACGCAGGCTTTTGAACACAAAGTGCCTCGTGGATTGAAGCCCTGAAAGCAGATCTGTGGCACCGTTTCAACAGAAGCTGCAGCATCAGCACTTCCACTGTGTACAAAGTGTATGCGGAACATTCAAAGCTTTACCAAACCTCCATCAATCGCTCACATGGAGCAGGTGGAGGTAACATGAAATATATATATATATTATTTAGGCTGTACGCTGCAGTCTAAGTAGTTCAACTGAGCAAACCTTTACCGAGGTCAACATTCAAGGAATTAAGACATTTATCGATTAGGCATATCAAAAACCTCTTGTACTTATACATTTGTACTTTTACTCGGGTTAGTAAGTGATTTTCCGTAAATGTTTTTTTTTTCTTTTACAATGCAGTTTTCGTAAAAAGAGTTTGCTCTTTCTGCTCGGAAAACCCACAAGTACAAAGTTCAACATGGCAGCGTCCCGCCAGCTACTCATCAACCAGCCTGTCCGATGCGCTCTAGTGGGTGAACACACTGGATTCCCCAACCTGAACTTTGCTTTTCACTGTTTCATGTTCACTGCCTCCTGCAAGCAGCTTGTGTGTGTGTGTGTGTGTGTGTGTGTGTGTGTGTGTGTGTGTGTGTGTGTGTGTGTGTGTGAGATTAGGGGGGAGGGGTCGTCCCCTCACTGCTCCAGATGTGACTGATGACTCTTGAAATGAAAAGCACAACACACACTAAAGACGGCACAAGCCGCACACACAAACCACCCACTGTGTGGCATTTGGGCCGACACCTCGCACTAGTTCCACCCCCCCTCGGCGCCTAAACAGTAACGCAGAGAAGTAAAACTACATTTTTAAGAGGGGGTGCAAATGTAAACTACACTACACAGTGAAACTTCCCCAGTTTATTTGTTGTTTCACAAGCTTTAGGGCATGTGATTAAATGCAAAATGGGGCATTTTCATATTAAATATATTAGAATATTTAAGATGTACTGAAGTGGAGATTTATTGAGAAAACGTCCTTTAAAGATATGAATTGTAAAATGACGTAGATTTTGGAGACTTCGCGCGTACAGGCTACACAATGTGGCAGCGCAAACATTTTTTCTGTTATCAATCCACATATATGGATGTCCTATTACTGTGGGTCGGTTGTCTCTGTACACGTCTCCCCATCAGGCTGACTGTAATGATCGTTGTCTCTCTCCCGGTGGCTCCAGGCGAGCTTGTAATCGCCGATTACCCGGCAACCTCCGGTCTGTCGGCTGAGCAAAGGTCATGACAGGAAATGAACCCAAAATATCAGCAGCACTTCTTTTTATTTATCCAACAACACCCAGGCTAATCGGCTAATTACATATACGCAATATGCTTTGATTAGCCATTTTCAGTTTGTTTCAAACAAGATGGATTTGAAGGATTTTGCGTGATACCTTTTTCGTTTGGTGTTTTGCCTCCAGCATTTGAACAAAACATTTGTATGTATAAGCTCTCCATAAACCATTGCCTTGATGCACGTAGCTTATTAGTTTCGCTTTAGCGTTTTATAAGTGGAATATTAATGCATTCAACAAAATGCTGTGTACCATTGGTAGTGATGACGTCCCGTAGTCCAAATAGATCCTCTTAAGCCTGAGGGAGACGAGAAGTCCTAAAGGTTCAGATCTTTGTTTTCAAAGGGAATGTGAAGACTTGGAGCGGCTCAGGGACCAACAGGTGAAGCCAGCAGATGTGTGCATGTGGCCTCAGCAGCTGGCAGGTGTCGATAAACACGGCTGATCACACACCCAGAGTGAAAAAACCCGAGCCTTTATGTTCCTTTACTCCCTTTAAGCAGGAGCGGCTTCCCAGAGAGCAAAGTGACTCCCGCTTCCTGATAAATGGGTTTGTGCGTCCTCTTTCTGACCCCTCGTCCCCGTTGTGTCCTCAGGAAGTCCGCTTTGATGTCTGCGTCGGCCCCGTGTCCTTCGCCCTGTGGACGCGTCACCCTGGTATGTGGACTCCTGCTGCTGGCCTCCTCCCCGCTCCTCACAGCAGGTAGGACCTCTGAGTCATTGCCTGCTTCTCGGGTTCCTCCCTCGTTCGTCGCAGCAGACGGGCGGATATTATTCCTACGTGCTGAAAATCATTTTGGGGAAATGCAGAAAAGGGGCAGCGAGAAGAACTGATCTGAAAGACGTACGGAAACGATGAGCTATTTAACGCGTCTCTGTTACGTCCCGTGATGAAAGCTTTGTTGAATTCACCGAGGCAGGATGGAGACTCTGCTCTGTTTCAGTGGTTTGAACCTCAACCGGCTTCCTCTCATCATAACGTCGCACTTTAGATCTTTTTCTGGAGCAACTAAAAACCACGGAGGCTTCTGTAGTTACGCCGTCATTCCCAGTGAGTTTCCACTCTCCGCCTCACACTCGGCGCGTTGAGGTTGTGGTGTCAGTGGAAACCGTGATTCTACAGACGTAGGCTTTAATGGTGGCGGGTGGAGATCGGGTGGGGGGGGGGGGGGAGTGGGTGACGTTGTGATTCCTGCATGAGCTCCCAGCGGGCAGCGTGAAGCTACGTGTCCATGTATCCAAGCCCAGAGCTGAGCCTCTGCAGAGCCGGTTCGCTCGCTGTGTTTACAGTAACACCACCTCGCTGTCCTTCCACCGTGTCCTCCCCAAGCTGCTGAGCCTCTCAACAAAGCATTCAGTCACGCGCTGTAATCACTACAACCCCCGTCCTTGATCACTGCCATATTGTACTTTTTTTTTTCCCACTTTATTTTTATCCGGCCCCTCCTGTCCATTGAAAACCACGTATCACCACATGTGTCCACGCTGAAGATTTGTGTTACACGGAAGTTGAGAAAATCCTCCTTCTTAAGTTAAATAAACTCTTTAAAAAGCCTTTTGCATCCCGTGGAATATAAATCGTAACATAGCTGAAAAGAAAAGGCTGTTTCTCTCCTTTAGAGCCACTTGGTTCTCACAGGACAGACGCTACCAACGTGTGATGATGTAATAGAATACGACGCATTGCTGTTGACTAAGCTGACCATCTGCAGCTGAAGGAGTTAAACGTCCACCAGCTGGTGGAAGCCGAGATGTTTATCCAGTTCTTTGAGAGCGAGAGAGAGAGAGAACACGTGGATGTGGAGCAGAGACTGAGGAGTTTGAAACGTATGGTTCAAACTCTGAGACCCCCGCTGACTCCCGGTTGTTTACGTCCCCCACAGGCCGACTGAGTAACTGCACCCACCCGCTGGTGCTGGAGCACGGAGGGTTCCGCTGTGATCCGTCGCCATGTCGGGGTTTTCCCCTCAAGAGCTCCATTCACTTCTTCTGCGAGCCCGGCTACCACATCAACAACAAGGTCCGCGTGTCCAGGTGTCGCCATGGGAGGTGGCAGCCCCCGATCCCCGCCTGCATCCCCAACCGAGGTGAGCGTTCACGAGGCGCCGTCTGACAAGTGGTCGACTTCCTTTGTCGGCTTTGACCGCTGAAGGCCTCAAGCGTTGATTCGTCTGTCAATCAATGGTGAAGGTCGCCCCTCACAGATGTGAGAATTAGGTTTGTTTTTCATTTAAGATGTATAACGTTTATTCTGGATCTGGGAATCCCTTTTTTCTCTTGTACTTCATAGAGGAAATTAGCAGCTTCATCTAAAAGTGGCGGAGTGGCAGCTCAGAGTTCACCTGGATCACTTCCTGTCGTGACAATCTGGTTCCTGTGTGTTCTCACCTCAGTCAGGGAATAACTCTCCTGATGGCCTCGGTATCATGATTTCACTGGAATGATTATTTATGTATTAACATTTTATGCTTCTTTACGTTTGTATTCTGCAACATCTCAGAGAAAACCTATGTGACTTCCACGCCGCCGCATTCAATCCACACTAATTAGTTATTATTATTAATACTAAGTAGTATACAAAATATCTATATCTTAAATTGTCTCCTTGTTGATGAAGTTCAACAGTGACGTCTCCTGTGTGTGAAGCAGGAAAATGTGGTGGTGTGTATAAATCTTCCAGTGATTTAGGGTGCAGGTCTGCCATCTTTGACCTGAACGCACCGATTTGTTGACATCTGGCTTCAGAGTTTGCTCCCTGTGCGGCTGTGAAGGGCCATTTACAAGCTAAACGAAGGTCACAATGATATGATCCAGATTCTATTAGCACGAGCGCAGCTCTTTACCAGATGGGTAATTAGACAACACTCCGTGATAAATAATTAAACAGAGGCCACTGGTAGTTTCAAGTGTTGTTCTATTATTGTGAGGTAATGTGTGTTCTGTACTTGATGTACGTTTTTAGTTTTATGTGCTTTTTTTAAGCCCATCATGTGCAATGTTTTTCCTGACCCAGCGTCAGTATGTGACGGGCCGAGAGCGTGTTACAAAAACACAACTATTCTTAGTTACTGGCCCTTTAGGGGAGATTTGGAATGCATGACGTGTACTTGTAATAAGTGTTTTTGGGCAGCCGGTTTTCTCGTCTCTTCCTCCGAACCTTAAATGAAGTCATTCGAAGAGGATTTTCTGCTGAATGCTTTGAGTTCTCAGCAGAGAGAATATTGAATCCCTCTACTGTCTCTACTGTCTACTACCCTTTGAGTACGAAACCTCAACAGCTCTCTGCATTTCCCAGCACCCTCGCTCACCACCGCAGTGACGAGCCCACTGTGTGATGTGCTCGTGAGTCAGCAGCTCCGACCCCGAGGCTTTGCAGGCTGATCACTCATTTATGACCCGCAGGAAGCAGATGCCGGGTCATTGCTGTTGTGACAACTTAAGTAAAATACTTTCCTCTATTTATGTTACTTTGTACTCCCACATCTCGGAAGCAAATATTGTTCTTTTTACTTCACTACATTTAGCTAGCTATAGTTTTATTTTTTATTTTGTGCATTTAAAAACCGAACGAATTTCTGAGAAAACATTTCCTGAATGATTGGAGCAAACTTCCGATCATTTGCCGTTTTTCACGTAGAATCATTTCACAGTTTAATCATGTTAATGTATAACTGATGCTGTTAATGTTTCGAAAGCCTCGTCGGCAACATTTTCATTTGCTGGAACCAGAAGTGACACAAAAAGTGAAAAGCCAACTTTTTTTTTACATCAAAGTAATGATCTAACGATAAAAGATGTATAATTATAGAAGGACCATAGGGGACATTTCTCATCTTTGAAGTAGTACATTTTCCCAATGTTTACTTGTAGTACTTTTGCCATCACGGAGTGTGGCACTGTTACAACTGTCGATCTAAGAGGACTGTTGTATCTGAAAAGTATTTTTGGTTTGGTTTATTTTTTTCATAATGTATCTCCCCTTGCAGGTGACTGAGATCAGGTTTGGTCTCAATGAATCTGTGATTCTCAAAAAGGAAATATCTCCCCTAAAACAATCATATATTCAACCTCCCTTGACCCACTTACCACTCGGGGCCTCAGGCACTAATGCCTTTGCGCCCACTTCAGACGCGTTTGTTTCGCTCTGTGTGCGTGACAGCGCGGCGAGGTGTCCACAAACAAGCCGCACTGAGGCGAGCGCTTACATTGCCGGTCGCCGAAACTGAAAATGGGCAAATTCTGCTTTTCCGTGTCATGAATCGGGATTCACGGGAGGGTCAAGGGGAAAGTGGGACTTTCCCATAAAGAGATGGGAGGGGACGTGCAAAGTGCACCTAATTACGTATTCTGCGCTACGTACAGAGACCGTTCAAAGATTGGGAAACAAAGTTTTGAATCAGAAATGACAAATATCATCAAATATGGGGCGTATAGGAGGTCAACTTCAACGAGAATCCAGTAGAAGATTAACTCTTTTATGGATTTGGTTTAAAGGCCGTTCTCACAAATGGGGATTTGACCTCAAAGATGGAGCCTCGGTGCCTTTTGAGCCGTAACCACCAGTGCAGAGGTGCCTGATGACCCGACGATGTGCACTTTTTGTAAATAAGACGTAAGCTGAAGCATCACAGCGAGCTCTTTCTCCACAGCGCCGCTCGAAGCTTTCCGTGACTCGGATCGGTTTCCACTTCCTCTGTCGCCATTCACTCAGTCTGTGCGCCAGGAAGTCGGCGCGCAGAAAGAGGAAACCATCGTAACCAATCATTATTTCCTTGGTTTTGCCGCTGTCTGAGCGTCACAGAATACTCGTATTTTCATGATTTTCAGAACCACAGAACAAGATAAACAACTTCCCCTCGTAGATAATGTTTGATAATCTATTTCTATCCATACAAATGTCATCGTTGTCTCCCAAACTTTGTTTTATTACTGTTTAACACAAATTACATGCGATTATTGCACATCTTTTTTTTTCTGCTGTATCGTTCTCAAACGAAATTGCACAACTAAATGTGTGAAAATGGCAAAGAGTGGAAAATAATTGAATTGCTTTGAGACGTAGTGAAAGATCCCTCACGTCTTTAACCCACGTTTGTGCTCTTCTTCCTCAGAGGGTCCCAACATGCGCTCTGACGACAGAGTCAACAATTCAATGCCCAGCATGGCCACGACAGCAGTGGGCGTGTCCATCTTCCTGCTGACCACCACCGCCTGCCTGGTGGTCAAGTCCCGCCTTATCCCGTGTCAATCACACAGGTGAGAAGAAGATGTCTTTCCGTGTTACGCTCACAGAGCACCTTGTGTGTCCGCGTGTGTGTTTCAGCTCATCCTCTCTGTGTGTCCCCGCAGCCGGCGCTCTTCAGACCAGCTGGACCTGATGGTGGACGGACTTCCCGTCTCCCTCCCCTCCTACGAGGAGGCGATGTACAGCAGCTGGGGGCAGCGCCTCCCCGCCTTCTCAGCGCCGGGGGGCCCCACCCAGCTCCTACTGGCTCAAGAGGCTCCCAGCTGTCACCCAGCGGCTCTCAACAATCAAGACAGCAGCAACCGCCCCCCCCTGCCCAGCCCCGACAACCCGCCGCCCCCGTACGAGGAGGTGCAGTCGTCACAACATAGGGACAGGATGGGGGACGGGGACATCCGGCCGCTCCGCGTCGCGTTTTCAGATGACAAGGACACTTGATTGACAGACTGCAGGGTTTACATGTGATTACGTGTTTAGCAATGAAGGATTTTGATTGACAGCTGCGGTGTAAAAATACATCCAGTACTGCACTTTTTCTGACTGGCTGCAGCTCACCAGCATCACATGCTAATTTAGAAAAAGCTGATAAGCTCTGATTGGCCGGCAGTGAGGTCACAAAGACCTGAACCATTTCTACGGGAGGTATTGATTGTAAAGTGTGTCTATTGAATGTGACACAAGGGCACTTGTGCTTTATGCCGAAACCTTTAGCTCCCGAATGCCTTATTTTTAGTGTGATGACAGTACGTTTTATTGGAATTATGAGTGTGTTTCTGGAGTCGGTGAGAGTGTGGATTGTGCTGTTGCAGTACAAAAATCCTGTGCGTTTCCACGGCAACTGACTCCATCTCTATCTGAATCTACCTTTGGTAAAGTGTTTCTCTTGGTGGTGTTGATTTAAAGCCAGCGTGGTGCACAGTGAAGGTACTAATAACATGCTCGTGTGCGGACACTAGGACGGTAGATTGTGACAAACAAGCACCATTTTGTGATATTTATTTTGTGTATATCAAATATTTAGAGAAGTTACAATGATCGGATGTGTTCATTTACTGGTGAGTGAAGGAAAATTTTATATTTTGATTAATTGAAATGTCTAATCAAGAGAATATAACATTATTGTGCATTTGCTCCATCAGTGGAGACTCACAAAGACGACAAACAGTTTTCATTCTGGACCAAATAACCCCAAAGTGCGTGCGTGCGTGCGTGCGCATGCATCTTCACTTCACCTGGCTACTTCCCCCTCTAGCCTCTGCAGAGCGACCAACGCCTTTACAGACCTTGAATGTATTTTATGTTTCATATTGTGGCAACAAATCCTAACTGGATTGTAATATTTACTAAAAGATTATTTGTACATTTGTGTTATTGCACAGAATTATATGATCAATAAATGTTGACGTTTGACATGACCTCATCTTAATATAAATTTGCATCAGGAAGGACTCAATGTGAACTATTTTCCCAAAGCTAAAAGAATGTTTGTTCATATCTCATGTTTGTAGAGCAGCTGCTCAAATCTACACTTCTCAACACAATCCTCAAACGTCAATGTTCTCATCCCATGTGTTATTATGTCAATAACAACTCGAAAGGTGCTTAATGTGGAATTCTACTGCAGCCCCACAGCACTCAACACTGCAGCTAAATGCTGACAACCGCAGCCATTACAAGGTGACACTATACCAGGACTTTTAATTCATGCTATACTCTACAAAGGTTATTTGTGTAATCCTTTCCATACCTTCCAATTATTTATATTATTCTTCAAAATCGTCATACAATGCATTTTTTTCTTTCTATTACCTGCTTTTTTGTTTTACATCACATACTTTGATATAGTCTGACATTGTCATGATATCTTTCATAACAGTATACGGTACGAGTTTATTTATTAATGACATACTATGACATTTGTTTGTACCGCACTACAATAACTTTATAACTCTCTATATGACCTGCTTCTGCTTATATGGTCTTTTCTATTTATTTCCCTAAACTACGGTGTACATTTTTTCCAACATAACAGTCATTGTATTCCGCCTTTATCCAAAGCGACTTACATTACATCTTTACCCCGCGGCTTTTTACATTTTGCCCAGGGAGCAATTAGGGGTTAGGTGTCTTGTTCAGGGACACTTTGGGCAGCTGGGACTCAAACCACCAACCTTGCAGTTCCCAGTGCACCCTTTCTACCCCTGCACCATGACAACACCATTATATTTTTCCAGATGTTGTGTCCGTTCCTGATGCTGATGGTGCACTAAACCAGTTGCTACATGATGGAGCCCAGGCAGGTTGGTGGTCTTTTCTCAAAAGGTCCATTCAATCAAAGGATCCAGGGACCAAAGCCTTTTTGGAATGATATAATTAGATACAAGGCCGTCTATCTGTGCCTCAGAAGCCCCATGCTGGACTGTAGTTCCCTTTAGTTGAAGAAAAGAATGATATGAAGAAAAGCACCAGAGGACCTTAAAAGACAACATTGGCAATTCCTCCATAGTAATCACCTGCAGTGATTGGGCTCTGTTTTTAGATACATCTTTGAACTCAGCTGTTTGCATAAGCATAGAACCTCCTTTTCTCATTGTAAATATCATTTTGTCTGGGTAGAAGGTGACTTCATCAGATCTAATATCTGTTTTGGCGATAATGAGTCAGCCAGTGTTCTGGGCATAGAGCAAGTTTAGTGTTGCTTGAGCCCAATCCTACGTACCAATTTCCACCTTCACCCTGTCACCCGGGTGCACGCAGAGTCCTGTGAGCTTGGCTGCATTTACGTGACACGCGAGTCTACGGCCGAGGGCCACGGAGGCTCCAGTCAGAGGAGTCTGAAGTGAGATTTAGGTGTTTGTGCAGTCTGCCGTAGAGGGAGCCCACACGTCTCCAGTCCGTTGGAGTAAACTGATGGGTACCTCTGCTGCGGGAGGAGACTTGAACCCTATAGTCTACATAAAGATGCCTCTGTTTCCTCCCCAAAATTACTCTGGCCTCCCGGTTGCGCAAAGCAGTAAAAAGCCAAATGAGTCACGTCTAGAAAGTAGCAAGGGGCGTATAGAGAATAAACAGGAAGTCAAAGAAACAGTAACTTCCTCTTGAATCAGATGTGTAGGCTTATTGTAATTTAAAGACCTCTATCGGATTTATCGTCATGTGTTGTATGTGAGTGTATCTGCATTGAATGCTATCGTTTTTTATTTGAATGTCTAACTGTGAAACACTTTGACGCCCGATAGTCTCAGAAGATCTCATTTGTTCTCTTCTTTTCTTTGCTACCATGTAAATTAGTCTGTGGTGCAAATATTTACAGGATACCTGGCTCGATATCGAGGTTCCTACGACAGATATCTAAGATGGCCTCGTTTTCTAACATAAATGTCCAGTGGGTGGTCAGGATGGAGTTGTGGCTCCACCACAGCGTTGGACGGTGGGTAGATGGAGAACTCCAGCTTGGACTTAGGATCCAGCTTAGGATGTAGTCGACAGACAGATGCTCCATCAGGGGAGAGGTGAAGCCGGTCCCACCTCTGGAGCTGGTCTGACTGTGGCAGGAGACAGTGATCACACGTGAGATACTGTCATTTTATTTGAATCCAACGATGGATCCTCAGATATCAAGTTACCCACCAGCTTGGGAATCCTGTCCAGCACTACGCCTGTGATATTGTTTCCACAGGCTTAATTGTTAGCAGCATCCTCCTAAGCAGTGATCAGCTGCTCAGGGTGGAACAGGCGGCAGTAAGTCCCCCTGTCCACCTCATCTGAAGAGACAAAAATACTTCATCACAGGCAGCCACATTTACACTTGAATTTCTGAGTTACGTTATTGCTCAGCCAGAAGCGATTACACTCACCGACAGCGGGCTCCAGGTCCAGATGCTTTCTGGCTCCGCTCTCACTGGAGAAAGTGTTGAAGGAGTCGTCTCCTCCTGCGATGGTCTTGCTGATGGGCATCTGTCTGCACTGGGCACCAGAGCTCCCAGCAGGACACCAGCTTGACCAACATGGATGGAGATGCACTCTCGCTCTGCAAAGGGAAAATATTGGTTATTGTATCAAAGGAACTGCAAGTATTTTGCACAAGGCCTGCTTGGCTTGAGACCACAACCTCATGTGCAAATGGTTACTGAGGGTAACAAATCAAGTCGGACGGAGAGTCCTTTTCCGTAGACTTCCATCAATAATTATTTTTGCATGCAGGAGTCGCCCCCTGCTGGTCAAATGATTGAATGCAAGACACTTCCATATCGGGTTCACTCAGTAGAACCAGAGGTGGTCTTCTAGAAATCGTGCTCTATTGGGAAAAAGAATGAATTAGGTGTGAATATCGTAAGCCTCCTGGATGTGACTAACCCTTTACCCGACTAACTGACAGTAAGCTGCCGGTTACTGAAAACCTTCTGTATTGCTGGACAGTCGGTTGGTTGGTGTCGGCCTTGTTGGGGAAGGTTAGCTATTTATGATTAATTATGTTTTTCTAACTACCGGTGCATAAAAAAGTATATTTTGTTCATGGAAAATACTGTTACAATAAAGTGGTGCCTGATGTTTGTTTAACGTTGTCTAACAGTGTTGAACTTGATAATTACAACGACCTACGTGCTTGTGATTCAAAATCAAACCATATTGACTCAGGGTCTTGTTTTCTAGGTCTTGTTTTTTTAAAATTGTTTAGGCCAGTGGTAGTGTTGAAGGTTTGGTGATGCTGGACGACACGGCCACTGGCACATGGAGTTTCTCCAATATAAATCCAATTCAAGCAGTTTAAGGATGAGAGTCAGATCCATCTCCCCGGATATGCGGGTCGCATATTTGGTTTCCCACATAAGTAAAGCCATTGTAAAACACGTTAACAGAGATAATGTACTGTCATGTGGATCTCTACTGCCTCCAAGATTTACCCACAATGACGTATAGCCAGAGAGACCACCATGCTCCTTGAATGTTTCTACACCAGATGGAATTCATGAGAAATGCAAAAATAATTCTATTAATCTGTCTCAATAACCGAGATAAATAATAAAAACACAAGTAAATATAATTTCTGGTTTTAATACACGTATACTGCGTGAACGCGTTTACTCTGCGTCTCCTTATACAGTCTAGGCTCTGTTCACTAAAGCAACTGATTAATATTATTTAGTTGAGTCACAACATTTTTGATTTAACTTTATTACTAACCGTATATTATCAAACAATGCACCGATGAAAACCTACAAACCTTTCCTTTGTATTGACTTTTATTGTGAAAATGTACGTACGGGTTAAAAGAGTCAAACTATACACAGACTCTGCATGTTCCCACATCCATTTAGGCATGGCCAATCAATTTACTGTTGTCTTAGATACAAGTGCTTTTTAATTTTTTTATCACTGTTAAACGAGTCTTTTGACTTGAGAATGAAGAATTAAACAGCTCACTGAATATTAAGGTAACTGCTCGTTTTCAGTTATCGTTATCGACTCAACATCAATGACACAATCTGTCTTCGATGACTGATTATATCTCAATCAGATCCAATGATTTAACAGTGTAAAGGCTTCCCCTCAAGCACCAACGTGTCAATGACTCCAGAGTGTCCAGTCCCTCATTTTGAAACACACTATAGCCTTAAAAATATCCAATAACAAAGTATCCAATCCAGAAAACAAATGTGTAAAGACAGACTACAATATTATTTGGAGTCTTTTCGCATATATTAATGCATTTAAGGCAAGTTGAATTGAACTGTAAATGCAAATTGTTAATTTGTGAGAATGTGGTCAAAATTAAAAGCCCGATGACACAGAAAAAATACTTTTTTATTATTCATGATGATTGTTTTGCTGAACAAAACAGGTCAGTATCATACATGCTGTTGTTTTCCACATAGATTATTTTATTTATTAATCCAGTTCAACTCTCTTCTGGAGTTGCACAGCAGAAATACGTCGTCCCTGCAGCCAGATGGTCACACAGCGTTCTATGGTGCGGCTTTTATATCCGTCGACTGATATGAATGACACACCGTTGCTGTGGATGCGGTTCTGATGTCACACAATTATTGTAGTCAGGCATCGATGTCTCAGTAGCTGTTTTAGCGGGATAATGGACGACGAGTGGGTGAATATTGTTCAGAATGATTCAGGAGGCCTTCTCTTCCTAATCGGGTTGATGAGCTGCTTGCCGTAGATTTTCCCTTAAAATTTCCTAACATATAGCATGTTGCTATACTATTGCCGAGCCCCTTCGATCAAAAAACAAATCAGCAGCTCAAGTTGCCGGCAGTCGTTCTTCCTTCTTTTGTTTTTATTGGACCCTTGTCCTAAAATCATATATTTTACATATTCATCACATTACCTTGTGGCAGTGGATTGACTCTTTAGTTAACCGTCGTCTTCTGTCATCGATCTCATCTGCAATGCAGTTCCACGCTGAAGGAAAACGGCCGATGCACAAACTCTTGTGAGGTCATTCCCTGGAAGTGGCTGAGTCAACACAAAGCGGATTTCCATTTCAGGCCTCCAAACTACGACGTGACAGGAATGTGTTTCAGGTGCAGAGCCGGATTGTGTCTGACAGGAGGAGGCACAACTCACACGATTCCCTTCAGCAGAGGAACTGAAAATACTATTAAATGTAAAAAGCCTGCTTTCAAACCCACACCCACAAAAAGTAACTTACCCAAAAAGTATTCATTGTGAAGTAAAATATTCTGGTCTACTTTAACTAATGATAACATGGATTAATATCGATGCTGCATTAATATTTATGATGCATTTTAAGAGCAAGTTAACTCTCTTATTACCCTTGTCTGTTGTAACAACCACGTATCACTAAATGCAGCTTTGTGATTATTTATTCTGCAGCTGAGCCCAGAGGTTTTTATTTAGCTGAAGAAGTAGAAGGATCTTCTCAGCACACAAAGGGCCACATGTCGTGTCATTCAGCATTAACAAAGCATCAACTCTTGTGCATGTGGTTTTCCACATGAACCTCATCTGTGGACAGCAGAAAGACGACACCCACACTGGAATAAATGCATAGTTTATTATATAACAATAAAGGCTCAAGGCTACATCGTAAATAAAACAGTCGAGTAGATTTAAGGGACTGTAGCCTAAATTATGAACAGGAAGTGCGGCGAACACACCGCGTCATCAAGAAGAGGTACAAACAATGTTGCATTGAATATTGATGCTCAGCCGTTGAGGCGCTGCAAGACTAAAGTTGCTCTAAAAAAAGATTAAATTGCTGCAACTACTGAGAGTATACTTTCCATACAGCTACGAGCTACCAGTAGATTTAGGCTACTTCTGCTACAGTACAGTATCGCTTCAAATTCCTCTAGATACCTGAATAAAAACAGCATTCTGCTGTGCAAACACAGAACAAGTCAATCATTCACATTGGCATGTTTAAAACTAAATAAATGAATAGAAGAAATCTCCGTTAGTGCAGAGAGGTGGATCTCCAATGGGCAGGAAGGAGGTACGGGGGTCCTCAACGTGTCTCGATGAGAGTTTTTTGAGCAAGGTGCCACGGGGTATTTGAGGACCCCGAGGAAGGGGGTCTTCGGTGGTTGGGAGACCAGAGTTATGGTTCAAAAGTTCTTGAAAGGGTTCCTGGAGATGTTCCTCAGGAAACTGCAGGTTCTCAGGGGGGTTCAGGGTTTTGGCTTATATCTATTAAGAGCTTGATGTGTAGGTCCAGGACTTGGAGCACAGAAATGATATTTTAACATTTATAACAGTTAAATGATGTATGGATGACTTTTCCGAAGAACCCCCAATATAACGCACACATATACACACAAAAGAGTGGATGGCGAAGCAAACATGTCCTTCCCGTCTAGTTTCAAGAACATGCTAAACACATAGAGCCCCACAGGACTGCATGTTCGGGTAAGGCTGGACGAAATGCAACAAATACAACAAAATGCCCCCCCCGACCTCCTGCATGCGGAACACAGCTGCAGTCATGTTTCTCCATCCGCCGCTGGTGCAGCCGCGTGTCAGGTGCGCGTGTGCGCTCACCCACATAACGTGTGCAGATGTGGCGCACGTGCAGCAAAGTCATCCTAAAACCGAGAAGCAGTCGGTGCGGTTCGCTGCCCCGCTGCTCGTGATGTTGTGCGGCGGGTCTGGTGTCCAGAAAAACACGTAGTAAATCACCAGGATGAACGCGGCCACGGACACGCAGAAGAAATAGGCGATCGCCATGGCCACTTTTACCCAAATCTTAGTTGACATGTTGGCGTGCTTGGCCCGCAGCTCCCCGGGATAGCTCGGCCTCCGCTGCATGTCCCCGTTGAGCTTCTCCGCCGCGGGGGGGACTTGCCTGCTGGCCGCTTTCATCTCGGCATTAGCGTTAAAATCTTATCCAGCGATGTTCCCTTTGCGGAGTCTGTCCCCTGGTCATTCGCGTCCTGGCAGCAGAGCCAGATGCGCACCTCCTGCCTCCTGCCTCCTCCCCGGCTCAGCGCTCCTCCCGCCCGGGGGCTGCGGTCGAAATCGGGGCGACAGCCCGCTGCGCGCCACAGATCTCTGACCCCGCCGAGTCCTCCGTGCGCACCGGACAAACTGAACTCAGGGCGCTGTGGCTTCAGCTGGATGGGACCGCTGTCAGCCTGGCCGTAGTTGGAGAGGTCGTTTCCGGCAGGGCTTTTCAAAATAACACAAACGGTATCTGCCAGAACGCGAAGGATAAACTTGTGGATCCCGGAGGGGAAGATTTTATGGTGGAACAAAAGAAACGGACGTACATCTCTAGAAGGGAATTATTGAGACGGATTTGACCCCATAATATGAAAACAAATGCATACACATCCACAAACAAATATAAATAGTAATTTATTTCTGCGTGCATTGAAATGTATTTGTAAATCCTTCCGTTTGCATTTGGGGGTCGTTCTGTGCCCATTCGCAGTTATTGAGGCTGATTAATTAGACAAACGGCAGCATAGGGGGTGTCCTATTTGTATCCATCTCCAGGGACGAGAGTAAAATCGGTGGTGGGAAGTGATATTATGTAAGTACTGTGCAACTAATACAATAAGATGAAAGTATTTCTAGTTACCACGATTTCAAACTTATACACAGAAGAAAATGTTGTACATTTCACGCAACTGAATTATAGAAGATTTCGAGAACTAATACCTCATTTAAAATAAATTAAAATATTTTAGATTAAGGTATAACTGAATATTTTACCCTTATTCTGAAGGGAAATTCCTCAGACTTCCGGCGCCGCTCAGCGTGCCTCCGTCTCACTTGACGCAGCTCGGTACGAGGAGGGGCTGAAAGTACGCAACACCAAACGATTGGGTCATAGTTTGAGAGAAGCGTCCCGCAGACGGGAGAGATGCGGTGTTCATCCACAAATCATCGCTGCATCTCATTTTCTCCTCCAGCCTACGAGACGTACAAGGCAGCCGGTCGCATGAGAGAGACATCCAAATCATACAGAAGCTTCCCTACACAGATGAGTCATCGGCTGCAGCCACATGATACGTGTGTGTGTGTCATTATTCTTCTGCTGCAGGCGACTGCAAGGTCAATATTCAAAACACAAAACCAGCATTCTGGGTATTCAACATGTGCAGAGGTCAAATGGTTAAAAACAGCCCTGTGAGCAGACATACGTTCATGGATGTGCAGCAAGGTCATGAGCAAACATGTCAGTAGATGTATTCTTCCCCCGGGCAGCTCTCAGAAACTGAAATGTTATTTATTTTTCTGAAGTGGACGGATAGAGAGCACCGCAGGGTGCCATACATGCTAAAACACTGCATACATCATGTGGTTTTCCAGCTGCTGTCCCTCAAACAGAGTGTGACTTCTACAGAAGAAATCAAACTTGACTTCAGAAATCAGAGAACATTTATTGGCGAAAAGAATAAACACTGATGCTTTACATTTCATGATGGTACAATTATCAGGTACATTTATTTCATCATTTTGGATTCACGCTGGTCCTGATAATCTTTATGAAAACCGCTGCACGCCTCGATTCCCAACAGGCCAATTCGTTCTCAGCAATTTCATGCATCAATCAGGAAGACATTGAAGAGATGTATAGTGAAATATACTCTGCCTTAGTTCAATTCTGCCATTGAAGCTCAAAAAAAAAAGGGAGAACAAAAAAAAAATCCTAGCTCACAAGCAACAACAACCCACCGGTGGAATGTTCCTTTACATTTAAAAACTGTACATATTGCAGTTCCTTTCAATCCAAAAGCATCATTATAATTTCTCGAATACAAAAAAAAATCATTAAAGCAACCTGTTAATTTCAGGGTCCACAGATTCAAAGACTTTGCATAAAAAAGCAAACTAAAAGCCCGTAGTCTCCTGAGGTATGAATGAAGGCTGTCATTCCACAATGAACTGTTCACTCCTTAAGTAATTCATTTTACTGTTCAATTTAATGCAAGTCGGTCTTTCCAAATAAGAGACAATTATGCCCACTAAAAAAGGTTTTTTCAAAGAACTATAACAAAAAGAAAAACGTAGTTTGCCCTGACGCCATGTTGGAATGAGGCCCTTGATTTAAAAAGCAATGAAGAGACAAGTTGTCTCTTGAATACAAATATGAACAGATCTCACTGTAGAACCGATTATTCACAAAATGAATGCGCATGGGAAAATGTATGTTTCGATTGAGACACACAATTACAAATATAAAAACAGCAAACAAACCACCGCCTTAAAGTAAAGAATTGGTATTTTTATAATTTGAGACGAGGCGGTAACATGCCGCTCAGTCAAAGTGCGCTCAAGCAACGCACTTGATCCTTGAAGTCATTCAGAGCAGAATCTTGGGCTAAATAACTTGATGCCTCATCGCAACAGCAGGCCTGCACAGCTGGCTCGGAACATAAAGTACACTTAAAGCATGCAGATGTACCTGCAGTGAAGTTCATGTCGGGATGAAGGACTCGTAGCTTTGATGGATCTTTAGTGTGTCCAGATGTCTTTAGAAAAAAATTAAAAATGAACAGCTTGTGGGTCGGATATGAAAATGTACTTTCATCATCAAGAAACTAATGCAGGAAACGATTGTTAAAAGGTTGCATAATAGCGATGCTCGGAGGGAGGTTTGAAGGAGATACGTTCCTAACATTAGCAGGGAGCATGATGTTGACACGGCTATGCAATGCCAGCTACTTAGGGTATAATGACACATGCTATCATGTATTTAATGACTAATAAAAAAAAAGGAACCAATTGAGTAAGTTAAAAAAAAAAAAATTTAAAAACAGTAAAATCGCAAAAGGTATTTTCCTCTTCGTCACATATTGTAGCTCCTCTGCTTCTCTGAAATATATATATTTTTTTTCTCTCCCCAACAATTAGATTCATTCGATAGGGAGTGGCGTTGGCGCCTGGGCTCCATGGGGCGGGGCTTATCCAAGGGACACCGTCACGGTTCTCATCATGAAGGTGGAGAGTAACTGCCTGCATCAAGCAATGCCACATGCCAGCAGTGAAGTTGGATTATGGGTAATCTTGCACCGTTTCAACGAGGAAGGAGAGTTAAAAAGTACACGCGCACGCACGCGCACATGCACACACACACACACACAACAGGTGTTCAGTGAACTTGTCAACCAAAGTCAGATGTGTTTACAACCAGAATGAAGGGAGAGATGAATTATCTGCTAAGTCATTAGATGAAACCCAAACTACATGTAAAAATAAATTAGCCACATTTGTTCTGTTCCTGAGAAAGCGGAGCGGTATGTGGGGGGAAAAAAGAAATGAACACTTCTCAGCCTTTTACAAACCAAGCCACCAAACATTTTCTATGGCCCACCGATGGGTCAGCTTCAAGGCTCCGATTCAGAAACTTAACATCTGAGAGGGAAAACAAGCTCATTGAGAGATATAGTGAAGTTCTAACATTGTACAAGTCAGGTTTCTTAAGTTGCGTGAAAACACATCCACATGTGGACAAAGTCAGATCAAGTTCAAATTGCAGAAAACCTCAACCTCCGACAGCGAGAACTAAAAATAAAGCCAATGAAGGAGATTTCACTTTTCACGTCTCCATACTTCACAGAGCGAGTATGGGTGAAGACAGAGCTGATCAGACCCGCGGATCCAAACGACAGAGCAGAGCGGCCAAACGAGGCCAGCGGTGCTCAGTCCCTCCTCGTGATGCTCCGTTTTTGGTTTGTCCTTTAGATGTCACTCCAATGACGAGCAGCGTGGTGCTCTTCACCCATCTCTCTCCGTCCGCAGCAGAAGGGAGTCTCCTCGTCCCCGTCAGCCTGTTGACACAAACACATCGTGCTTAATGCGGTTATCCAACGGCCATCCAGGTCACTGGTACATGTCCACACCATCAGAGTGGGAGGCCTGGGGGACGGCGATGAGTGACTAGTAATAATACTCGATGAATATCAACATGTTTCTGTTATCAAAGTCACAACTGGCATTTTGTTCAACAACACAAAAACTTAAACCTGACATTCATTTTACTCACTGCAGAATCTCAATAGAAGAAAACTCCTCAGTAAAATGAAATAAAATGATACAGTAAGAAGATGAATGGCCAACAACATTTAGCTAAATGTAAAGTACACACCGTCCACTGCTTTTGTCGTTTTTGTTGCATCCTTCTCAGCTCTCATTCTGCCCAAAATATTTACTACAATTACTGCTGCTTTTAAAAAGATTATTTAAATGTGGTATTGTTCATTTAAAAATGTGTTTGTCGCTCCTTCTTCTAAAACGTCAAGTTGTGTCGTGTTTTCTCTGTTTGCCCCATCGGCTCTGGGACATTATGATTCAGTAGATTGAGGAGCCCGCTAGCTGACTTAGCTTAGCACAAAGACTGAAACTGGAGGATAGCGGTAGCCACTGTCGGTTTTAAAAAGGATGCTTAGTGTCTTTTAGGTGGGGTTCTTTGAGATCGTTATAGCCTGATATTTATGTATTTGGGTGTTATAACGTTTTTGTTATCTCTTTAACGCGGCCTGTTTCCTCTCGACTGAGCTAAGCTGTGGCATCGTGTTTAGCACACACACGACAGGAAATAAGAATAGGCAACACTAAATAAAGGTACGGTGAAAGTGGACCTGGAAGTACGGCGTATATACGGCTTTTGGATGAAGCTAGTGGCAGAGGATTTGTTTTTCTCTACATCTGCACAATTTTTCACATCGTGCTTTTGTCTCCTGAATTTGGACACTGACTTAGAAGGGATGACTGGAACGGTTTGTGCTTTTTAAACGGGGTGTCCATTGTACTTGTGTCAGAGACTCCACTGCAGAGCCTCACAAGATTATTTAATTGAATCAGACTTCAAACGGTCTCCGTTCTGTCTGCAGCCAGCAGCCCATTTCCTCTGAAAAGCCTTTTAAAATACATAATTGTGCTTCTAATTTCCCTGGTTTCCTGATCTCCACCCCGACACCAACACACAGGATAACACTGTTGCATAATTAAATAAACAGAAACGCGTGTGTGTGTGCATGTCAAACGCCTGCATGAGCTCATCGGACCTCTGCTGATTGCGTGTCAGCGTAAATGCAATCATTGGCTTTTGAGCCAAAGAGCAAAATGAAAAAAAGCAGCAAAATGTTTCCACTGTCTTCCATTTTTCTGTTCCGCTGAAATACAGAAAATCCTCTGCTCTTAAGGTCACAAGGCCAAAAGCTACTAAAGGTATTAGAAATATTTATCCCAATTACTCTATGACTGATTGAATGCACTTCATATCTTCTTATTGTTCCCTTTAACAACCTGAATTATAGGCACCTGTTTCTTAAACAAATTATTTCTTTCCTTCCATTTCTGATGTTTTTACCTCTAAATCTAAGCAGCACATCATATTCTATCCTCTGCGTATTCACACTCTGGCGAGCTCACGTTTGGAACATGTTGATCCAACTCTTCCCCCCATAAAACGAAGCCATTAGCCAAAGTGACAACGCCACTAATGACTGGACTTCCTCATCTAGCTTGTGGTATATTCACTTAGCGTTCTATTAAACTGCAGTGAGCAGAAACCGAAGACGGGCAGAAGGACGAGGATTCTAACCAGTGTGAGTGGTTCCTATTCCCTCTGGAACGTACACTCACTAATGATCATGGTGCATTTGTATCTAAGTGGCTTTTTCTATTGTATCAATCTAAATTACAAGAAGACATCAATTAGTGTGTATTGGATCAAGAAAAGCTTTTTTTTAAAGGTAGTCTTTGAAGGGTTTTCTGGTCAATGTCCAAATTCAACTGGTTTAGGAAAAAGCACAAACACCTTCAGCATCGTCTGAAGCTGTGCGGAGAAGTAAGCGGTCTGACTGGAAGGCCATAAGGAGCTCAGCAGGAAGCGGGTTTTATTCCTTCATTCATGGAGACTGGTGGTAAAATGTCCTGCTCTTCTGGCTCTTGGTACTAATTACGTAACATTAACGGTAGATCATAGTCCAATGAACTCTACTGTGAGGTTTTGCTTTCTGGGCAGTACAACCAAACAAAGAGGCCGTAAAGATATCTAGAAGTACAGCACTAACTTGATTGAGAATTTACCCTGTTGTCCCTAAACAGCTCTCACAAAATATACCTGCATGAAAAGTCTCAGATAACTCATTTCACTAGGTTAAAGTTGCTGCGAAATGAAAGATAGATACTAGAATAGCAGATAAGATGTGGCCGGTGTCGAATTCATTTGAGGGGAACAGTTTGGTGATTGGTTTTGGTGAGTTCTGTGTCACTTCACTGCAGGGATCAGATTCCCTCATTTAGTTAGTGAGTTAATCTGAAATACACCACAGTGCAGACGCTCTAAATCCCATTTCAATGAGCCCTCAAATAAGTTGGTGAAACATTTACTCCTATTCCTAAAAAAGGAGGACTGTTTGGTCATGCATGAAAAAGCCAGATGTTTTACACGATGAGGATGAGAACGCGAGCAGGAGGGATGAGGGCAGTAAATAGAACAAAGGCAATTACAGGACGTGGAGTTATTGCAGACCAGCAGGATAACCACTACGGTTTCAAACAGGAAGTGGGGTCTTGGTTTGGTTGTTGGAGGCCCGTGACAGATCCAACAACTGGGGAAACGCTGGATGAGTGTACCAATGTCTTGATTTGTCATGCCACCAAACAGCTCGCACCATTATTAATGTAGACGTAGAATGGGGGAATAAGAAAGAAAGAGAGCGAAGTGAGTGAGAGGGCCATTAAAAGTGCAGTTTTTGCAGTAAGGCTCACTGATATTGAACGCACCCGAAGACGTCTGCTCCGAGGACTCGACCTCCTTTGCTGTGCAAGCAGCGGCAGCCGCGTCGTCATCTTTCTCTCCTTCCGGTTCGGAGGAGCCATCGCCGTCCTGCGGGGCGGCGGATGAAGGTGGCGTGTCCAGTTGCTCCTCTACAAGAGATACAAAATTGGTGACATTTCAGCGGCTGATCTATTAGATTTATCTCTTCAATGGGTTTTTTTAACCCTCAAATAAGAGTTGATCCATCACTTTGGTCTATAGATAGAGATATTCAAAAGATTGCCTTGAAATTTTGTGCACAAGTCTTTGGTGACAAGACGACGGATCCAACCGAATGTTGATCCTGACTCCTTCAAGTACACTCTGCCACTAGTCTAGCGTGACTTGACCGAGTCGAGTTTATCTTGCTATCTGAAATTCCTTTTACCTTGTGGAGGAGCAGCGGGTGTATTCTGGTCCACCGTCACGGAAGCCTCAGTGACCTCAGAGTGGGCGGGGCAAGAAACCTCTGAGGGGGCAGCGTCAGATGGAGGCGCAACGGGAGAGTCAGTGGGGACGGCCTCTGGCTCGGACAATATCACAGTCTGCTGGGCTTCGGTCCTTTGTAGAGGACAGGAGACATCTATGGGTGAACATGGAGGCGGGAGAGAAGAAAATGTAGAAGTAAGATGAGATAAGACACAAAAAGTCAAGCAGAAAAAGTACAACTGTGCTAATTTAATATTCTACCCGCATCCACTTCTTCCTGTGGCTCAGCAGGTTCTTTGGAGCCGACATCTTTGCTCTCTATTTCCGCCGCCGCCTCCTCCTCCTCTTTTCTTTCCTCCTCCTCCTCCTTTTTTCTTTCCCCCTCCTCCTGCTGCTGCTCCTCTTTTCTTTCCTCCTTCTCCTCCTCAGTTTCTCTTTCCCCCACCACCTCCTCCTCCTCCTCCTCTTTTCTTTCCTCCACCTCAGTTTTTCTTTCCCCCACGTCCTCCTCCTCCTCTTTTCTTTCCTCCTCTTCCTTCTTCTGGGGTGGGCTGGACTCCACGCTGGGGGGCTTCAGTGGGCTCTCGCCTCCCATGCTGCTGCGGGGTGACAGCATCTCCATCTCCTCCCCCCAGTCCGATACAGGCTGGTGGCTCTCCAGAGGGAAGAAGGGGCTGAGGGGCTTTGCCCCCTCGGGGGAATCATGAACTGCTGCCGGAGGCGGTATGTGGACCTTCGGCCGGGGGGGCCTCTGATCCTTGGGGCTTTCTGCCGACGTCGGCCGAGAGCGAGGTGGGGGAGATGTAGGGGAGTCGTCTTTGACCTTGGCTGCTTTCTCCCTCCCGGTGTCTTTCTTCTCATCGCCCCTGGAGTTGTGCTCCAAATCGCTCCCTTCGCCATCTTCTTCTCCGTCGCTGGCATCCTCCCATTCTTCGTCATCGTCATCCTCTCCAGTTGCGTTCTTTGGCTCCGCCTGAGAAAAGATTTAAGGAAGAGGGTAGTGAGAAAGATTAGTGAGAAAGTAGTTGCAAGCTAGAAAGCAGCAACCAGAGCTTCTGGTCCTTCGGGGCAGCAGAATGAGGTGTTGATACCCTGAACATTCAAGTTACACAATCGCCATTTAGGTTGAGCTTCACGGTGTGGTCCCAACAAACTTCTACCAGTTATGTGGCAAACTAACTGCCGAATGCTCCACTACGTTTCCCCGCTAGTTTCTAACTTTGTCTCTGCTGTTGTTTGCAGAGCAGCTGCACAGGAGCAGCTAAATCTGAAGAGTAACGCCATCAGAGCCGGATGCATCCCATAGAGCAAAGGGCAACTGCAGAGTTAATGATTCTGTTCATTTGGAATATTATCTAATGAGTTTTTTTTTTAACAGAATAATGAATGGAGTTGCACTTCATATTTTTACTGTGTTCTAAAGGAAATGAATATCAATCATCCAATGTAGTTCCCTCCTGCATGTGTTAATACAGATGGAGCCCCTCTACCTTCTGCACTGTCGATGGTTTGGCTTTTTCTTCCTTTTTCTTCTTTTTAGTCTTCTCTCTCTTCGTCTTGTCGTCGTCATCCTTCTTCTCCTTCTCTTCCTCCTTGTCTCCTTCCCAGCGGTTATCATGCATGCTGTTGAACGGTATGAACATCAACGTTAGAAGCAGCAGACTCACAACACATACCAACACGTTTTCTGAAGCGCGCTCACTGTCGACTGGTGGGAGAGTGTGTGTGTGTGTGTGTGTGTGTGTGATACAGAGAACAAGTTAGACCTGTTCTATAGGAAAAGTAACCTTAAATTACTTCTGTTGGGATCTGGCACCGTATAGTAAATAAAATTAAAATACATTTGTGAGATACGTGCGGTTAGAAAGTACAACTGAGTACATTTGGGTCAAAGTGTAATAAAATGAAAAAAAAAACTGGAGTAAATGCACTAGTTTAATATGAATCTGATATCAAATTTAACTATCAAATAAAGTTTGTATATAATACCCACATGTTAGAGATAAAGAAACACCTTCAATGCCGCTTCCGTTCTACGGTGGCCTTGTTGGGACATTCTCTGGTAGAAGGCAGACTAATGGCGTCCGCATGGACTCACCTATAGGTCGGCCTCGGCCCTCGGCCCCTCCCTCCTCCCTGCTCGCCTCGCTGGCCCGGGCTCCTGCCCTGAGACAGGAAGTCACCGAATGTCGGAGTCTTCGGAGGCCGCTTGTTGTCATCTAGAAATATAATAAACATGTTAAAGGCTAATGGATCCAATTATTTTACGGTCTCTAAAAGGTAAGGTGAATCGAAAAGAAGAGGGACTGAAAGGTGAGAAAATAAATGGTGGACGTATGTGGTCAGAGTGGAAGCAAAATACTTTAAAGGAAGTGATACTTTAAGGGAGTTATTAAAAAGTCAAGGACCATAATTCATGATCCAGACAAAATACATGGTGCGTCAGTAGAATGAACCGTAGCTGAAAAACAGTATCAAGCAATTTTTATATTTAAATTAGCAAATGACTCGAATTATCGAATGCCGCCTTCTGGGGAATTTAAGAGGAACTAGACACATGAATAGAAAAATTAGTAAGATAAACAGTTAATTGCCCCAGAGCCCATCTGACCTCCGGAGGAGGTCAAACGTCTGCTCGTTAACTAGCGGATGAAGGCCGGCGCAGCGATCTCACACTTAAAACCCCTAGACCCTTTGTGCTCATGAAAATACTGAAACAGCAAAAGCGTTTGCTGCTTTCAAGTAAGGCGAAACATAGACCAAAGAAACATGTAGGAATAAAAACGATCACAATGAGAGAGGATGGGGGAAGATATCAGATAGAAGGTCAAAACGGAGATGCAGGAGGGGGAGGGGCGGGGGGGGCGGCAGCTCAAAGTGATAAAATTAGTACAAAAGAATGAAAGGATCAGTGCGAAGAAAAAATAATCCACAATTCCTGAGTTTGAACAGAGCACCCTGGGGCTGAGAGAGGACACTCCGGTCATTTCACAAACTAGAGGTGCGTGCGTGCGTGCGTGTGGACAGACGGGCACACACGCGTGCGCGCACACACACACGCGATCATCTGTAATGTACTCTCCAGTCAGACAAAGAAATAAAGAAACTGAACAGCAATATTTCTCGGCTTTTCTTTGGGCCTTCAGGCCGGAGTCAGAGAGTGCGACACAAGCACAAAGGACATTTAAAAGAAAAGATGAACGGCCACACATTTGAGGTCGGTGTGTGTGTGTTCAGCCTGAAGCTTTCAAAGAGCTTAAGATGAGCAGATTTTGACAGATGTTCGCCCAATTCCTGAGATTGGCGAGATTCCTGGGTTGGGCGACACAATTTAAGAGGAAACCAACCAAACTGCTGTAGCGCCACGGTGAACCCTCATAGACCAACAATGCAGAGAGGCTACCGATTTAAATGTTCATCAAAGTGAGATCTGAAAATCAAAAGTTCTTTTCATGGGCTTAGTTGGGGGTTTGCCGTCTTGTCTTGATTTAAGAGTTAGGCAAGGGGGGAAGCAGTCAGTTTCTGTCCTGGCTGAGGAATGTAAGGTCTGTGGGTCAACTAGTAGATTTGCCAGCCAAAGGGGGGTTTAGAGACACACCAACACTATTCAACATACACTCTGTTCGCTGATGTTTACGTTAAGTCAGGAGTCTGGACATTGGATGTGACCGGATCTTTAGATGCGGGAGGTGGAAGGTCCTCCTCTACGCCAGTTTAGGGCCAATAGAAATCTTTCCTTCTCTGTCTTTCAAGGGTTATAAAACATGATGTTCTTGCTGATGTTAGTTAGTTTTTCTTCCGGCCTGTGTGCTGCCTGAACTGCTCCTGCCTTTGCAAACGCAGCACTGATACCTGTGATCTGACAAATAAATCTCCCAGAACGAGAAGTTGTTCGGCTGAATTTTTGATAACCCCGACCAGGCTCCAATTCTTGAACACTTATTCTTACAATTCTTTCTAGACCAGTTATGAACCTGAAATATCACTTTCTAAGTCAGTAATGCTACAACGTTGAGAATAAATACACAATAAACTAAACCTGCTTTGCTCCTTTTGTGGTGTGATTATAAACTAACTTTGTACACTACATTTTGTTTTATTGAGCTAGACGGAAGCAGCATCAAGCTGAAGGAGAACAATGTGTGTGGTGACAATCAGCTACTTGGACATATTCTGTAATATCTTAAGGTTACAGTTGAATAGCTTGTATCCTATGCAAGAAAAGAAATTCCTTTCATACAAGTTAGTCAATGTGTTTGTTGTGGTTTTATTGACAGATTTCCTCTCCCTTAAGATTGCAATAATAATAATAATAATAATAAGCTGAAATGTTCTTTTTTCAGCCTGAAATCATGCTCTGGTGGTGAAGCATATCTTCCTAAATTAAATTAAATAAGATTACCTTTCTATCCATTTCAGGCCTTTACGATGAAGCATAGAAGGTTGCTAGGCAACGGGAGCAGCAGAGGTAAAGCTGATGACGCATGCAGGAAGTGCCCCAGTAGGCCAGACAGTCTCATTATAGAGACCCCTCTGTTCAGCATCAAAGATGCAGCCCACCGAATTGAGACAGAGCTTAGGAAGAAGGACAGCTGACAGCCAATCAGTGTGGGGAAAGCTATTAGGCCATCTCCAAAAGATTCCAGCTCCACCCAGCCACTGTAAGACAAATCCTTTAAAAAAAAAGGGCATTCAACATGACCTCAGCTCTGCCTAGAAGTGGACGCCCATCAACAAGAAGCACCAGAAGAATAAATTAGGTAAAAGCCAACCCAGACGTCACATCTAAAGAGTTGCATACATCTGGGGTGACTTGCGTCTACAAGAAAACAAAAATTGAATAGGGGTGACATTCATGAGAGGGTTGCTAGAAGGAAGCCTTTGCTCCCAAGAAAGAACAAAGCTGCCCATTTCAACTTTGCCAGAGGACTAACAAATGGCCTTCTAGAAGTCCACCATCAGGACAGATGAGGCCAAGATAGACGTATTTGGTCACAATGAAAACTGGTTTGTTTGGAGAAAAGCCAAGACGGCACACCAAGAAAAGAACCTCCTCCCAACAGTGAAGCATGGTGGTGGAAATGTGAAGTTCTGGGTCGGCTTTTCCACTTCCAGACCGGGAGGACTCCACATTATCCAGGGAAACATGAGCTCTTGGGCCTATCAACAAATTCTTGATCAGAATCTCCGGCCATCAGTCAGGGAGTTGAAGCCACAAGACTACACACCAACGCATACCAGCAAAACTATCAAAACATACTATAGGAATGGCTTAAAGAGCGAGCATTCCACGGTCAACGTCCGGACCTCAATCCAACAAATGTTGTAGCTGGACCTGAAGTGTCCCTCCAACCTCTCAGCTGAGTTCTGCAATGAGGGGGGGTGGGGGTGGACTCCAACAGCAGATGCAAAATACAATGCGGGGAGTGGTTACAGAAACGTTCAGTTGAAGTAATGGCTGCAA